TGAGGAGGCTCCGTGTGGTGAGGAGGCTCCGTGTGATGGGGAGGCTCCGTGTGGTGAGGTGGCTCCGTGTGATGGGGAGGCTCCGTGTGGTGAGGAGGCTCTGTGTGGTGGGGAGGCTCCGTATGGTGGGGAGGCTCCGTGTGATGGGGAGGCTCCTTATGGGTTGGCTCCGTGTGGTGCGGAGGCTCCTTGTGGGTGGGCTCAGTATGGGTGGGCTCCGCTGGGTGCGGAGGCTGCTTGTGGGTGGGCTCAGTATGGGTGGGCTCCGCTGGGTGCGGAGGCTCCTTGTGAGGCCCAGTAGGGCGAGGAGGAGGGTGAGGAGGCTCCTTGAAGTGAGGAGGCTCCTTGTAATGCCAACCAACATGATCCGGAGTTCCGTGATCAACACCACGGTTTTGGATAACACCAGCGAGTGCTGGGCCCGCTAGGGCTAGGAGAGCAATAGTTCCCTTAACCATCTCGAAAAATGATCAACGTTTGCAAAGCAGATTTCAGAAGTACAAAAAAAAGAAACAAGTAGTTGGAATCAAACGAGTGAAACAAGAGCGAGTGACTTTTCTCTAGCTCGGTACAAGCGTGTTGAGAAAAAAGAACCTGTTGAAAGGAGAGAGACTTGTGAACTTATATCTTCGCAAAGAGGAAGCCCTTCGCCGTTTCCGTGTTCATGGGGAGTGGTGGCTACAATGCCACAGTAGTATCGATTGGCAACAAAATTCGGTGCCTGGCTCAACAGGAGACAAAATCTTCATTGCTTGACACATATGTCTCATTGGCCGGCAGAATGTAACTAGGATTTGAGAAACCAAGGTTTCTAGGAAGATCGGTTACTGGGGCAAGCAAAGAGTGGTAGTTGATCGGTCCCATATATTGAGATAGAGTTGGGAAATGTGGCCCTACGTGGTATCCAGGTGAGGAGCCCACCCGCCCACTTGGTTTGAGTAACGCGGGAAATTGATGCCACACTCGGATCTTGGAGGAACTATGGCGAAAGTCGTGGTGTCATCACTCTGATTCAGTATGGCCCTAAGAAGAAGCCACAGGCGCTAGCCCAAACCGGTCATCAAATCTTCAAGGAACAGGTCGATATAGTTCTGTGCCTTGAGTAAAATAACTGGTTCGCCTAGGAGTGGCAATGGTACCTGAAGGCTTTCTACCATGAATGTAGTAGCAACCAAACTAAACCGTGGGTGTTGTCAAACAACAAGCACCGTAGTCAACAACATACAGAACCGAGAAACACAATGGTTTCCCTATTACAGATGAGGAACTTAAGACTAGTGACGCGAGTCTGATGGCGCCATCGGTGATCGCTCATGTGCTTCTGAGTTTAGCAGAGCTCTGCAAGATCGAGAAAAGCTCCTCTGGAATGTGGAGAAAGACTATAGGGACAGCTCTGCAATCTCAGTGTAAGCCCGAAGTTCCCACTACGTACATTGTGCACCAAAAAACCCTCCCGTAGGAGCAGGTCAGTGCAAAATCATAAAAGACCCCCAAACAGCCAGTGAAGAATGTGCAGAATCTTACCCTTCATGAGTGAACATCAAGTCAATGACGACAGCTCGAAAAGGCGTAGCCTGAAAGCAGGCGATAAGTATGACGACAGCAAGGTCTCTACAGTAGCCGGATATAGAAGACGTCGTATGTCAGATACTGGTGAATGCCCTGATACGTCTATTCACTTTCATAGAATATCCATCCATCGTGAAAACTTGTATGGCTTGTGAAAATGTAATCGTCATCGATAGACACCCATAGAGAGTAGCACAGCTTCCAGTGTACCGCAAACGGCGATTCGGTGCCCCTGAGGCCCCTGAGTGGGTACCGTGAGCATTGCGCCTTTATGGGAAGACATTGGCGTGATTAAAATAGAAGGTTGTATTCCAGGTATGAGGATATAGTTGAGATGGCCGTTTGCGGTTAAGTCGATGACACGTGCTGTAGATACACGTGACCAAATTTGGATTTGGATTCAGGGCTTAGGTCTTAGGGCTTATCGGGCGGGTACGCGTCCGGCACGCGTCTCCGCGTTAATGACTGTTCGAACAGAGAGAAGCCTTAGCACAGCACTCAAATCACCACAATGCCTCACTCTGTACCTCCTGGCGGGGAGTCTCCCCGCTATCGCAATGATGACGAAGTACTTCCGGATGCCTCTCCAGCAGATGCGACACCCAATGTCCCTGAAGATAAAGAGCCCGAGCTCCCTGAAGACGATACAACAAAAGACAAGCTTGCAGACCTACTATTCGATGATGACGATGAAGATGAATATCCCATATCTAGTGCGCCAGATACGAAGAACGAGGACTCGGCGAATCGAGATGCAGTAAAGTGAGTATTCGTCACCCCACAAAGAAAAAGAGCAACTCTAACAAAGAGATTATCCAGTTCTTCTGCGCCGCAGCCAGCTCATGTAGACACAGATACTATGCTTGCTTTCTATCAGCGTCTCTTCCCATTTCGCTACCTTTTCCAGTGGCTGAACCACGGAATTGTCCCTTCCCCAGACTTTGGAAACCGTGAATTCGCGCTTACCCTACAAAATGACGCCTATTTACGATATCAATCTTATGCAACAGCGGATCTGTAAGTAAACAAAACCAAGGCAACCTCTGCGATAGAAATCCATGGCTGATGCCTGGCTAGGTTCCGTAAGGATATTTTGCGGATGAATCCCTCGCGTTTTGAAATCGGTCCTGTCTACAATACAAACCCCCGCGATCGGAAAACTCTACGGGGCGGTCAGATGAAACCAATCGCTAAAGAACTGGTGTTCGATATCGATTTAACGGATTATGATGATATTCGATCATGCTGTGAAAAAGCGAACATCTGTGGGAAATGCTGGACATTTGTAACCATGGCCATAAAGGTTGTCGACATCGCTTTGCGAGAAGACTTTGGATTCCAGCATATCATGTGGGTTTACTCCGGTCGTCGTGGTGCCCACGCCTGGGTCTGCGATCCCCGGGCTCGCAACCTTCCTGACGACCGGCGACGGGCTATTGCGGGATATCTGGATGTCTTACGTGGAGGATCTCAAAGCGGCAAGCGTGTAAATCTGAAGCGTCCGCTGCATCCACACATGTCTCGTAGTCTGGAGATCCTGAAGCCATTCTTCGCCCAAACTACACTAGTGGACCAGGACACCTTTGTTAACTCGGAACAGGAGCAACGACTCCTAGCATTGCTTCCCGACAAGCCCTTGAACGATGCATTACGCAAGAAATGGGAGTCATCGCCGGACCGCTCTAGTACGAACAAATGGGCCGACATTGATTCCCTCGCTAAGACTGGGAAGAGCAACACTTTGAAAACCTCTACTTTGCGTGATGCCAAGCAAGACATTGTATTAGAGTATACTTACCCACGGCTCGATTCGGAAGTCAGCAAGAAGATGATTCACTTGCTTAAGAGCCCGTTCGTCATCCATCCTGGCACGGGCCGTGTCTGTGTTCCCATTGATATCCGGAATGCCGAGGAATTCGACCCTCTCTCGGTTCCCACAGTCACGCAACTACTAGCGGAGATCGATGCGTATGATGCGGAAAATCCCAACAACGGCACAGGCACAGACAAGGTAGATAGCGAGGGGAGCGAGCCCAATGGCTCGGATGCTAGAGGAAGCCGCAGGTTGCAGGACTATGAGAAAACAAGTCTCAAGCCATATGTGGACTATTTCCGCTCCTTCATTGCCAGTCTCCTCAAGGAGGAACGCGGTGGGAAGCGGGAGCGGAACGAAGACATGGCGGAGGTCAAGTCTGAAAGTATGGAGTTCTAGAACCCTCTCTGCTTTTCTGCCTGGCAATTGGGGTTTCCTGGTATTTTTAGAGCGGTTTTAGGATATATATGCTTTCATGGCAGGGTTGGGATGCATGGGCGTCTAGGAGTTATCTCAGAAATACCTTTAAGCATAGGCGTGTTTTACATGATAATATACTACCTGGTTAGGAATACAAATATTTGACTTGATACTTTTGACTGTGACTTAGGTAATCTCTGAAGGAAAATATTCCCCCTTAGCACAATACATCACACTGTGGGACGTTTAGGTTTTAAATATAATACAAGTGGTTGCTCAATTCGTTTCTATATTGATACACGTACATACAGCCCAGAGAGTATTCAGAGGCGATTCGCATGGGCAGACATCAAGCTAGCATGACATAGGAAGTGATGATGAACCTCCTCGCAAAATGTTTTATGGGGGTAATGTCTGAAAGGGTGGGATTAGAATTAGGAGTAGGGATTATTCGATGCATCTTCATAGATGAACTCTTGCATCACTGGTCCGCGCTTAAGCAGAGATAAAGTTCTTAACGCCTAGAGATTCCACTGTTAGATATAGACACTATCATCTAGGAGACTGCGGTAACTTACTTTCGAGCCAGCGAACGTATTCCTTCTGCTCCTTCACCTGGATGTAGTCGGGGATCATGTTGGCGAGCTCAGCGTTGATGCCTCTTTCCTCGAGGTAACGTTCCAAGTAGGTCTGCAGATCCTCATCCAGGTTCTCAAAAGGAGGTCCAGCGTAGAGGCTCTGTCTGGCCCAGTCCTTCTCAGCGGTCTGGGCATGCGCCAAGTCAGGCTTGGAGAAGTATGAGACCTCCTCAATCTGGAAGAGACCATCCTGAGCAACAGTCTGGATCAGAAGAGCGCCGTTGCTGGGCTTCTCGACGGTGATGTTGACGCGGGCAGGGAAGCTAGGCTCCAGATCACGGTCCAAGTCATCCAGTTCCCGGTCGGCCGGGGCAACACGGTCCTCGGCGTGCTGGGAAACGTTCCCAGCAGAGCCCTTGTTAGCGGGCTGATGGCCAGACTCGAAGTCCAGCTCATCACTCAAAACCTGGTCGTCAAACTCCTCCTGCTCGCTCAGGTTCTGAAGATCAGCAACGGTAAAGGTGAGACGAATCCTGTTGTAGGAGATGATGAGTTAGAATATTATATAACATTAACGGGATTCGAGTAAGGAAAGAGTCGAGGATAGGTGCAAAGTCAATAACTTACTCCTCATTGCCAAACTTCTTTGTCAACACAACTTCCTGCTCACCGGGAACATCCTTGACCTAGATGCAAATACCAATGAGCTCGAGTACATATCATAGGATATATCAGTCGGAGTACATACCTCCCAAGAGTTGTTCTGGAGAACATACTGAATGTTCTGGACAGAGGAATCCAGGTCTTCAAGACCGGAAGCCTTCTCGTGCTTCAATTCATCCTCAAGCTTGGCGGCAAGCTCGAAGTCACCTGTAGCATTTAAAGTACTGTTAGCGCAATCCGAAGAAACGAAGCTCGCATCGTGCCAGAAGCCTTGACAAGGCCAAAGACTCCTTGTTCTTTCTTGCAGTCCACAGTACCGATGTTCTCATCACGATCTATCATACCTTCAGCAGGAGACTGCTTGAACACCCGGGATGTCGAGAAAGCAGCATAAGAGGGCTTCAGAGCAGATTGCAGAATGACATTCTTAGGGACAGTCGGGACAGGACGGAAAAGAGAAGAACGGGAGGTGGTGGCAATAGAGCGCGAAATGGTGCGAGGCACAGAGCGGGCGATGGTACGTAGCGACAACATGATGAGTTGTAATACGGGGGCAAAAGACGTTGCGTAAAGGGAAGAAGATGGTTTTGGAAGAAAGATTGACGGAACAAGAAAACTGATGATTTAATTGCCAAGGGAGCTCCCGTGACGGCCTAAGGCATCCTTCCCCCAAAACAAAACATACGTGTGTCGTAACCCTATGTTGCTTGACTTGACACTTAGGAAAGCAAATCTCACGATACCCACTTCCATTACATTTTATACAACTACCGATGGTATAGCATTTTGGTATAAAGTCGGACACCTAGGGTGATATGTTTTACGAGTATGACGCCACCATCTTGACATTACACTTAGCTATTGACGCCTTTACTAATTAGAAGGCTTTATGGGGACAGGCCTATAACTGTTGGTATATAGAAAAGATAAGCCTCTCTTCGGGAGGGGTCGTGGAAAAAGGAAAGAAATGTGACTCCAGTATACCCTCACTGGCAAGATTACATGAAGACATATAGACAGAACGTCAGCCGCTTAAGATCAAAGAAGTGTCTCTCGTAAATCAATTATTCGCAGGAACTATCAAGCAAAGTCTCTCTAAACACAACAACTTGAAATTGCCAGAATCTAGCTTGGTATAACGAAGCGTTGATGTTACTGTCTATGAGTCGTCGGAGATTGCCGGAGTTAAGGGAATAGGTCTACATCGATCATATGACTGCTGAGCAGAGGATCCCAATTCTCATCATTGCGAATGCTTGTCTGGCCCCGAGTAGCCTTCCGTATGAGCTAGCACCTGGGATGGATGTTCCAACAGGACTTCCTAGTATTGGATCTGCCCGAGCCAGAGAGGGAGTCGAATGGGCATGAGGGTCGACTAGCTTGGGCTGTAATTTTATTCAGATGGGAGTGGCCGCTGGATTTGAGGCTAACACAAACGCATCGCAGGATAAATTTGACCTAGTGAGGAGATTGGGGGCTACGCTTTGGATTACCGCTCGGAGAAAATTGTGGCGGAACTAGCCAGGACGTTCAAGGGCAAAACGAGGGCTGAGGCATTGATTATCACAATTGGATCGGTTGAGCAGCCATGAATAGATGTTATCACTAAGGTCGAGGGGTGGAAGTTCGCCGCTGGGCTACTGTTTCCTGAGATGAGGGAGCAGAAGGTCAAAGATAAGTTAATTCGCTGTCTTTAGAGGAGAATGAGGTTGGGCCGGCCCCTCTTGAGTACTACTGACAAAAAATGTCTAAGGGAACGTTTATCGCCAAACCAAAGGCCACGGTTATGGGAAGGGGACGACAATCACCGCAAAAGGCGTGGGACGTGATGGCCGCGGGTGTTTCTGCTACGAAGCTGGTAGTGACGTTTTCGTAGCCCAATCAGTATTATTCTCATAATAAATATTCCACAGCAATGCAAGATGTGATTCAAAATGCATAGCAGACGGTCTTGTTGATGTGCTTTTTGTAGTCAAACCTCAAAAGGTATTAACGAATATCGATATGCTGGTATATACAGTCGTCAACGCCATTATGTTTCAAAGTCAATACGGGTGATACGATCTCAAAACAGAATCAAATCAAAACATCACGACATCCCTTTAGGTGGGAATGCTGAGGTCTGCTTCCCACCATCCCTAGTCAGGCGAATGAACTTCATACTGCTGAGACCGGACCAATCTCCATTCCAAGTTGCAAGAGCCTTAAGCACTTCTTCTTGACCGAGGTCGGGTAGCCAAAATCCTGTCTTAAACTCTTTATTTTCCACGTCCGTCCGCTGTAGTAAGGCTTCCTCTCGCTTGCTGGGGGGCCGGCCTTTCCTCCGCTCACTCTGCAATTGCTCGATCTCAGGGACGCTTCGATTGATATATCTGTAGTTAATATGATTAGCATGCGTGCACTATAAACAATGACTAAAAACATGATTTTTCTTCCTCGCTCTCACCTAACGATTAAGTTCATCATGTCACTATCTGAAAAGATGCCTGCGTCCTCGGGGACATTCTCGTGGAAGTATACGATCCGATCGACTGAGGGAAATATTAGAGAAGCGCGCCACCGAACAGAGTATTCTTATTGAAGCCTACTATATGATTGTCGTCCTCGTGCCATTGTGGCAGAGACACGAGCTACTCGATCATCTCTAGCACCTGCACGGCGCAATCTCTTCGCATCTCTGCTGTTCTCATGGAGTGCTTCAACTACCCCTCGCTTTTTGGAGATGTGCTTATGAACCTTCTGTAAAGACTTCGGCATGATGCGATTGTTGGAAAGTAAAACTCAAGAGAAATAGATGTAGTGTAGTGTATGTTGGAGTATAGATTTTTCTTTTTTTCCTCCGATCCTTATCGCCAGGCAGAATACGAAGGCGGTGATGGTGGGAGGAGGTACCGCCAGAGGTCCGGCCAATCACGGCCTCCTCTGTATGCAACAGTCTATCGCGTTTCTGTTGCGCGTCGACTGGGCTGAGAGTCAACTCACATTCCAACCTCGTTGTCCAGGTCATACATAACTCGATGACCTGCCAACCTGGTTGATTTGCTTCCCACCCATATTTCTACGGAAGTCGCTCCCCATGGTTCTCGTGCCCACCGCCCTTCTTGAGTCCTAACCACCGACGGTCAGAGCTGTTACCCGTTTTGGATGTTCAACTAAACAACCTAACGAGGAGCAGCTCGACTTTCCAACGGTTCTACAATGGGTATTAAAGGTATGCTCACGATCCTACTCTCCTTTTTCAAATACCCAGAGCCAATTGACTCGATACGCAGGGCTACATGGTCTTCTCAAGTCAATTCAGAAACCATGCCACTTGAAAAAGTTTAGCGGGCAGACGCTTGGAGTCGATGCATATGGATGGCTGCATCGTGGGACTGTCGCCTGCGCCGTGGACTTGGTTCTGGGCCGGCCGACTACTAAGTACGTGCTTCATCAAAGACCTCGATTGGAAAAGCTGGGCTAATGTGACTGTAGACATGTCGATTACGTACTGAATCGGGTTCGCATGTTACTTTTCTTTGGAGTAACACCGTACCTTGTCTTCGATGGCGATAATCTACCGAGTAAAGCCGGCACCGAGACTGATCGGTATCAAAGACGTCAAGAGAGCAAGGCCCTGGGCTTAGAACTTCTACGAAAGGGGAGGACGGCAGAAGCTTATCAAGAATTCCAGAAAGCGGTGGATGTGACGCCTTTGATGGCTCGCCAATTGATCGATGAGCTGAAGAAAATGAATGTTCAGTATGTAGTGGCTCCGTATGAGGCGGATGCACAGCTCGTCTATCTCGAGCGCCATGGCATTATCAACGGTATCATTTCGGAAGACTCTGATTTGTTGGTGTTCGGTGCTAAAAGACTTTTGTCCAAACTCGATCAGCATGGTGATTGTATCGAGATTAACCGAGCAGATTTCACGGCTTGCCGCGAAGTTAGCCTTATAGGATGGACGGACGCTGACTTCAGACGCATGTGTATCCTTAGTGGCTGTGATTACCTGCCCAATATTGCGAGGCTGGGGCTAAAGACAGCCTATCGGTGTATTCGCAAATACAGGAACATTGAAAAAGCGCTGCGCATGCTTCAATTTGAGGGCCAATACCATGTTCCTACAAATTATTTGGAAAACTTCAAACAGGCAGAGCTTACTTTCCTCTATCAGCGGGTATTTTGCCCGCGAGCTGGGATGCTCGTGACTCTGACCCCACCGGCGGACAATGTAAACCTGGAAGAATTGCCGTTCATTGGTAGTGATGTGGAACCTGAGCTTGCAACGGGGGTCGCTCGTGGTGATTTGGATCCAATGACAAAGGAACCACTGATATTGAACCCTGCACCCGTGGGTAGGCTCTTGCACGGCATTCATCGTCGACAGACGCTCGGTTCATCTGCCGAATTGAAGCCAAACAAGCCTATTAGTGCCTTCTTTACACCTAAGCGGGCCCCCTTAGCTGAGCTGGATCCGAATAGTCTCTCTCCATCCCCCAGCCAGCAAAGATTACTGCAACGACATGCCAATACTTCTTGGGATAGTACTCCTGTAACGCCTCGGTCAGATATAGCCCGATCCACTACCTCGAACCGGCTATCCAGCCCATTAGTCAGGAGTGTGGAACGGAACTCGTTTCTGGCTCATGCCTCTAAGACATCCGCCTTGCAGCCCATCAAGCGGCAACGGCTTTGTTCTGAAACGGACGAGGCCCACCATCCGAGCCTTCCCGATTGTCGCAGCCGTTTCTTTGCTCACCCCTCGAACGATTCAAGCCCGAGCGGGGTGACAGGGGCTCGAAGCAAGAAAGCGCGGAAGTCAACTTTGGACGTGTTCTCTGATGAAGTTGCTGAGGATATTATGACACAGCTTGTAGATTCCACAGAGGCTACGAATGACTGCAAGACCGAGCCTCGTGATGACAGCTGTCTTGGAAAAGCGCCCCCGCAAAGCACTTCACATACTGCGACGGAAGACCCCCAAATTGCAGATTATAAAACCCCTGCAGACGAGTCACTCGAAAGTGCTGCGACTACAGAGGAGGCTTCTGTTAGTGCGGATTCCAATCCTGAAGTGTTTCGTCAAGTACTTGACTGTCATGTCGCCAAACAAAACTCTTCTTTGCTGTCGAAGTTTACCTTCGAAGGGGATATCAGCCCCAAGGTGGATATGCCAGAAACAAAGAGTCCGCAAATTCATCGTCCACTTCTTGCTAGATCTCCTTCTAGAGCAAAATCTGGTGTGTCCCGAAGCCCTTCAAGGCGACAACGCTTAACTCCTTTGCAACGTCTGGGCCAGACCGCATTGGCTCGGTCACGATCTCTGAACTTTATTGCCCCTTCTCTTTCGGCATCAAGTGATTCAAAAAAGTCCCTGGGAGCAGGCAGCCCAAAGGCAAATATAACCCCTGTCACATGTTCTCTCATTCAAGGAAGTGAAGATATGATTGTTCCGGACAGTGAAGAAGAAGACGGCGAACGTGATGAAACAGGACCCACTCGGACATCAGTTGCATTCAACCTCCAGCGATTCTCCTACGCAACCAACAAGTGATTCTAGACCGTATGCATTATCAACACTATAATACAAAGCGACATAAATCTTGGTGCGTTGGTGTTTTCTGGTATTATCTCTTTTTGTTTTTCCTTGGGGTCTACCTGGAAGAGATACACGGGGTTGAGGTATCGTTAAATTATATATGGTTTTGGTCGTGTATACCCTACATTGGACCATATTGGAGATAGACCTTCATTGCATAATCTTTGGTTTATAAATATGCATGGAATCGTGACACGACATGTATCTCTCTCTACTTTATTAAATTCCGGAGGCTGGTGATGAACTAAATGAACGAATTAATTGATTAGGGCTGATAGGGGGTGCGGGGCCAAGCCTAAATGATGCGTGGACCAATCTCCGGCCCCAGATCGATCGTAGCGCCATCGGTGGATTAAATGGGACCTCATGGGTCTATCAGGAACAGTAGGCGGTGAGGTTTGGTTACCGGGGAACAAGGCGGGTAAACAAAAGGTGATGCCCAGCCTCCTCTATACTCTCCAATTCCCAGCCACCAGCAATATCATCACCACTCGTTCGTTGTGAAGAAAAACCAGATCTGAGAAATTCGGGAGGCAGGCTTTCGTTGCAAAAGTGGATTTTGGCTAGCTACGATCTCTATCCTCCCCCAGTTTCCCTTTCCCTCTTTCTCCCCTCCCCATTCCTTGTATTCAGCTTTGCCTCTATTTGGCCTTAATTCGTTTAACACCATCCCCATCTTGGGGTATAGCTTATCGGATCTTTAATTCAACTATCTGACGAATCTTATACCCCGTCCAGGTCTCGTGAGTACCGCAACGCAAAGCGGGCATACATTCATTCGCCAGTATCCCTCGTGTCTCCTGGTCCACATTCCATACCGACTTAACATTCTTCGCCCACCATCCGGTCATTGGATTCCCAGCCGAGAGAGACAGTGGGGATTATCGCACGGCAGAGCAGCATATTCTGGTCCCAGGAGTGACGGACCAGGTACTTGACATAGTGAGCAACGCAGCGCACTTCAGACGCTCCTTCTCGGGGTACCGAGAAGCGAGCCATACGAGCCACATCGCGAGGAGGTAGATTGATCAAGACTTAATTGATCAAGATGGCGTCCAAGTTTGGTGCCAAGATGGCCCGTATGTAACTCTTACTGTCGAACGATGCGGTTGGCATGGTATACTGACTGTCATGGTGCTACAGGGTTCATCCCGATGATCGGTTACCACCACGTGCTGATGATTATCATTGCCGTTGCTATAATTCTTCTCTGTAAGCTAGTTTTCATTCTATGCTGTGGAATGTATGGTACTAACAACATCAGCCCTCTTATTGGCCGGATGCTCATCGTCCTCCCCGCAAATCCCCAGCATATTCTTGATCTCCCTCTACTACAAACGCTACGACCCAGTTTTTAATCTTGCCCAGGTGGACCCTGGCGTGGTGCAAGCAACAGCAAACATTGTTGGAGGAGCGGAGATGGAAGTCCGCGTGGGTTACTTCGGTATCTGCGTATCGCCCTCGGGAGGCGCTTATATTTGCAACTCCAATGCCACGGCCTTGGCCGAGATCGTCACGGTTGACCAAGACCCATTGAACTTAATTTGGGTAGCATCGACGTTCAAGGATGCTGTAGTTTTCCCATACCTCCTGTATGTTCTCCCGCGCATTTTTGTGGTCTTGAACCTTGAGTAGAGTAACTGACATTGTCCAGAATCGTTGCGGTTATTCTCGCTTTCTTCTGCTTCATCCTCCTGGCTACTTTCCCCGGATGGCACGAAGAACTTGATGCAAGCGGTTCCGAACGCGAGGTGAAGCCGTTCCCTTCACGACCCGTGTCCCAGGCAGCGTTGGCTTTGATTTTCGTGGCATCTGTGTTCGTTCTGGTCTCAGTACTATGGCAGCACACAGCATCTGTCGCCGCAAGCACCATCGCTCAAGATATGGGTAACGGCAGTGTCAAGAGTGGAGTCGGCACCTCGGCGATGGTTCTCGGTTGGTTTGGATTTGGCCTAATGGTGGTAGTGACGATAGGCTTGCTGGTGATGATTCTCAGCATCAAGCTGATACGGCAGCTGACGGACGAAGAATAATCTACATGTTATGCGAGATAAATACTCGGCTTTTTCTTTTATTGTGGCTTTTATGCTTTTTATTGCCCATGTTTTCTTTTTTTCGACCTCACCCTTGACGCACTTTCCGACGGCACGAATGACACACGATAATACGACCTTGAATTCTGATCTCACGACGATAATGAGCAAAATCAATCAACTTCCCCTATCACACACTCTTCGCAATACAACTCGCTGTTTGTCTATCCTCCTTTCATCGCACTTGTACATTCGCCCTGTTTGCATCACGTCGGTTCTTGGTTCTCGTCATGTATAAAAGACGATTCTTCCATATTTTATTTTCTTCTTCTATTGGGATGGTATGGTTGCGGTGGGATCTGGGAAATGGAACCTTTCACGTGGAATACTTCGTTTGGATTTGTCAACGATTGATTGACAGAATGAATGGCTTTTGTTTCATGGTCATAATAAGAACGCTCGCATATAGATTGGCTGATGCTATCGACAAAAAATACTACATTCATCATAAGACCTAGTTCATTGGATCCAAGTGCCAACAGAGGTCTCATTGTTCCCGTATTAATAAAAGCATAGGATCAACGTAGAAAGGCAGATTATATGTCATGCCTCGCATATTTACTCGACATCCTAAGTCTCCTCCCAAATCGAAGCAGAATAAACGGATATGGCACAAACAGCACCGTCAAGCATCCTAAAAGCGTACTCGCCCACCCCACGCCGAGATTATGAAACATAGCCGTCGCGAACAGGGGAAACCCGGCCCCAAACGAAGACCGCATAAAGTCATTCCCCGCCAGCGCAGACGCCGCATACTTTGGATATGCGTGGGCCAGGTAACAAAAGATAGCGTTGAAAATGAGACATCCACCCACAGAGAAAAACAGCGAGGCCACGATGGGGATGATCCAATGTACACTTTGAAAGTTGCCGGTCCAGCCGAACCAGAAGAGAGAGATGGGTAGGGCGAAGCTGCCTACGCAGGCGGGCGGGAGTTGGTGTTCCGGGGCGATGTTCCAGTTTTGATCGAAGTGGCGGGATTGGTATTTGTATTTCCAGAAGAAGTAGCCCATGATCGTTAGGAAGGTGCCGATGAGGATGCCCATGAAGGCGAGGCCAGACTCACCCGGGTTGAAGCCGTGGATTTCGCTGAAGACGATGGGGAAGGCTTCGAACCAGATGTAGAGGATGCCGTAGATAAGGGAGATGTAGAGGTTGAGGAAGAGGACGATGGGTTCGAAGAAGCAGAGTTGGAAGGGGCGGACGAGCGCCTCGAATAGCACGTCCTGTTTTCAGGTCCGTTAAGTTGTGATTTGGATATTGGTGGTAGGGTTAGGAGTGGATGGGCCGCTTACTTTAGGTCTCACATGGCTGAGCTCGATCTCGGCCTCGCACTTGTAGTTTGAGTTACCGGTGATCTTTCGTACACGTCGTGCACGTCGCCAGAGAATGTTGGGGGTGAAGGTTTCCGGGAGGAAGAAGAACAGCAGGACTAGTGTAAATCCAGAGATCCACAGTAACTGCCAGATGGTCCATGTCCACCCTTTGGCAGAGGATGCAAAGCCACCGACAAGAGGTCCCAGCACTGGTGCAGAGATGGCAAAGCAACCCCAGATAGCAATCATGTAGTCGCGGACTTTCGGATTCCACATATCCCCCATCGATGCTCCACCGGTTGCAAGGGCGGGAGAGCCTAGGAAGCCCGTCAAGAACCGGAACGCTAGTAGCATCCCGAAGTTCTTTGCATAGATGACGGCAAACTGGAAGAACACAAAGACGAATAAGGTGAGGAGATAAGTGGGATTTCGGCCTACTGTTGGTAGTTCCGACAGAGGAGACCAGACCATAGGACCTGGGGAGACTATCAGTATGCTGACTACTGCGGCTTTGGTTACTTGTGAAGGTAGAGTTACTTACCCAGGCCATACCCGAGTACGAAAAGTGTCAGCCCGAGGGTTGCGGCGACTCTACTCACACCGAATTGCGCCGAGACACCTTCAATTCCCGGAGTGTATATTGCAGATCCAATATAGATAGCAAAGGTTAAAAGCCAAACTTGGCCACTCACAAGGAGTTTTTTCGGTGTACTCCAGTTTTGAGGATTCTATGAGTATGTGAATATGTACATGAATGGAGGAAACAGGGTTTGGAAAGTACCTCAGGATCATTTGGTCCACGCCAGTCAATCAGAAGAGGTGTCCCTTTATCGACACCGTCGGTTTCTGCTATCGAATTTAAACGGCGCGAGGCTCTTGAAGCCTGTGACATGACGGCATATAGACCGAAAGAGTCCACTTCGGTGTCCGCCAACGTCGCTGCTTCTTCATCTTTGACAGTGGGCTCGGGTCTTAAGCATTCTGTCCAGAGAGCTGGATCAATTTCCTCCGGGTAGCGTAACAATCGATTCCCGGTGAAGATGCGCACAAGCTTCCCAAAGGCTGAATCTCGAATGGTCTCCATTGTTAGGACTTCGCATATCCTGCCCCTGGTGTCGGTCCTTGGGCTGTTCCTATTCGGTTGCAACATAATATACTTATATACCCAGTGGTGGCAATCTCCTCCAACGCCTAATTATTAATTATTTCTCTAAACTTTGACAGCCAGCTTATTTGACAGGTTTACAGCCAATGACACTGCTGAGCCTAGCTATATACCCGTAAATCCGTAAATCCGACAACGTCATGGTTTGAGGCGGAAGTCTCCGGACGAGCAAGAGATAACTTGATGTCACGACTCATCGGAAACCAAGAAACTTTGATTCATGCGAGTTGGAGACCCTACCGTGGGTCCTTTCGTATGTCTGGACTAAGTGTAATAAGCATGCTGTAAACTGAATATGAATGCTCAACAGGTGTGAACTGGAAGAGTCAACTCAGCTTCATCACCCTCCCTAGACATTGCAGTTCAATGCAATTGACTGGAGGGCATCGATAGTTTTTAGTTCCAGATATGCTTCCACAAAACAAGTTAGAGTTTCTGCGTATATAATTGATCTTCCCGTTTCTATTTAACTTTGGATGAACGTTTTTGATTGACGGTCGAATAGTATGGTGAAGGTAGACATTTCCCAATGTTGCTAATGCTGTAGTCGCCGAAATTGTAGTATAATCATATGGCATCACGCATACTTCTAGGGAAAACCACGCTTTGACTGAGCCCTTCAACTGAGCAGCAAGCGAGGAACTTTGATGAGGTTGGCGTAAAAAGTAGAACAGCAAACAGGTCATTGAGGACAAGACCAAGAAAGTAATCAAGAAAAAACCAGGGGGCATTAACGTCCAGAAATATACGTAAGTGTGGCTTGAGAATGATTATATAAATCATACAAGCATTCAGAAAACGACTAAAACGCTATGTGGACATCAAAATACTATGGTCAAACAACCCCAAGTCCTGCAAGCCGAAGGGATGATAAGAAGTGTCTTGAAACTTCAACCTAGTAATTCATCACGGGGCCACCACCACCATTGCCTGGCCCAGGCTTCTCTTCATACGGCCCGTCATATCCAGCATAATCATCTAACGATCTATAGCCTGGTGGAGGTCCGGCATCGCGCCCACGGCCTCTGCCACGCGCCCCTCCTCGGCTTGCGTGCCCTCTACCTCTTGGACCGGACCCACGACCACGACCACGATACGACCCTCCACGGCGAGGGCCATCCTCGTGGTGATGGCGGTTACTAGCCCCATGGCGTGGGTTGAAGGGTGGCGGCCTCCCTGACGCTGGACCATCATGGCCACTTGACTGTGGGTATAAAATATCTTCATCACGCTCCTGCTGGTGGCGTCTCTTGTGATTTTTATTCAAAAATTGACTCTCCCACTCGCCTTCATGGGGGTTCTCTTCTTCGACCCGTAAAACCACTTTCTCACCGACGACTGTTTCAAAGGTGAAAGCTTTATCAGCAGGGACAGGATGCCAGTTTTGTATTTTGCCAGCATCAATAGGGCGAGCGCCTTTGCGCACTGCTAAGACTACCACGGGCTGTGGATTTTCTGTGTAATACTTCTCTGTTGCTGGAACGGGAGTTAACCGGGCAGCCCAGACCCTATGTTCAAAGACCGCAGTGCCTGTAACCTGCCAACTGAGCTTCTTGCCAAGCCCGCCAACCTTGTCGAGGATCGACCGAGGGGCAGGGCGAGGCGTGATTAGTATACTGTTAGCCATGTACTTGAGTTCATTTGAATCAGCAAGCCCCGAGGGCAGCATTGGGTTCAGTGTCTGACTGATCAGACGGCTGGAGTCCGCATTTGATATGAGATACCCCGTGTAAAAGATGGTACGTTTGATGCGCAATTTGCCATACGGGGATTTTGTATCATTGAGTGACGGGTTGCGGGCAGCGCGGTTATGAGCATTGATCATACGTTGCACTTCAGCTGTTTCAATTACCGGGGACAGGAACGTAGCTCCTTCTGCTACCTGTATCACTTCCGCATTAACTGGTTTTCTGGGAGAAGGATTTGGTACAGACTGAAACCTCCGGTTCAACTGTTCAAAGAAATCCCGGAAATGTTTCACACTGGATTTGCGTTAAAAGGTCATATTGGTACAACGACGGACGTCGAACTTACTGCTTCACGCGATCCTCGTAAACACGTATTTCATCGGCCTGGTTATACGTGAGAACGAGGTCTTCAAGGAAAGATTGCTTGAACTCCATAGTAGTAGAGAACCGCTCGCTGTTGGGCCCAACTTCTGGCTTGAGACAAACAAGGTCAAAGTCAAGTTCCCTACTCTCCACAATGCGCCTGATCAGGCTTGAAAAGCCACTCTCGCTTCGACCAGTGAGAAGTACTGTCAGAGCATCTTTTTGCTGCATACTGAGCTTGACCAATTGTACCTACGACCTATCAGTCAACATGCCAATCTTGGTTCGGTATGCGTAAGCCGCACGATTTGCTCATTCCACCACCCTTCCCAGCCACGCGATTCTTCGATCTCGACACCTTTCCCGGTGGCAGCAAGGAGGTTCGGATCATGCCACCATCCGCCGTTTGCGAAGCTCTCATAAGCCTGAAGAAAACCAATGGTCGGCCCGTTCCACAGCTGCGGATTCGGAAGAGGACTCAGGAATACTGAACGCTATTAACCCCACAGAACGCCTTAATATTCTGATCATATTGTGTCCTTACATGTGTTATCGAAGTCGTATACATGGATCGCTTTAACTTGGGACACGGCTGTTGCGCGGATGAGGCGACGAAGTTAGCACCATTACAAGCAACCAGAGGTAGAAATATGGTAACTCACGTGGTAGATCACGATTGACAATCGACCATCGTCTTAAACCTGTAATAGTACGTGAAGGAGATCGCTGGTGATCTTGGGCTAACGATCCGTTTGCCTGGCCGCGCGCCATCGCAGCAGCGTAGTTCTTAGAAAGGACAGCTCTTGCAGACGTCATGTTATTACGCTGGCCTCTAAAATCCCCCTGAATCGCTAAATCCGTTAGTGCATCTCCGCCGACACGCGGGAACTCGCTGTGTTGCTGATGGCGAATCGTTGTATGAGAGTGACGGGGTGGTGGAATTTTTATGACAGCGGGCGACCGCAACGTGACCTCCGCCAACAACCCTCCCACTGCCACGATGGACCGCCCTTGAAAACCCGCCATGAATAATTGGGACAAAAGGACTACTACCAGTATCGTCGGCCCATCGGTGGCTAACCAGACACCCGATAATGTGGACTTGCAGCAGGAGGTTATGCAGAAAACCCTCGATGAGGTAGCACAAGAGAAATTGGACCGTAATCTGGCTAACCCGTGCGTCATTTGTCTGGACCCAATCTCAGAAGCGGCCGTCGCAGTGCCCTGCAGACATGCGAATTACGACTTTCATTGCCTGGCAAGCTGGTTGGAAAATCGTCGTATTTGTCCACTGTGTATGTCATTATTGGAGGAATCTACATCGGTCTCGTCTAACTCGGTATCTAGGCAAGACCGACGTTTCTGCAGTGGAATATGATCTGGATAGTACCGGCGGCCCGAAAACCTATCGGTTAGATGCTCCTTCACAAGACCTTGCTCAACCAGCCCCAACTACCTCCACACCTCCTCGATCAGGACGGGACAGGATTAACCGCCGTCCTCGGCATACTCGGCCACAATCCCAACGTCGAAGTACACCTTGGTGCGACAATGATGCAGTGAGCCGGCGACAACATGTCTACCGCCACCAGCTCTATTCCCTGAGAGTCGGGTCAAATCGCCTCTCGCAGTACCAAGAATTGACACCGGAGAAGTTCAAGAATGACGAAGAACTTGTTTCGCGGGCTCGGAGCTGGATACGGAGGGAACTGCAAGCCTTCGATTTCCTTCACCCTCCGGAGACAGGCTCGAGCCAGAGTTCAGTGACTCGTCCGGGCGCAGCCAGGCTTGAGAGCCGCCGAGGAAGTAACGCCGAGTTCTTGTTGGAGTACATCGTTGCGATTCTTCGTACCGTGGACATTAAAGGCAGTGCTGGGCAAGCGGAGCTTCTCTTGCAAGACTTTCTTGGCAGAGATAACGCGTGCTTATTCCTTCATGAACTGCAGGCCTGGCTTCGAAGCCCCTATACCTCGCTATCGGACTGGGACCGCAATGTTCAGTATGAGGATCCGAGTAGAAGAACGACTTCACATAGATCGCGTCAAGAATCTTGGACGTCCGATCGTACGTCGACCCCAGTATACGGAAATGATAGTCGCGTTACTCAGGGGAGGGTTTCAAGGCCACAGCCTTCTCGCAGACCCCAACACTGGGGAAGATCTCGAGATGCCCTGGTGCAAGCGAGAAGGTTACAGTACGCACGGGACCGTTATGTCCCTGATTAACGGGGTTGCCACGCGTACGCTATTCTATTCTTAAATTTTACGAGGTTATGAATCATGTAGCGTGTGAAACGGTTATATGTATGAAAACCAGGCTATTTATTATGATTCCTAAGGTGGTATCTCTAAGTATGCGGTAGTCGTTGCTCATAAATGATGTTGGTGTAGACCAGCCATTGTGCTTTATCGTCTCCTGCCGAAGCGCCCTGCGCCTCTGCCTTTAGAGTTCTTATTTCGAAGTTTCAATGACCGATAATTGGCATGTGCCGCGGGATTGATTTTCCTCTCACGAGGCTTCGTCTCTTTCTCCTTCACTGGAGGCTGCGACGGTTTCTCTCGCTTTTCCGTTGGTGGCGGCTTTACAGAACCGATCGCCTCCTTCATTCTTTCCGAAAAGCTTTTGTTTCTGGTAAGGGGCTTGGCGTGTTCCCCGTAATCAGAGTCGGAGTCAAGCTCTGGTTCTGATATTGAACGCAGCGAAGCAAAGTCTGAGAACCCACCAGCCTCGTCAGCATGGACCGCAGGCTGTTGCGTTTCTGGCACCGCTGCTAGTTCATCCTCACTGTAGCCCGTATTCTCCGTGCCATCTTCTTGCTCTGATTCTGGCAACTGTGACTCACGCCTAGGCTTTGTGACAACCGGCTTCATGCGAACCCTGCGCGTTGTTCGTTTTTGGCCCTTCTTCTTGAACGTTCGGCCCGTATCATTGCTAACCGTCTGGCTGTCAGTCACTTCAGTGCTGACGGCGGCCTGCTCTTCTTCTATTTCTCGGAGTACATCCAGATCATCGTCGAGGCGCTCTTCCTCCATGTCTCGTAATCCTTGGACCAGCGCTGAGAGCCCTTTCCCGACAAACTGCGGCCGTTTACGTACGTTGATCGGGCTCAAGCCCTGTCCGGTGGGATTAGTTGCGCCATAGCGTGCTGAATTAGCCCGTCGCAGGAATGCCGGGGTCTCTGACTCCGGGGCTTCTTGGCCGGCACCGTTCGCACTGGTCTGCTGTGCACGTTCGTGAGGGGCAGCATCATTTCGATCATCCATCATGGTAGCGTAGCGCCATGTTGTCGGCGTCGCAAATAAGGCGGAAAGCATATAGCTCTTGCTTGCTGACGCCGGGGTTCGATCACCGCGAGGGCTGTCTTCCTCTTCATCCTCCTCTGCTATGGTATCTAGGGCATTCCGTTTTGAGGGCGTCTGTGCCGCTGTGCCACGCACACTGGCTATCCTGGACGCCGTCGGTGTCGCCGTACTTCCACCCGATTCGGATAGGAGATCGAAAAGACCAAGCGACTTTCCATCTCTCTGAGGAGTGGGCCCAATGGCTGTCTTGAACGGTGATGAGGACTGTTGGTGTGTAGTCGGGCTAAACAGCCTGCGCAGTGCTGAGGGAGAATCGTAAGGATCAAGCTCTGACGGATGAGAAGCCACTCCGCGTGGCTTCGAGGGGGTTGCGAAGGGACCTTTCGCCGCTTTGCGAGGCGTGGACTCGAGATGGACCTCCCGGGATCCAGGAGGTGATGTATGTTTCCGTTTCTTTGAGCGCTCTTCCAAGTCAACGGGGTTAGGATTGTGTTTCTTTTCATATCTGGCTGATTTTTCGAGCGACTTCAACCGCGAGTACTCCTTGTATTTGGCCGCTAGATAGGATAGGGATGTTAGATCATGAGAGTAGCAACAAAGCAGCACAATAACTAGATACGTAGTCGCGTACCGATCTCAGGCGCATTTTTAATATCACTTCGGTCAGCCTTTCTTCCCTCATTCGCAGCGGCGAAGGCTCTTTCCCAGTCCTTTAACTCGGCGCGTAGCTTCACAGACTGTGACGCGATATCGGCAACATCAAGGCTCGACATTATCGCATGACGCAGAAAGTGTTGACGGAATGAGAAGAAAAGTCGAATATGATATCCTGGTGATATTCTCCGACTGTAATTAAGAGATATGGTCGTAATTCAGGTAGTGGCTACTGAGTACTAGGTATAGTAGTAGTACGAGTAATCGGAGTTCCGTCGTTGGTCCCTTCCGGTCGCGTGCGCGAAAATCGATTTAATTGAATTTCTCCTTATTTCGCGCGATTTAAATTAAATGACGTAACGCGTTCCTAACCCTAACGTTTTCTATTTTTTACTTCTTCGGGTTCAACATCAACATTCTATCCATTATCATTACCCAGATATATAGCTAAAACTCTAAGCATCACAGTATTCAGCGCAAGATTTTTATAATGCTACCAGCTTGTCAATCCCCGTTGTCGGTCAAACCCTCCTCGTAACTGCGACTCGGGATGGACGACCTTCCCTTGCAAAATGGTATAGTTGACCACTCCCTCACAATGCTCCGGCTTCACTCTCGCTAGCCAGATCATCTGTTGCTCTTTTTTCCGATAAATCAAAACATTGGCGGAAAACTTGTGGCCGCCCACGTGGGAAACAAAGAAGATCCCCACACCCCCAAGGCGCTCGTCATCCGCATCGCGATATAACCCAAGAGGTCGCAGATGCCGCTCCATTTCTTTCTTGATTAATGGGGCAGTTATCCCACAGCGGGCATCTCTCCGCCTGTGAGAGCAGAGAAGTACCACATAGTCGTACTGGCATGGTCGGGATTGCAATCGGGATGTGACCGGTTGCCCTTTAGGGGCATCAATGAAGTCGCCAACTAGCGCCCTAACATCGCCAGGGGTCACGGAGTCTACGAAGGTAAACGAAGGCAGAAGCAGCACGGTGGTCCCTTGGGGGCTCTTATCTCTGCCGTCTACCTCGTTGTCCGGCTTCTTGAGGTTTGATGCCGAGACCATAATACGCTATTCTGGTTAGATCATGCTGAATAGGTGGAATTTGTGTATGAAGTACATACCCCGTGCTTGGATTGATTTGAGCTACTGTCAAAGGCTTCCATTAAGCTTCCTTTTTCATTCTCGACTCTCTCCACCCAGTCTGATTTGCCTGTGGCGACCAAGACATGCGCGTGGAACTCCTTGATGTGCCCATAGAGTGGCCGGGAGTCTTCGATCTTCACTTTCGATGGGAAGTGCACCGTGCAATCGGCACAGTCTAGTTTGCAGTCTGGTCCGTCGTGCTTTGGGTCTACCGTTGGGAAGATATAGTTGGCGTTGGGCTTGCCTAGTGATAGGAGTGATCGCAGCATCGTTGTTTGGCTTTTATCTATTTATCAGAATTGCTGGCTAGGTGGTGACAATCAAGATGGGTTGGAAATTAGACTTGGCGAATAACTTGAACGGTTAGACTAATCGTGGTGGATGTTTTGTTTGATAATATACACCCCGACTAAGCTCGGAGATGTGTGATCCCCGAGCACCGAGCTCTATCTCCGAGAGCCATGACATGACAGATAATGCAGAGGCAAATCCTTAAAGTATATCTTGCTGCCTTGGCCTGGGCATTGCATCATAGGTGGGGTAGTAGTATGTAATGTCATCTGTGATGGTGTGGAATGCCTCGGATATGAAACATTACCATTGTCACTCGTAGGAGTCACGATGCCAAGAATTTCTAAGTATGTTGGTTGATGGACTTAAAAATTTCGGCACTCGACTTCTGCTTCCGTATTGGCGGTGTACTGTACGTAGATAGTCTATGGCGTCCAGTTTAGATCCGTTATTCTATTTTTAGAGGGGACCCTCATGGTGGTGTGGCAGTGGATGGATATGTACTGAAAGGACCTGGTAGGTGCCTACTAGTACCACGTATATACGTAAGATAAATGTAGGTACAGAGGACATACATACTTGAGAGGTATTTTTTAGGTACATGCAGAAGATCTCGGAGATACCGCGCTGCGGGAAGATTTGAGCTTGACCTATTTAAGCAATTTCAGGCACCAAGGTTTTATCGAAACATAAAATGACTATTAATGTATCATGCCCATTTACCCCTTTAGGCGTAAGTCTATAGTCCACAATATAGAACTAATAAATATGTACGCTAAGATACGAACCATAATAAAAATCAACACATCAATTAAAAATGAAAAGAAAAGAAGAAAATTTAAGGCCCGGCGAGAATTTCCCGAAGCGGTTAAGCCCGAGCAGTGGAGCAACACGTAAGCTTATCAAGGATCTCCGGCTGAGCCGATGTAAGTCTTACTCTCCTACCCGACCCCCATCGAGAGAATCGGACCAAAAATTCAAGCAAGAAAAAGGGCTAAGATGTCCAATCTTCACAGACCCGACCAATTGCCAACAATTCGACCAATTCCTCAACCATGATGGATGTACAACAACAAGAACATCAAGCGCTGGGGGCTTCGGACCCGGAGCCCCAACCGGAGCACCGAGTGCGAAAGAGACGCCGAAGGACAGTGGCGTGCGTGCAGTGCCGTAGCAGAAAGCTCCGCTGCGATAGAAAGCTTCCCATGTGTAGCCGTTGTGAAGGCAGCAAAACACCTACCTATTGTACCTATGAGAAGGAATTCCTTTGGCAACAACCCAATACGGTGGTTACACCCGCGATCCCCGAGCGCGGTCCCACCACTGTCGCCCAAGCCTCGCATCTGGCTCGGACTCACCCTGCCCCAGACTCGGCGTTAAGCGGTTTAACTCGGTCGCAACCGACTACTTCATCGGATACGCGTCCCGCTCTAGAGAAGCGAGACCATTTCTTGGAGACCGTCCTGGGTGCCCCCAAGGCCGCCGTCAATCAAGAGCCGTACTTGACCACTGACCTGTTGCAGCATTCGAAATATCATAATCATCATGTTGCCTCCGTAAACCAACATGGGATGCCCCCGTACCGCTACGGGGACGACGAGGACCCTGCCTCCCCCTCCCAACAGCTCGGTATCTCCCCTAGAATCATGATGCGAGGAAAAGAAACCAAGACCCGCTTCAATGGGTCCGGTATCTTCGCCAATTTGATCGCTCAGGTTGGTTACATCAGAACTGGCCATCGAGACACATCATGATTGACAAGAGCTTCTAGTTCCCAGATATTAAATCGTTCGCGGAGGAGATTCGCGTCGCCAGCCCGCAACTGTCCGCGCTGCGACCCGACCTCGCGAGAGTGAAGAGAGGCCTCTGGAAGCGGAAGCCTCTCAATACCCCCTTCCCGGAACCCACGACGCTCTCACTCACCCAGATGCTCCCGTCGCGCCGCGTAGTGGATGACCTGGTGGTGTTGTATCTGACCTATTATGAAGCCACGCACCGTGTTCTTCATGTTCCGTCCTTTCTCAAAGAGCTCGATGAATTTTGGGCTCAAAGAGATAACCCAGACTTTGTATCCCCACACTTCGTGGTACAACTCCTTCTGGTTTTGGCCTGTGCGTGGAACCTGGCAGATTTTGAGACACTTCAAATAAAGAACGATAACGAATCCAATTTGACATGTTACACCGCAATAGAATGGGTCCTCCATACCGAGAGGTGGATCGAGAACTCCCACGTCAAGAGACCCGACATTACAGCGTTTCGGCTCTATATCCTCCTGATGATTGCGAAGAATGCGCATGGAATGAAGCGTAGTAAGGCCTGGCTTGATACGGGGACCCTGATCAAGCAAGCCATGCTAGCAGGGTACCATCGGGATCCCAGCTTGTACACGAAGATCTCGACCTTCAACAAGGAAATGCGCCGGCGGATATGGACCACGATCTTGGAGCTTGATCTGGAAGTCTCCCTCGAGAGAGGGATGCCTCCTTCGTTGCAATATGTAGACTATGACACGGCTCCAGCACTCAATCTAAACGATAATGAACTAACGGAGACCATCGACGAACTTCCGTCGGAGAGGCCACTCAGTGAGATGACCGATACATCGTTTCAATCTGTCCTGAGAGAGTCCCTTGCTTTACGTCTCAAGGCTTGTAAATTAATGCATTCGCCCCGGATAAGCTGTCGCTATGAAGAGATCCTTCACATGGACTGGGAGCTGAATAGATATCTCTCGAAAATCCCCTCCTGGACGGCATCCGAAGGGGAAGACCTGCAAACTCAGCACAAAAGGATTCTGATAAAGTCTCTTTTGCAAACTAAGATTGGTCACAGTCTTTTATCTATCCACACACCATTTGCCATTGAGACCCAAAAAGAACCCCTTTTTGCGCAATCCTCACGGACTCGTCTAGAAGTGGCCACCATGATTTTGTCGACGCAGAGACGGCTGCATGAGATATCGAGGCAGCTGTCTCTCTCGATACTGGGTAATTGGACCGTGCAGGCTTACTGCTCAGTATGCCAGTTACTCCACGCGGGGACTAACAGTCAAGGTACGTCTTTATGTAAACAGAACATGTGTATCCGACTAAGGACCCCGTGCTAAAAAATCAACGCAGCTTCTTCTCTAATGTCTCTACCCCAGACACTCCCGGGCATGCCAGAATCCTTGATAACGTCAGTGGAGATGACCTTAACCTGTCTGGAAGCACATCTCCTCCTGGTGGTGAAAGGTGCTAAGGAATACTTCTTCATGTCGACCATCTTGGCTTTGGCCAAGGCTAGATTATGGCCTGGCCAGGCAAATGTCTACAAGCAGGAGGTAGTGGATCGAGTGATCTTTTTCGCTCAAACTCTTTTCACGCGCCACGCCAACTGCGATCATCTAGGGGATCTGGGAATGGGCAGTTTCAAGACCAATCAAGTGAGTCCGATTTCTGTATTGTTGAAACTAGCAGAATCTAAGGACCCTAAAAACTCTAGGTCCCAGTCTTGAATCCAGACTCGGGAATGGCACAGCCTTTCGTACCTAATATGAATATGCTACAAACGACAGATTTTGGCATTACGGTGAACACCCGATTGCTCTCGCTTATATGATAATTGGCTAACATTAGAACAGCCGTCTGGAGAACTAGACCCTTTCCTTGATGCATTTGACTGGGGAGATCTAACGGGGATTACGTTTGAGGGATACTAATACACTAGGTATACCAGTAGGAAAGCCCAGCAATGAAAATGTAGCAGACACGCCATCTGATCCGCTTTTGGCTATTTACATGATGCCTTAATAGTGACTAACGCCAACCTACTTGAAGGTAATGTTCGTGTGTACATGACATGGACCTTTTCGCAGATCCAAGAATATATAAGAATGAGGTGTTCCGATCTCAAATCTGATCGAAACCTTTCCTGACTTTCAGCCCACAGTAGGGGGAAACATTCGTCATTGGTTGTGCGACGACGACCTTAAGATTCTAAAAAAAAAAAACAGAATCCTGGCAAGAGACCTAAGCATTGACAGCCACGTACAAGATGATTTGTGGTTCAGGTGCCCAGTTTTGGCTCGAGTCTCCCGCAACATCAGTGCTTCCATATGCAACTGACCCACCCGCCTTGAATGAAGAACTTCGGTGCATGAGCCATAGAATCTTTTTATTATTTTCTCCTCCACGGACCCCATGGATTGTAACTGTAACTTGACTTATCTCTACAAAATTCCTGACTTGACTCAAGAAAAATGTACTTGGCCACAAGATTCCGCCGCTCAACCATGCCGTGAAAGGAATACTATGAATCCTCTTTACCTGGCTAGCTCTTAAGCCTCGATGAGCCCAGCTACCCCTGGAGACTGAGGTTTTGTCAGCATTTAGGCTCCTTCCATTGCCTGCCACCATTTCTTCCAGCTCATCTCTTTTCAAGAACATCATCTCGCAATGGCTAATGTGCCCGTCCGTACCAGAGCTGTGTTCCATCCTTTTCGTCGTACCTTCTACGCTGTGACTATCGGATGCATCCTTTGCTAATAATAGCTGCAATGTAGGATATGCCAGCGATGAGTGGTGAAAACGTACATGCGCGTTTCATTTTCCGAGAGCCGAGTGATATCCTCCAGAACCCTAATTCTAACCCTGCTATGTGTATATAGACAAAGAAAACCTAAGCACTAAAAGGCCCCATCATGGCATCGTCCAAAGTAGACTGGAGAATCTAGGGTCTTGAACTAGTGATATTGGTGGCGGCCTATATTTCAATAAAAGGTGGCGTTCATCCTGACTTTGTTGGGAAAAGCAATCCTAGGATTGGATTATCGCCGGATCATAAAATCCACCAGCAGCAAAGCCCGGTAGGCTGGCTTGGGGGACCATATCTCTACCCTTATTCCCAAATGTTACCCCATTTCCCGCCCGTGACTCTAGTCAAGCAACAACTACCTTAAGGCTGTGGGTATGCCCTTGATGGATGGGATTAGATACTCCCTACGTCTATAGCCCTCACAGGTAATAGAGTTGTCCCTCTCTGTACGTCCTATACTAGGTATCCAAGGTTGCGATATAACTTCATATACACACCGTAAAAATCTTTGTCAAAGATGTATACCATAACGTGGCTATTTCGCGCCCTCTATTCAATTCCCTTCCTCAACTATGCAGCGGCCTCTCCAACCTGCGCCCCAACGACCGATCTACGCAATTGCACACAAAGTACTTACCCCGGACGCAGTCCAGATGGCTCTGTCCCACGGCGCCAATGCAGTACGAGTTGATATAAGCCCTTGGTACTCCGGTTGGTGGACCGACCACGACGGCTCATTCATGAGCGATAGTTCTTCCGCGCATGGGATTTTTGAATCCTTCGGAAAAGCCCGCAACATCGTATTCGTGTAGCTGAACATTCACAGCCCGGATCGTTGCAAAGAACGTCAAGCCTGCTCTATCGAGGCATTGTGGGACTTAGCCCGGGAGATACTCGAGCCGGCAGGCGTGCGGGTCCTGTACGGCTTTGGTCAACCCACCATGACTCGTGGATATACGGTGATCCGGGATTCTCTAAATGAGAACGAAGCAGTGGTTATCAGTGGCAGGACGCACGATGTGTTGGAACGGTATAAGGCCGCTGGTGAATCTATTCCTATCGACCGGAGGGTTATGGATTACGGTAATCTCCAGTTTTGCCAGACGCTAGATCTCGACCCGGAGCTGCGCTATGCAAGCTGAGCTCGAGACCAAGGCCACCTTGCCAAGGTCTCTAGTGGGGTCAGCACGCAGGGAGATACCCAATGGTCCGTCGTCTATTGGATGAGGCTGCTATTGATGGATTTGTCTATGGCCACTCTGACGCTGACTACGGGGATGATGACGGCACTCGGGTGGCTATTCGGGATATTGTTGGCTTCGTGGATTCACACTCTGATAGCCATCGGATGGCGACGAGATATGACTCGCCTTGGTAGTTTGAGAGCAATGTTGACCGCTTGTTCTTTGAAAGGACGAACGATAGTTTTTTGTTTTGTTTTTTTTATTTATGTATGTATGTACTCCCTGCTCCACTCCTCGCCAGAAGACAGGAATCAAGCAAATCAAAACGTAGACCCTGTTGAACCTGTTCCATTGAATGAGTAAAAAAACGATAAATGTAATGAGTGGCATTTCACTGGCGCCGGAGCTCTAATACGGCGTGATCCTCCTAGAACTGAGAACCTTCCGAAAGCCTGACTGCGGCTGAGTGTCGTACACCTGCACCGCACCGCTTCCAGGAGCATGATCCCTCCATTTCCTTTATTGGCGTTGATAGACCGCCCGAGCAGTGAATGCCAAGGAGTAGAACAGGCTATATTACACCCTCTGTGTGCAACCACACCAGCCTGGGTTGTGGGATTTCCTCCTGGCTCTGGGGCTCTGAATTTAGAATCAAGCAGTGATAGCTTCCCTAACGAACAGAAATTCAGCACTTTAAAGCATTAGTGATACGCTTTTCCAGGAAAACCAACTTGCCAGAGGGGGTGAAATACCTCAATTACGAAGGGCACGACTAGCCTGACAGTTAAGCATTCTTACAGAAGCGAGAGCCTAGACTTTCATTGGCATCTACAACTAAAGATTGGGGTTTTAGGTCTAATAACTGGCCATCTAGTTTTCAGCCTAGAGATACTCTGGCCAGGGCTTACAACTGCGGAGCGTCAGAGTCTCTCCTCTACGCCAATACCCCAATACCCCTTGCTATCTATGGTCAAGATCCAAATACGCATGGGCACACCTGTATCCCCCATGCCTCAGATGACAGGATGAAGCCCAAGCATGTGAGCCCTAAACTAGTGATCAGTTGAGGTTTCGTTTCTGGTCACTTGATAAAGGCTCGTAGTCCATAGTTCAGCTGTCAATCGTAGTTATTCTTCTATGGCCAATGTTACAAATTTATTGGAAATTGCTTCGGCTCGATGCATGTCAAAGTAGTAAGTCCCCATTCGGAGCCCATATTGAGCAAGGTAAAAGAACGAGCTGGTTTATTTAGGGTCATGAGATCAGGATGAGAAGACAAACTGTCCCATACGTCTATTTGTGTTCTCAGCTACGATAGGCATGTTTCTCGCAAAAAAAAAAAAATAGAAAAAAAAAGATATGGAAAATGGAAAATGGAAAAGAAAAAACCCGTGTCTATGCAATCCAGAGTATAGAGAGATGCTGGACAGTTTATTGTTAGCACCGATAGAATCTAGTAAGGATTCAACATCTGCTTATCCATTTCTCTGTAACCTAGTTCGGTCGGGAACATTGTAAGTACTCCACATAATGATCTATTTCTGGCGGAGAGGGGTGAGCAATAGGCGATCAGATGCTAGTAGGGCGTTGATATGAAGCAAACACATATAAAGGCCACATCTATCCCATCTTGCAGACAACCCTCGATCATCGAACCTATCAACATCACTCCTCCTTGGCCTTGATCGTAGGTACAAGTACAGTTACACTCCCCATCCCGGCGTCGCCACCATCATTATCAACCTTACACTAGATCAATAAGCATGAAGGCCAACCTCAGCCTTCTTCTCATTGCCGCCCAGGCCACTATAGTTCTCTCAACCGCAACGCCTAGAGACAATCATCCCACGGAAGTGGCCAGCACGTCCCCTCCCGCGAGAGACCTATTTGCTCCCAAGGAGTGTCGGACCAGGTCTCCTTACGGCTGTTCGGAGGACAGATGGTGTTGGAAGCAATGTGGTCCTGGTGGTAAATGGTGTTGGATGGCTAAGAACGGGGGACGTGGCGAGTGGAAGTCCTGCACTAGTGCCTCGGATTGTGTTCCTGGTAACGACGACAGTGATTGCGGGAAGGGGGGCTGCGCGGCCTGTGGTTGTGGATGTTGAGGGGTTTGTTATATTTTGCAGTGGTGGGGTTTCATATAGCTTTATATATATAACAAACCTAGCCTGTCCCGTATCTCTTGAGATGAATGATTCTCTGTTGGGGTTATTCACAAGTACTCTCAGTCTTTCACGACTTCGAACTCCTTTGAAGGTCTCCCACCGCGTTAATATCATCCTTTCCCCGGGCTGTTGAAGTTCTCATTTAGGATTTCATACTAATACCTAGAGCTATTTTTTCAAAATAGTTAGAAACAAGCAGATATAGCTTTCAACCGATCTGGTTCACTACTATAGAATTAAAATAGAAACCCGGGATTCATTCTCCTCTATTGAGCACCTGAAAGTGGAAAACAAACTGCACATTTAATGGTATTGTTTGTTCCACTTAAAAAGGCTGAACAGCCGTCTTATATGTGAAGACGGAGAAATCAAATCAACTTATTGGTACTCCATCTCTGTAATGAGGTATGTGGCGCTCTGCTTCTATTGCCTTGTGGAGCAATTAGGGCTGGGGTCACCTGAGCCTACACCGCATACTAATCACTCTAAATTACATTCAAAAAGCAGAAAGAGCTGAATAAAAGTCCTTCTAGTCTGAATCACAGATATATAAACCTAATCCTCCCAACCCAATCGAACCGCCACCAACCTCACAGCATAAACCAGCCCCAAGAGCACCGGAACCTCAATAAGCGGCCCAACAGTAGCCGCCAGAGCCTGATTACTATTCTCTCCAAACGTCGCAACAGCAACGGCAATAGCTAGCTCAAAATTATTACTCGCGGCCGTAAAACTCTGCGTCGCTGCCAACCTATACCCAAATCCCATCTTATAAGCGACGAAAAGAGTCGCAAAGAATATAACACCGAAGTAAACGATAAGCGGCGCGGCAACACGGATCACCGAGACGATCTGATGCACAACCTGGCGTCCTTGAGAAGCGAAGAGCACAAGAATTGTGAACAGGAGTCCGATTAGGGATAGCGGGCTGATCCATTTTAGGAAGACTTGGTCGTACCATCGTGCGCTTGTTGGCCGTCGGAGGATGAAGCGTGTGAGAATCGCGGCGCCTAGCGGGATTCCGAGGAATACGGCGACGCTTTTGGCGGCCGTGCTGTATTCGAATGTGACGGTGTCGCCGCTTATGATTTGGATGAAGAAGACGCCCATGGGTGCGAATAGCACCATTTGGAGAAGGGAGTTGATGGCGACTAGGATGGCGCAGTATTCATTGTCACCTCCAGCGAGACCGGTCCAGATTAGGACCTACTTGGGGTGTAAGTTTGTAACATATGATGATCGGTAGGATGATTAGCGGGCTGCTCAAGTTTTGCTTACCATAGCGATACATCGTGCTAGGCCGACAAGTATTAGCCCTTGTCGTAGTTCTGGTTCATCAGGAAGAAAGGCCCAAGCCAATGCTAACTAGAATAAATTCTTGTGAGTACTATAACTAAGGAGCATCGTTAACGTAGGTACACCTACCATGAAGAATGGAGCAATGATCCAATTGATGACTATGCTGAAGGCAATTTGGACCCAGATCTGACGAGCTCGGAAGACGTGATGTAAACTCTCATATTTTACTTTGCAGAGAATGGGATACATCATAACAAGAAGACCAACGGCTATTGGCAGTAGGGTTAGTGACTGGGGATGACATGGCCAGCGACACTCACCTATTGGGATCGATACTCCCACAAATTTCCCTTTTTGTAATGCAGGTCCAGTGCTCGGAACGAAGTTGCCCAGAATAATCCCGATTGCCATGGCGAGGAAGATCCATACTGCTAGGAATCGGTCAAGGAGTCCGAGATCCTTGAACGCAGAATGTTTTACCTTGGGCCTGTCCGGGGACGCTGAATTTTCTTGCTTTTCCACATCGCTCATTGGAGCAGTAGGATGGGATACATTTTTGGGAAGTGTCTGTGTCTGGGTAGAAGCCATCACTGTATGTTTCGGATGGGGGAATATCGTAAAAGTACTAGTAGGTGTAGGTGGTCCTGTGGGTGTTTGATAATAGTAGGTTTTATAGGGTTAGAAGGACATACTTAGAAGGACATAATAAGACAATCCTGTTTAGTTACCAGTTCTAGAAGCATGAAGGTATGAAAGCTAGACTTGTCTTCCCTCTCGCCTACTCTCCCTTCTACTTGTTTTGGGGTTTTGATACCAATGCCCTGGCATGTCACTGGCAGACCATGATTGGTCGAGGTACTGTGGAGGGGGATGGGAACGGTGGGCCTCACTTATAAAATTGCTCAGCCAATCAAAGCATGAGAGTGACATATACTGAATCCTAGGGGGTACCGGAGTATTAGGTAGAGTACACCTCTTTTAAAAAATAAACCCATTCTATGAGATAGACACTACAAATAATGTACCCGTCTATATTCTTTATTTTGGCTCATGATCTCAAAAATCATTCGCAGCCTCCACTTGGACGACTACAAGAAACTTCTTCTCAAGCCAAATTCTTGCCAAGACCTGGCAGATAGTGCCGACACCTAGAAGAAACATACTCTTCTGTCGACGAGCAAATTCTTTGGTAGCAATTCCAGATAACCCAGCAGAGCAAGTATAACGAAATAAAACAGATGGCACGTACTGCCTAGCCAAAGCCGATTTGACTTAATAATCGGTTCAAGGCAATGGGGAAGACAACGCCGCCGGTCGCTGCACCACTCACCACCAACCCCATAGCCCAGGCACGACGAGTGGTAAAATACTGCCCTACTGTTGAAACTACAGGGTTAAAGATCATACCACATGCGGTACTGCCAAGGATACCCTGAGCCAGAATGAATTGGTAGTGTTTGGTGCTCAGGCTGGTCATAATAATGGCGAAAACTAGGAGGGGATAACAACTGTCTGGAAACCCTATCAATCAGCTATTGGAAGGGTAATTAGAGAGGAGCTCCCTACCTTTTACATCTAGGCGATCCGAGGGAGGCCCACGGATGGTACCAGAGAGGAATAAGAAAAACGCGACCCAATCCATGATATTGTGCTAGCGGAATAGTCGACAAGGAAGGTAGTAGAGTAGTAGGTTTGAAAAATCCTGGGACGGGCTAAGTTAGATCTTCATCAGTCGAAGGAGACGGAGCTCCCACTGACCCAAACGTGTTGATGAATACAAAGGTACACCTAGAATACCCCATCTAGTTAGTTAGCGTGCGAACAGGTCAACCTAAAGGAAGGATGACCGACATCTGCGCAGCAAAGGCCCCCAGGGTGACCATCCACGCGCGAGCACCGCCATTGGGAGGAATGGATTTTTTCTGGGATTTCTCGGTCCTCATGCCGAGGCAAACCTTGGCACCAAAAAAAATTACTGATAGCTAGCAATGGTAAAGGGTGTTGTGTGTCTCTTGAAAAAGTAGAAACAATTTCGGAGTTATGGAGTCGTTACCGTTACCTCCACAACAGATCCAAGGCCGACATAGTCTCCTGGTTTTTCTTCGACTGTACTGGTCTTGTCGATCATATGGGACACGTTGAATGAACTATGACAATAATACACCTGCGCTTTCACGATATTCTCTTTGAAAAGGTTTGCCTATATTTCTAGAATTGGGCTAATTATGCCTTATGTCCAAAAGAACGTAGACTGTACACCTCGAATTAACAACTAATAGTCTCGATTATATAAGGTACTGTTATTCTTTCATGGATTGGAGAAAGCGAGTCTATCCCTTATGCATGCTGAGGCCACTTGCGAAACAAATCCGCCAACTGATCAAAAGGTGCGGTCACCAATCCCACGGCGGTCTCGAACGGCGGCTTACTCGGTGCATCGGGATGGGCTCGCGTGGGAAGAAAGATCTTGGTCCAGCTGAACGACCGGGAAAGGTGAGTGCTTTCTTTTTCAGTTAATGCCTTCTCCAATTTAGGGAGTTGATTTGTTTCCTCATCCGTGATACGCTGCCTTAGATGGCTCATCAGACTTTGAATAGATGGGGTGTATTCGGAATTCGAAGGATCCAGACTCTGGAATTTTTTTAAGTCCTCCTTGATCTTTACTATGTTGTTAGTACAGTACACCCACAGCACTAGTTCGAAGGATTCTTTCTCACAGTATGGTTCGCATTCCGGTTTTGACTAGCCATAGCAGCCCCATCTGGCAGATGTTTCTCCAATGCAGGGTAAAGGACAACTTCTTTCCCGACTAAGTTACGAGCCAGCTCCCAGGTGAAAAGGTTTTGGAATCGAATTTGCTCCTTCCTGTCGGACTCGTCGACGATGCGAGCGTAGCACGCTTCCAGCGTTCTGTGGTCCTCCTTGACCGTGTCAATGATGCGGCCTACCATGGTGATAGCTTATAAGTGTAGATAATTAAATATAGCTTCAGTGAAGATAGATGATCACTACCTGAAATAATTTCACAGCTTTCTGAATAATGAATGATATTCCGAAAGTCAAGAGTAATAGAGTCAATTATGTCATTATGAGCGAATGTTAGTCGCGAGATCTTGGTGTTTGATCTTAAGTTGTGAACCAGATCTAGAGGATCCATGGAATCATATTGAAGCTTATTAGATCATTTCCCAGGTACAAAGAACACTCGGAGATCACTGCATTCAATCGCTGAGCGGTCGAAAGTGAGGGCGGCAGTGATCCTTCCTACATTGCGGATTCGCAGCCAATCAGAGCCGAGGAGTGACCTACCTAACCCTACCTCCAATAGTTAGCAATCTATTATTAAGTCTTGATATTTAAACTCCAACCCCGCTTGTTTTCGCTGTCCAATTTCCAACGATATCAGAAAGCACTTCTACATTCCCCGAAGATGGCTTCGACTGAGGTCCCATGGCACGCGGCGTATCCCGCCCCAAAAAGGGTCGCGAACATCCTATCTCGGCCCGCTTTTTTACAATGGCTTAAACAAGGCAAGACAGCGGGAAAGGATTTCGTCTTGGTGGATGTCCGACGCGCTGATTACGAGGTATGTTGAGGAGCCCGTGCATTAATGGGGTGCAAGCGGTATAAGTTGACACGTGGATAGGGTGGCACTATCAGGGGGTCGATCAATCTTCCAGCCCAGAGCTTGTACCCTACTATTCCGGCACTCTATTCGCTTTTGTCGGCGAGTAAGGTGGAATATATTATTTGGTATTGTGGTTAGTTTCCTGCTCAAAGATTAGAGAGTGTTTAAGAAACTGTTACCTGATAGATGTACAGGGTCATCGGGTGGTCGTGGAACACGGTCCGCTGGTTGGTTCGCGGATTACATCGAAAGTCAAGAGGATACAACGCTGAAGAGCTTGGTACTAGAAGGTGGGATTAAAGGTTGGGCTGCGGCAGGACCGGAGTATACGGACTTGATGGACGAATATGACCCATCAGTCTGGGCGAAGCTAAGTTCTAAGTAGTTGAAGTGCTCAGCACCTTATGTGTCCCCGGTTGATAAAGATTCATGAGATTTTACCAAGATCTCGTTGCAACGCTAAAAATGAAGATTAGAGCCCGCTGTTCTAGTTGTACATGTAGAATGGTTTTTCAATAAACTTGCTCTACCGGGGATTGTAGGCACTGGATGAAAGCCAATAGCATGCACATATTGGTACCGGTTTACATAGATTCCCGATTATACCTCTTTGTACCTGTTGCTCTCTTCTCCTCCCGCTCGCTGAAACGATCACCGAAGACGCCCATGTGAGGCTGCATCGGAATCGTCTATTTCAAAATCTCCTCCACACAGTCCAACAGCCGGTCTCAATTCCCACTAAACATAAGTTGTTGGTCCCTCGGTGGGCCTTCGTTTGGGAATTGTGTATAGAATCGAGGACAGACTGGGAATTGTGAACACCTGCATCCACCGACCGAGAATGCACAGGAGTTAACTGCATTGAAAGACTGTGATCCACACAACCCTGAGTAATGGCAAGCATTCAACCCTATGTCAGGCGGACGCTTCCTGTACTAAGAGAGATCCAGTCAATCTAGTTCCTAAATACCACAGATCAATAAGTAGCATTCCCCATCCTATGTTGCTTAATCGCGGAGAATGAATGGATCGATCACTAGCCTGGTCTTTTTAGACGCGTATTACCTGAAACTTATATTGTTATTCTTGAACTTTCAGGGTTATAGAATATATTATTATCTATCATAATAATTAAGGGGAATGAACCACTTTAGATTAGCTGACTGAGTAAGTTACTACACGTTAACTATATAGTTATGTAACTAAGTTAACGTAATCCACCATCGAGCGGCACACACTACCGAGCGGCACAAACTTTTGTTTCCTACCCCCTGAACCCCTGATATTTATCAGATCAATTTATAGTATCACCAACACATTATAATGCCTCAAAAGTCATTAGATTCAGCAGCTGAATCAGAAGGCAGAATTCAACTTGTAATTCAAGCATTTAAAAAGAGTCAATTTAAAAGCATCCGCGCAGCAGCCGCAACATATGATGTCCTATACCGGACACTTGCCTACCGAATCAATGGTCGAAAAGCACGCCTGAATGTTCCAGTAAATGGCCAGAAGCTTAAAGATTTAGAAGAAGCTTCTCTTAAGAAATGGATTCTTGATATGGATAAGCGTGGCCTCCCTCCGACTTATGATATAGTACACCAAATGGCAAATCTATTATTATCTCACCGAAAGGAGTCTGAATCTGTTGGTATAAATTGGGTTTCTCGATTTATTAAGCGACATGATGAGATTATATCTAAATATACCCGCAAGTATGATTATCAATGTGCAAAGTCTGAGGATCCAGAGGCTATCAGTCAGTGGTTCAGTCTAGTTCAGAATACTATAGAAAACTATAGTATTACTGAACAGGATATCTACAATTTTGATGAAACTGGCTTCCAGATGGGTGTGGTATTTATAGCAATGGTTATTACTGCATCCCGTCATCGAACAAGCCGGGTACGAGCTGTACAGCCAGGGAATCGCGAATGGATTACTGCTATTGAATGTATTAATGCTTCTGGGTGGTCTTTACCTCCTATGATCATTTTCTCTGGAAAGGTTCATCAGTCTCAGTGGTATCAAGGTATAGACCCTGACTGGCTGATTGGCCTAAGTGATAATGGATGGACCAATAATGAGCTTGGCTTATTATAATTAGAAAAGATCTTTGAAAAGCATACCGCAACGCGTACATTAGGAAGATATTGACTTCTGATTCTTGATAGCCATGCTAGCCATGAATCTGCAGAGTTTGATCTATTCTGCAAAAATTATCAAATTATTTCTCTTTATATGTCTTCTCATTCATCTCATAAGCTTCAGCCACTTGATATTAGCTGCTTTGCACCTCTAAAGAAAGCATATGGTACAGGGGTAACAGATCTTATTCAAAAGAGTATCAATCATATTGATAAGGAGAACTTTCTGGATCTATATAAAGGGGCTCGAGAAGCAGCAATATCAACTTCTAATATCTACAGTGGATTTGAAGCATCTGGCTTAGTTCCCTTCAACTGTCAGCGGGTGCTGGATACGCTTACTATTAAGCATATCACTCCTCCATCTACTTCCCATGGGCCTTCAGACCAGGAATGGACTGCAAAGACCCCTTATACTACTACTGAGGTGCAAAAGCAGATGCAGTATATAAAACAGCTTATCCATCGCAACTCTGAAAGCCCTCCAAATGAAGCACTCTGTCAGCTTGTAAAAGCAGCTGAATCTACTATACATGAAGTTATTCTATTACGACACCAGATGACTGAGCTTTACACTACCAATGAGAAACAGAAGCGAAAGCGCGCAGCCCCTAGATCCTATATTGCTACTGGAGGGGTCCTGACAGGGGCTGAAGGCCAGCAACTTGCTCAAGAATCTATACAGATAATGGATTTAGGGGTACCAGTTCCTAAAAAGCGTGCACCACCATGATGCAGTAACTGTCATCAAATTGGTCATATTAGAACTAGCTGCCCTAGTAGGAAATAAATTTTCTTTATATATAAACAGAGCATCATTTTAATTGCGTGGTAGTGAGATATCTCCTAGGTTTTTGACCGTGGCCAAATTGTGTGCCGCTCGATGGTGGATTACGTTATGTACAGATGATGACTAATCAATATATGACTAAGATCACAAAGCCCAAATGGAGAAAATGCGTTTATTTCTCGACTGGCGACGTCTTCCCCTATGTATTGACGCTATTCGATCTGTGTCCTGCGACTTGGTCGGACTAGAAAACTTCGAGAAGTGCACTTCTCATACTGTACAGGTTTCCTACTTCTGATATCGACCCACATCCAATTCACATCTTAGAGCGCTCATTCGCTGGACGGATAGTCATTGAGTCGAGTTGCCGAGTGTTTTAGCCAAGGCAAATATGCCTTCCCATGACCACAGAAATGTAACGACGACCGCGAAGGTTAGCCAAGGCTTAATAACGGCGTATCGCAATATTACTAATAGGACCTTAGTCTGGTCAAGCGGCATCGTCTGCAAGAGTCCGTGACAACCAGCGACGTTCTCGCGCACGACGCAAAGAATACGTCCAGGACCTTGAGCAACGATTGCGAAGGTTTGAAAGTCTTGGAGTAAAGGCAACCCAAGAAGTTCAAACAGCAGCAAGACACGTTGTGGCGGAGAATTGTCTCCTTCGTTCCCTGCTGGGGCAGCTTGGCGTGACAGACAAAGACGTCGAAGATTATCTCAAATCACACATACCACACCCTACTTCCTCGAGTTCTTCTTCGGTGAATGCCGAGCCTGTGGTAGTCTCCCACTTGGCAGCAACACATGGTAATCAAGTTGTCAAAGGCGGCTCGCTATTAACACACCAGGAGGAAGACTCATCAGACGAGACTGGTGTTAACGACTCTAACCCACTGCCGCCAGGTTCAGTTCGAAACACACCTACTAAGGTGGATAATGTCCAAGCATTTGGTCTGACGCGACCGATGGTTGTTGTCCAGACTAGTTTTGTCGACTCTAAAGATCAGGATCAGGTTAGTACACGGGATACGGGCCAAAGTATGCCATGCGAGGCTGCAGCCCGAATTCTCGCGGCTATGCAAGGCTACCAGGAGGAGCGGGATGTACGATTTGAACTCGGATGCCACAATGATTCAGATTGCACGGTGCGAAACATGGACCTTTTTGAAATATTGGACAAACGATGGGATTGAGTCACATGCTGTTAGGGTTTCTGACTGTTGACTGAGGCATCATAGAACCCTAACTTAGGAAGGGTCCCAGCTTCGTAGAAATGAATTAATAGTTCATAGAAATGAATTGTTTGCCCCAGGGACACGTCATTTTCCACGGAATCCTCTGCAGATCTTAAACCAGGGTTTATCACATCCAGGGCTTTGGATATTCGCTGCCTCATTGGACAGGCTCGTGGGTCCCCCTGAGAGCATGTGGAGACAACCATTGGCTGTGAGTCCAGAAAAGCTTGGTAGAAGTTAATTTGCGGTTATTAATATCGTTCTGGATGGTTGTCTTGCTGACCTTTTGTTTTCCTCTGCGCCCTCTTCCAAGGCGTCCTCGGTTGCATGCCCAATACTCACTTGAAACGCTCTTCCTGACCTTCCCGCGATGTGCACTGCCACCCGTCTCGACTTTCTTTCATTCAACCTAGTGTTGTATCGGGACCCTTGCGCTGTTTGAGTGGGTCTCTGAAGATCGCTGCTGCCTATCGGACATATAGGCGCTGATATCAGGCTTGAAGCATTTCAATTGCTGTCAGTATTTTTGTCGACTCCTAATTGTCCGGTTTTCCCACCATCTCCGAAACTGCAACTGTCATTTACATCCACTCTTGAGTTGACACTGTTCATAATCCTTTCGTCCGCTGGGAATGATCGACAATGCTTCACAATTACATCATATCTTTAGCCTGGCTCTTGGGCATGGTGCATACGGCACCCTCGGATATCGCCAAACCTCCAGTGTTCTCAAAAACCGAAGAATATCCGTTACCGAATCAAGGTCACCTCAACGTCCATGACCCCAATATCGTGCAATATGACAATAATTTCTACCTATTCAAAGGAGGGATCCAAGTCCCTGTATTCAAGTCTTCTAGTCTCTCAGGTCCCTGGGCGAAATTTGGGGCGGTCTTGGCCGGACCCACGGTGATCGAGAAACAGAACCGGACGCGGCCTTGGGCTCCAACAACAGTTGAGTGGAAAGGAAAGTTCTATTGTTTCTATACTGTCAGCCAAAACGGAGTCCGCAATAGCGCCATCGGTGTTGCTAGTACGGACTCGATCGATAGTGGCTCCTGGACCGATCATGGTGGCCTAATCTACACTGAAAAGGGCCCCTTATCCCATGTCTGGCCATACACGGTATCCAATGCGATTGATGCATCGTTCATAGTGGATCAACAAACCGGCCAGCCGTACCTAATGTACGGGAGTTACTGGCATGGCATTTTTCAGGTGCCATTGGCCGATGACCTATTGTCCGTCAAGAACCCCGGCAGTCCAGATGCGAAGAATCTGGTTTTTTTACCAAAAGGAAAGCCAAAACCAGTTGAGGGATCTTTCATGAGCTATAAGGAACCTTACTATTACCTGTGGTTCAGTCATGGACAATGCTGTCATTTTGGCAAAGGGTTCCCCGCTATGGGACAGGAGTATGGTATTCGTGTAGGGAGGTCAAAGGATGTGCGAGGCCCGTTTGTCGACAAGCATGGAACACAACTCACCGAGGGCGGAGGTACGACGGTCTACGGGTCAAATCATGGGATTGTCTATGCTCCTGGCGGGCTTGGTGTGTTACCGGCAAACAGCACGGATCCAGACATATTATACTATCATTATCGTACGTACAGCCCTGGAGGTCGCTTAACATTCACAGCTCTGGGCTAATAGCTCTCCCTTCTAGTTAATACGAGTGTCGGCTTCCTACACTCGGTGAGCACATACCATACCAAACTATCCAGAACCCCTAATGACCTCAATCCCTAGGATGCCACTTTAGGTTGGAACTATCTGGAGTACGAGGATGGCTGGCCCATAGCAAGGTTCGTTTTAGAATGCTGTGAAGATGGAACTGATACTGATCAGTTTTGCTAGAGCGTCCAAGAGCACCGCGCCCATTCTTCAACCTAATTACACCTTTGTTGCGCTCGCCTTATTGTGTACGTTTTGTTTGGCTCTGATCTTACTTCCGGCTCGCTTCCCTGGTCAGCAGCTTATCTTACCCCTGGTATTCCTTGTCACAGCAGGTTTCCTATGGACTTATAGGTGACATGACGACGTTTCTGATTCTGATGATTACCTGCATTTACTTATATACCCTTTTGCATGTACAAAAGAAATGAGCTTTGTCGGATTGAGATACCGATTTCCATACAGGAATAGAGGCTCCTGGCCTCATGTATAATCTATGTTCCGCAAGTGTTGCCGGGCGACATGCGTGCACATATATCGAGAACGAGATATTGGACTTTATCATCCTCGCCGCTTATTCAAGACAGCTAACTCAGGGATCCCAACCACCATCGACCGAGAGGACAGTTCCAGTTGTGAAGGAAGCAGCGTCACTGAGCAAAAACAACACCGATTGAGCCGCCTCGTCCGCCGTCCCATTGCGTGGAATGATCGTCGGTGGCTGTGTGAAACCGCCTTGGATGGCGACGGCCTTGTCGAGCAATGGTGTCTGAATAGACCCTCTACCAGCATATGAGCATTTCTCTTACTCCGCAACCAAGGTGAAAGGAGCATACTCACGGCGCAACCGCATTAACCCTAATCTCCGGCCCAACCTCCTTGGCCACACTTTTGGTCAACCCAACCACCCCATGCTTCGACGCGGAATACGCCGCATGCAATGCAAACCCTCTGACTCCCTGAATACTCGTCGCATTGACAATACTCCCCTTGCCCGCCGTCGCCGAAATACCCCTCACCTGCGCCCGGACACAATACATAGTCCCCGTCAGATTAACTCTGAGTAAGCGATCCCACTCGGCATCATCTTGCTCCGTCAACCGGCCCGTCCCGTGCTTCTTCCCAATCATGCCCGCCATATTGGCGGCACCGTCTAGTCGTCCGAAGTGCCGAACGGTCGACTCGATCCAGGCATCTACGGACGCCGAGGATCCAACGTCGACCGGCGTTGTGAGGACATTCTCGCTGTCGGAGTTGAATTGCGCGAAGGCGGAGGATAGGGCTATTTCGTCGATGTCGGCTAGGGAAAGGCGGGCGCCGTTGTTGTAGAGTTGTTTTGCGACGGCGAGGCCGATACCTGCCAGGCCGGTGACGGCGTAGACCTTCCCTCTCACTGAGTCCATTGTGTTTGGTGAGGTTTGGAAGTGGGGTGGAGGGGATGTTCTTGTACAAGTTTCATGTTCACAAATGAGGCCGAGAGGGGTAGACTCGGTCGGAGATACTCCGAATTTCAGGTGATCGACTTCTGCCAAAATTGCGGATAGATTACTTAAGATATTTATTAGTTTAAATAGATGCCTCGGTGTTGATCGTCCTGCATAACCCTAATATCCGCTGATGAGTGAACGTAGAGCTCAGACATGCGGAAGGAAGGTCGTTAGATCAGCTCTCTAAGAGACAAAGGGGATCATTGTAACCCAAGTCTCCGTCCGCATCATGAAAAAGACCTCCTATACTTCAAAGAGGCACAGTACTACATCTTAGACTCAGAAGCCGAGTCCAACCCCCATCTCTTCATCGCCGTCAATCCTCCGTCAACCAACATGTCACTCCCCGTCATGAACGCCGCCTCTTTCGAACACAAGGACGCAACCGCATGGGCAATATCAGCCGTCGTCCCGATCCTCCCAGCAGGAGTCTGACCGATAGCCTCCCTAATTGTACCCTCCGGGATCATACAGTTCCTCCTCATTGGACTTGGGGTCAAAGGGCCCCGATATCAAGTCGGGATGCTTAAGCAACGATTCCACTGGTGCGGTCGCAAGATGTTGCTCGAGTTCTGCCGCGAGAGAGCCTTGCACGCTGTGTCCGGCTGCACTGGAGATCGCGACGAGAGAGGTGCCGGCCGTGGCGTCTTCGTATAACGCGTCGATTACGTTCACTGTGCCGAGTAGGTTGACTTGGTAGATCCGGTCGGGGGGGGCTTGGTTCATGGATATGCCGGCTGTGTGGGCGAGTTTCTTTACTGCTTTGATGTCTGATACGTCGGTCTGGGTACCTTCGACATTGTGCCCTTCTTCACGGAGTGACTGGACCGCTTCGTCCAGTGCGGTTTGGGAATAATCAGCTAATAAGATGAGGTAACTGCTGCCCAGGCGGGATGGCTGTGCCCATGCCCCCGCTGCCGGTTACCACTACTACGGTCTTTGGGGCGGGCATCCTAGGTGGGAGAAGGTTGTAGTGTGTGGGAGTTTGGAATTCGGTAGATAGGGTGAGTTAGAGTACTGATGCGTTAGTGAGCCGCGTGCTGTACACTCTTCGTGGTGTTAGAACAGGCGGAGACATCTTTCGCTACCTTGCATGACTTGGTATCAAAGTGGTTGGTGCGAACTAGACGGACTGTGGAGATATGCGATGGGGACCTATTCATAAGCCAATGCATGGCTGGCCACTAAGCCTGTTAGGCTGGTTATCACAGGTGTAAGCTGACTTCTTGACTCATATTGAATACTGGTCAGGCACAGGTAGATGTTTCCGGTGTCAGCTCTAGTACGCAACACACCTCACCCAGATACGTGCCTCCATTAGACTAATTTAAGGGCGGATATAAATATCTCCTCTCTCAGCACTTTCTATCCCTCGCCTCTAGTAGCAGCATTGCTACCGTCCGGAGGAACTCAGAACGCTGATATCGCCCAAGTAGTGCGCACAATTGTCCATTGGGGACCCCTTAAAGCTAGAACAATAATCCCAGCCACCTTCTATTGTCCTCTTGCAGCTGCTTGCTTCGGTGTCCATCCTAGCCCGATCAGTTTTCTTCTAGATGAAGGAGCGCCATTGCAGAGAAGAATCCCCACCTCATTAAGAAATATAAGAATTGGGGCAGTAGCACACTTTTGTTCCCAATGAGCAAGAGTATATATACGCTGGTCCCTCCTCCACTGTTAAAGAGATCCCTCGTGGGATTATTGGGTCTGTTTCTAGAAGGGCCACGTCATATACATCATTTAGAGCAAGTAATGTTTCCGTACGTGATGTTGATGTGCTTATTGAATCGGAAGATGAGCTGGGCGAGATGACGCTTAACAGTGACGACTCCAATCCCTAAGTTAGCTACTTTACGAGAAGATGACTGCTTGATGGCTATGGGATTGGGTACCGCTGAAAGATCTGGGATATGTATTAGCCCTTTTTAGCAAGGTAGCATTGCCAATGATGGAGTTGATAATACAAGAACTTGCGCGCAAGATGGGAAATCAACTTTCAATGTACTTTTACTATTATCTATATCCCCTGCTCATGTTTAACGTAGAGCTAAGACATGAGAGGTTAAGGTGGTGTTACGAGTCAATCCGAACCCTATACACCCGGATCAACAAAAGCAATGCAAGCCATTTGAATGATGATGAACCCGTCGTGTAGCTATATTTTAGATCAGCATCGTCACCATTCAGTAAGTTACCCCTCTAAATAACCTAGCAAGTCAATCAGGGACTCAAGATGTATGCCACTAAGGTTACGGACCGATTCGTGATTGGACTGTGGCCTGTATTAAATAAATAGGGCGCACACCTTAGGCTCCTAAGGGTATATTTTTGGGAGGGGCTGAGGGTTGACTTGGGTTGCGGACTTTGCGGACGCTTGATATGAGGTGTCGGAGGTAGGGTGAGAATTGTACGGCGCTGGTGGAGTGGATGGTTAGGATGTTGGGGGAGGCAGTGGGGAATGAGGTTGTTGAGGAAGCTAAACATGCAAATTTGCAGACGGGGGATATGGATTGGTTGCGCAGGCAGATGCCGCATGGGTTTGGGCCGGTGTTTATGATAGTTATGAAGAGGGAGGAGGATGCGAGGCGGTTACCGAGTAAGCTGAGAGGTTTTCAGTATGTGGAGAACTTGATTAAGTGGAGGAAGATGTCGAATTTTATGGCTGGGAGGGTTAAGCGGGTTAGTGTTAGTATTGAGGCTTTTGAGGATATTCGTGGAGGAATATGGATAATGGGCTTAGGGCTTTATTGGAGGAGAGTCGGGAGTAGGGAGTTCAGCTTTCATGGAAGGGATGGTCTTTGCTATTTTGCTTTCGGTATTATCAGTCTTTGGTTCGATTTTGTAGTTCGGTCTTGTGACGAGGAACGCTACTTATATGCAAGTTTGTTACAGCTGATTATGCCCATTCTCGCATATTCAGTCTTTTAGAACGGCATGCTTGCTCCTCTTCCGTAAACGCGGCCCATAGTAGTACAGCAGGTATGGGATAACTGCCATCACAGCACTGATAGCACCCAAGACAGTGAGTGTATAGTGGGTGCCATATCTCTTGTAGATTGTGCTTCCAGCCACCAGAACTCCACCTGAGACCAAGTATCGCGCGAATACCGTAAATCCTAAAGCGGAAGCGGAGTATACATTATACGTGTCAATGATATACATATTTGCGCTGATGAAGATGGTGGTTACACCGTAGCCGAATACTACGGACGCAGCGAGAGGGGACCAGACGCTGATTGAAGGCTAACTGCTCATTACTAAGGTGGTCATTGGAAGATATAAGGGAAACGTACGTGGGCAGTCCATCCCATCCAGAAGAGACCTATTGGGACTGCAGGACCACCACCGAGCATGGCATACCACAGTCGAGTCTCTGGTCGGATCCGGGCCGTTTCGGCGTATTCTTTGCGGGTCCATGAGTATATGACTGGGACAATTAGACAGACTAGGACCATTCCGACGAATATCCCACACCAGGCCATGCTAGTAAGTCCCTGTGAAAGTCCGTATGTCTCTCCGAAGATAAATCTGTAGCCTTCCAGGAATGTGAATAGGATGATAAAAATAACCGTAAGATAGAGGGATATCAGGATAATAATCGGTTCCGAGTAAGGCCACGCAAAAGGCCTATAGATCGCAATAACTATTCGCCGTTGCAAGGTCTCTGATCTCAATTCCATAGGCGCGTTGTACCGCGAATCTCCGGTTTGCTTACGGAGGGCGGACGCTTTCCATTGTAGCAAAAGGCCTCCGTATGTCTCGGGCTGTAGGAGGGCCACTGCCACCAGCACAGCGCCTCCCAGTATCAGGATGATCCATTCCAGCCAACGCCATCCGAGAGTGGATGGAATGAAGCTCCCGATCATCTGTCCAAGGATGGCACCACCTAACGCGGGAATGGCGTATATAATAAATGCATATGTCTTTTGTACTGGATCCCACAGATCTGCAACTGTCCCACCGGCGCAGCTAAGGGGCGTGGAGCCGAAGAACCCAGCAATGAAGCGAAACACAAGGTGACTCGGAAGATTAGGTGCCAAGGCAGCTGCCATGATAAACAGGAGAAACAGAACCATGGTTGAAATGTACACAACATTGCGGCCGAAAGTTTCTGAAAAGGGAGCTGAGACCAAGGAACCGAAAGCAAACCCGATCAAAAACAGGGCTGGTACAGTTAGCACTGCCAAGTTAAGAAGTAGTCCAAGGCCGGATACCTGTTGTCAGAGACCCCACGACTTCCGAAGTATTGAATTCCTCGATGTACTGGGATACCCCTGCAGCATCAATGGTTGAAGCCGCGGTGACACAGACCCCAATCAGAGAGACAAGGACCGTCATGAATACCTTTCGTGCAACACTCCAGTTCACGGGATTGAGTTTATCATCTGGACCTGCCCATCCAACGTGGATTACTGAATCACACGACGTCTCATCGCTGGAGACATCGGAATATGGTGGTGGCATGGAGGGAAGCTGGAGGGCAACATGTTGGTTACTATGCCGCGGCCAATGTCAGTTTACCAGTATACAAACACGTATATATCCATATCTTTCATATACCTCAGAGGATCCGAATATATTTCTGCTTACCTTGTCCCATGTTCACCACCGCAGGTGCACTGTTTCTCACACCCAGCTAGTTCTTGGGCAACCGCTTGGTGAATCCTTCTAGATTGAAGTAGTGACTCCATCTTGCTAGCTAGATCACACATATGATCGTAGAATCAAGTCTTCTCCCATGTAATATATAACAATCGTATAAAGAATTCGGGGTTGGGTTTTTACTAAGTAACCCTACATTATAATAGAAGTCTTTCCTTGTTGGAATAACCAAAGCAAATACCGGTTATAGAAATCATCCTGACCAGGTTCCACTTCACAGCACATCCACCCATCTCATCTCCATTTCATCAAAGTTCCTGCCTATGTGTGGGGCATCAAAGGATAAGCCGGTGATGCGATCGCCGTGGGATGAGTATTTGGCCCAATTCAGAGACAGGGGCTTGTAAGTGCATATTCAACAGCCTGATCCTGATTTGGGATCATATATAATAGGAAGGTATCTACATGCAACTACGCCCCTCGCCCCTCACCCTATGGAGGGGAACATAGGGTGAGAAAGCTGCCATGCATAGAGTATCGTTCTACTTGAATCGCATTTTAAATCGCTCCAATTCCAGACATATAACTACAGATAGTAGCTGTCTACAGCAATGAGAATCCCTGTGTCGATATGGGTACTAATGGCTTACTTATAACATTATGTCCAGGATGGCTATTGCCTAATCAAGCAAGGGATCTTCGCATGGTCAAGAATGCGCCATGGCATGCCATACCTGCGCAATTAAGGGAGCATTTTGCGGCAACTCACACTCCCCTGTGTGCCACAATACGTGATAGCGTCAATTCCTCCACTCGATAAGGGATAGACCAGCATTTTTGGTTGAAAGCTCCGAAGGGACTATCCACCATTAGACACTCTGTCAGTATACATAAATGATCGGGTAGCTATAGATGATGCCGATATCCAACCCATCTCCCTTTCTACCCTTCTCAACCTTCAGTATTCCCAATATGCCTCCAATGAGTATTACTTCAGTAAAGTCCAGGCTCCTTGGATTTACGAAACTCAGAAACAGTCAGGATCAAGGTGGTTCTGTCATTTGCAAGGACGGGTACGGTTAGCGCTACCAATATGTTACTAGAGATTGACAATGGATAGGGCAGCTATCGTCAGTCTTCAGAGCATTTCAAGCTTCGAACATAAATACCAGAAGAGACACAATGGTATACATACCATGCACATATTATATTTGTTTACCATACTCACTTCATCTGTAGGCGATCAGTGTTTTGGATCCTGCTGTAGGGGTCCATCCCGAAGAGCTGGGGATCAGTGTTTTGGATCCTGTTGCCGAGGGTCCCAGTGATATGTCCGGACATTGCTTGTCTGGGGGTGGCACTTCTAGTTTTCCTACCCTGCTCTCGTAGGTAGCCAGGCATCTGAAACAAGATAGTGGATCACATCGTGGTTGCTGGATTACAGTGAATAACTAACGCCTCTTCTCTCTGCTCATCTACTTTCTCTCTACCAAAGTTTAATATCAAGTGAACTCATTCTAGAATACTGATGTTATGTGAATGAATACTCTAAACTAAGGACGAGATCATTCACTGTTCCAGACTTTCATCCTATATATTTCCACCTTTCCCCCCTCGTCCTTTCTTTCCTTTCTTCTCTTTTTCCTTCATCTCCTCCGGCCCGAGAGACGGCTGCAGCTACCGCAATCCTTAACTAGCTAGCCATCATGGTTTCTCAACCTATATCTGGGGGCTTGTAGCAAAGAATGTCTTAGCAGAAGTTGGTGACCTTAATTAATTGTTGTTATTATTATATTGCTTTGCGGACCCAAATTCCGCAAATTTTGTGGAATAGACCCAAGACGGCATCACTATACCTGATGATATACTTGAACAACTGGGTTCTGTACTGGAATGAGTGAATGTGAACTCCAAAGGCTATGAATTGTACTGGGATGGTGACCTACTCCCCAAAGGGTTCCGGCTAAAGGGACACTATTGGCATTGTAGGACGTTGGACTTGAGGCTTACGGATAATTTAACGTAGATTACCTGGACCTACTCGCTTCATCCACAGAGACTGTCAATGTCGATGGGGAGTTAATGTAAACCTGCGATCTCGTGGGGTCCATCCGACAAAGCATTGAGCTCAAGCCAGAGTCCACTATTTATGTATTTGACTCCCTGGCCTTCGTTTCCCTTGCTATGTCGGGCGTAGTCTAACCCGATAAACATTTACGAGAGACTCGCGTACCCTAAAAACCTACTCTCTACCAGATTTGAATGTCTGTAATCCTTTTGTCGTATCATTTCCTGTGTTATTTGTGCTGACACGCATCCGGTGGTATTAGATGATTCTGGGCGTAGCTCCGTGAGTATATAGGTCACAAGGAGAATGAAGTGGCGGGCAGGACAGGACGAGAATCCTAGCTATGGGTTTATCTTCTTTTCTCACGGCGGGTGGATATGCGTAGCTTTTATGACCCAAGTTCTTTGTTTCCAATGAAGATTTAATGTCTAGCCCTTGTGCCCTGCAGTGCGTGTAAATACAGATCTGTATGTAAGGCAAGTACAGCATAGCTTCGAAGTGTTTTGTTTCGATCTTTTCTCTTTACTTTTCTTTCATTTATTTCGGTCCCTACTTTTGTGGTTAATAGAACATATTCATCACACTGGTTTGACGCCTCCACTACAAAAGGCTGCAAATGGATTCTGTATCAAATTGCTTGAGCAATAACTATAGATGTGGGTATACTATCTATGTCAGCAGACATTTATATAACTCACCAGCATACATATCTATCTCTATAGCTTGCTCTGTGTCCCAGCAGCCTTATTAGCTCTCTTCCACATGCGGATCCGCCGTTGATGTCCAGCATTGAAAGTATGCACCCACTGCTGCTTGAACGGCGGTAGTCTCCGTCCCGGTTCTCCCTCGGCAGGCTCGCCCGCGAGCTGTCGGAGCTGCTCGAAGTACGTCTCAAAGTCGGGGTTCAGCATTAAGAATCCCGGGCCATCACCCTTCTTCGCGATGCGGTCTTCTTCCCACCTCCGCTGCTCTTCCAGAGACGGCAGCTGTGCCTTTCCGGCCAGAACGCGCGCGGCGGCTACGGCTTGCCATTCGAAGACTTTGAAAGTCAACCCAGCACCAACCTCCTCAAATCAGTTATTGGAAATTGTCAAGTGGGTATTCAGATATTACATACCGCTCCTAAGAACACTAGAGAGGGATCCCGCTGATGGAACACGTGCAAATAGAGATCCGGTACACGGTTGTTTCGAATTGGGATATCGGGTAAGAAAGGCAAGGTCCATGTGAAGCCAGTACCAAAGATGATATGGTCCACGTCTGATACTGAAGTCCCATCTTCAAAGTGCACTGTCCGCTCCCCATTATCGCTAGATATGTGCGAGATCGGTGGTCGACGCTCGATCTGCGGGTGCCTGAATGCTTCGTCTCCGAAGTAAGCGTTGTATTTTCCGCGCACAACAGCATAAACGGGACTCTTTGCATGGTTCACCAGACTAACGGCGGTGTCTGCCGCGGAAACAGAAGCTCCAACGGTGATTACGCACTGTTGACATACCAGTCAGCTGAACCATCAAAGAGAGATGTTTTTCTTCAAACGCTTGCACATCAGAGACATCTTACCTTGCCCTTGTACCGTTCGGGGCCACGGTACTGCTTCGTATGCTCCACACTGCCTGGGTATTTCGCCGCAAACTCTTTAAGTCCTGCGATTGCAGGTACATATGGTACCGCATAATGCCCTGAGGCAACCACCAAAGCATCGAAGGTTTCGGTCCACCAGTAATCGAAGCCATTCGGTTGACCAGCACGCCGCAAAGTCAAGGTCCATTTGCCGGTCTTGGCATCCTTTTCCGCTCTCTCAACAGTCGTATTGTACTCCACAAGATCTTGGTAACCATTTCGGTTTAATAGATCCTCGATATACTGCCTGATCACCGTGTGATGGCGGAAAGGAGTATCCGGTCCATGGACGCCAACAGACCATTCCGAGAGGATTCTCGGAATCTGTTCCTGAGAGTACTCCATGACCGAGGCATCCACATTGGCGTGCAAAGTGGGGTAGACGTGAGAGTCAAAGTAGCGATGCTGAGACAATGTGGGAACATGTTGAGGCAGATTGGCGGGAATTGGAACCGGCCCATCTGCAGTTCTGGCTGAAAGGTTGTCAATATCCAAAGGTACAGCATTCTCGTTTTCTCGTGAGACCCTAGTTTCCGTTAATCAAATTGATGCGCTAATCGATTTCGCAGAAAGTTGCCTACCAACACCCGCCGGCCTTTTCTTGTCTTTCAAAGACGCGGATTAAATCGAACGAGTTTTCCTGAACTAGCGCATCGACCGCAATGGCTCCAGCAGGACCGGTGCCGATAATGGCGATACTTTTATTTTGGGACATCTTGCTTGGATTTATATACGTGGTATTGGGGTTTGAGATTTGGTAGCAAACAGAAATCTTATCATTTTATCTTCTCGGCGTCTGGTCTTTGGCGAATGTTGATGCAAACACCGAGCCCGATGGCATCAGTGTGGACCATTCACCGACAGACTTTGTTTGTATGGGTAATCACGGCTAAATTTAATCTCACTTGACAGGTTTTTGGTCAGACTGTACGAGGGTTCTTTTTCCCCCTTCATCTTCTTTATCTACTACCATTGGTATTGGACAAACGCCGATAAGCCCGGGCCAATGATTGATGTGTTCCTGAGGCACCGCGTTCATTTGATTTTTCAATTCTATGGCTTTTACCGAGATTGGTGTAGTGAGTGTACAAATAGATATTATTGGACCATAATTCATCACTAGTGCGTTTCGATCATAGTTCTCCGTTAAGGTTCGGGCCCTTACCGACTCGGGCATGATGAACTTCCTGTAAATTTTAGTGTTCATGCTTAATCGCATTAGGAATGTTAGTAGAAACACCAAGTAGATCTTGATGTTCATATATCAATCAGGGCCTCGATGCAGTAGTACTACTTACTACTAGTCGCAGTAATTCAATATGTACCAAGCGATATCACACAACAACTTCTCATGAAACGGCTCTGTGTTATCCCTAGTGATTAATAGAGACAACTTCAATCTAGCCGATTGTATTTAGACGTACTACGGACTATGGAACTCCTAGTGGCCTTGAAATGGTGTCATTCGTGCTACTCTGGACACCCGACTGATACATTCCTTTCCTGTTAGTCATCATGGTGGTAGATGTGATGTAACACACATGACACATGAGAGGGAAAAGAAAAGAAGGAAAATACTGGCAAATCAGAGAGGGTATAGACGAGGAAAGGGATATGCAAGAATGTAACCGCATCGAAATCCGAGGCTTGGCATTGGTGAAGGAACAGGGTCTATGCTGCCTCCAAGCTTAGCTTGCATGCTGTAGATCCCAATGGTCAAGCCTCGTTGGCAGTCACACGGGGTTGTTTGCTGCTTGTAAGTTTACGAGCGTTGTTGCCTTTTTATGCAGACACTGTACCCTCCAGCCTCAACAATACCATGTTCCCTTTTCATTGCTGTGCAACAATATACCATTCTACATGCCAACCACATCCTTCCACATTTTTCGCCCCGTCCCCCCACCATATCGCCTGACGGACATTTGTCAGTCTTAAAGTCAGTCGCCTCTGTTGCCAAACAGTCTGGTCTTTTACGTGTCGACTGACGGCAGACATTGTCAGTCATGTTTTGCTTGCGAGCCCACCTACTCCTTTTTATCATTCTAGCGACCCTCCTGCTCTTCCTCACATCGCCATTGGCTGCCCAGCTTCACCTGTTACTCCGAATGCCTTTCGTCTGGAAAGAGTCCGCCACCAAATCCATCATCTCACTAGATCGCGACCAATTCGACGTCACATTTCGCGCATACGATACTATACCACCGACATCAGAACTAGAAAGCCCGCCTCTGATTCCCAACACACTGCACCACGTCCACCTGGGCGGGTCAGAGATTCGACCGGAATGGCAGGCAGCCAGAGAAGAATGTCTGAGGATACATCCAGAATGGGAGACCATTTTCTGGGACGATGCGACAGCCAATAAATTCATTCGGGAAAACTTTCCGCATCTGAAGGATACATGGAACAACTACCCATACCTCGTTCAGAAGGTGGATGCGCTGCGATATATGATTCTATACAAGTACGGAGGTGAGTTGAGCTCCTTGTATCGCTAACGCACGGGCTGCGGCCCCGTTGCGGGGAATGAGGACAGTGCGTTCCATACTTATTTCTATCACAGGCGCGATCCTGGACTTGGACCTTGTTTGCAAGCGGTCGCTGGAGCCACTGCGGAGATTTGATTTCGTCGCTCCCGCTGCGTATCCGGCTGGGTTTTCTATTGGGATGCTCCTGTCCAGCCGGAATAACTCTTTTGTTCGTGATTTGATTTACAACCTGCCTCGTTTCAATCGGCGGTGGTTCCTCCTCCCATATGTGACTGTGATGTTTAGTACCGGGTGTCATTATGCGTCGTAAGTTGTTTGTCTGTCTCTTTTGCTATCCGATGATATATCGTACTAAGTAGAGTTTTGCGTAGGACGATCTACACTACTCAGTTTAATCGAACTTCGCTCCGTATTTTGTCCGGTCCACCCGATCGTCCGAATATGCACATGCTGAATGGGTTCGTGGATACTCCGCTCTTCCGACATCTAGGGACATCGTCCTGGCACGCGAACGATGCGCTTTTACTCCGGATGGTCGAGGGGGTGGGGAATCGAGTGCTGTATTGTATTCTCACCGTAGCCATGGTGGGTGGTTGTATAGTAAGTTTGACGGTGATTGCCGCGCGACGACGCGGGACAAAAGTGGAGACGTCCACGTCGATCTTCAAGGTCTCGGAAAAGGTTGTTTGATACTCGATTTTTCTTCTCTCTCTTCTACATCTCTTCTTCTCTTTGTCGCTTTTCCCAATGTGTTTACTGAGAGCAACGGGCGAGCTACGCATCATGTACAGTACATACAGTAACCACCTAGGACTACGGTAATCCGCATAATATTAAATTCATCGCCAAAAACCCCATACTCCAAACCATCTAATTAGACCATCTTTCTCAGGTCGTTATACCACATATACCGACTGATGAGCAGATAAAACACCCGATCAAAGGAATACTGACTCCCATGTTGACCGAATGCCCTCCGCGCTTGGAAATACGTCCGCCAGTCACTAACCAAAAGCGCCTTATCTTCATACGGATCCTCACGTGGCTTGCCGCCCTTCCCATCCCCAACTTTGAGCCCATCATACTCCGGCGGAGCCGTCAAAAGCGCCTTCAGAATACGACCTGCAAATGGCACCGACGTCGGAACCAAATCAACCAGCCCGGCATACTTCCGCAGCAGGAACTTAGTCTGCAGCGCATATGCCGGGGGGCCTTGTGCATTCTTCGATATATATTTACTACATCAACCGTCAACCCACATCCACACACCAAAATACAAACAAAATAAACAAAGAAATAAAGAGAGAGAGAGAAAACAAACCTCACACCAGCGCTAACCGCCCGATGATTAATATGTCCCGATATACCCCCGTCATCAAACGTAATGATCTACCACGCATATAGTCAGCTCAGCACGACAACAAGGAAAGAAAAAGAAAGCGAAGGTAAGATTAGGGGGAAAGAAACTCACCAAATCAATATTCCATTTCTTGACGTGCTGCGCCACGAGCTCCTCAATTAGATCCTCTCGCCACCATCTCTGCGGATTATCTTGCAGTTCGTAGTGGTCGAGATTCACGCATCGCTCGGCCTTGATTCCCAGTTCAGCGCAACTGCGTTGGAGTTCGCTGTGGCGGAGGTCGCCGATGCCTTCGTAGTTGCCTTTTCAGGAGGAAGGTTAGTTATTAGATGGGTTTGATGCTTTGTTTGAGCAATGGATGGTATGTAGTTGTTTTCTCGCTTGTATAGCTTGGGTAGATAGTGATAATGGGTATGGACAGGGGATTTATGCATACCGGATGATATCGCTAATAGAGCGCGATTGACCGTCGCATCTTTGCTGCGGTAGAGGATGCTGGGGCTGAAGAAGAGGGTCTCGTCGTCAGGATGCGCGGTCACAAGGAGGATGTTCTTGGCGGTGCGGAATGCGCTGGGGACGAGACGGGGATCATTGGCGAGGTAGGCCAGGAGATGATAGAGGAAGACGGGGGTGATGATGAAGGCCGCGATGAGCGTGAAGGCGAGGCTGGAGGGCCTTTTCCAGGCGCGCTGGATTAGGTGTCTGATGAAGTGCAGCATTGGGCCATTTGCTAGGGAACAGGTGGTTGTAAGTGTGGGTTGTTTGTATGGTCTTGAGTTGAATTGCAAGGGTTGGTTACACCAGGCAATAAGGCAGTCATTATTCGTCTGCCTAATTTAGGTTAAGGTTCATTCTAGGCAATATCCACTCTTGACATGTTGTTAGTTTAGTATAAAAAAAGGGGTGGGGGGGTTAATAATATCTTGGACTTGAGGAATGCTACCTTCATTCTAGGATCCCTTCTTTTCCAATACCCTTTCATTGGATGACTGTTCAACTGTCCATTTATATACTTTTGAATGGCATGCGTGCAAAGCTGAAGCAATACTATTTGTCAATAATCTACGAATATATAGATAGTAAAGATGAACTACGTAGGACATATATTTATCTGTGAGGGACAAACGGACTTATATCCCGAGAAAATACAACTTAAAGCACCAATAAGATTAGTTAAGTAACTGTAGCAGATGTTCCAAAAAGAAACAGAAAGAGAAAAAAAAGAATCTCCCCGACTGGGAGTCGAACCCAGGTCTCCCGCGCTTGTTTCTGATTTTAGAATGACAAGCGGAAATCATGACCGTTAGACCATCGAGGATTAGTCATCGATAAGAGCTCCCTAGTTTGGTTTCTTCAGGCATGAACTACAAGATTGATGTCTACATCTACATAGATACTTTGTTGAGTCACAATTCATGACATCCTTTATAATATTCGATCACAACGATGTTTCAAAGTGAGATAATCTCGTAATATAGTACATCATTTTTTAGCTCTAAAGGTGCTTACTGATGCTAATACTGGAGTGTATTGAAGCTGTTTCAAGCGATATTTGCTTGGTCGCTAAGTATAGCCAATTTTTCAATTTTTTTCATCATTTCTGAGGGCAGAAGGAATGAAGGACCCTGGGTGTTTCTTTTTTTTCCCTTCTGGCTCTCTTTGTCGGGCCGAAGCTCAGCTGCTTCACAGACTGAACAAGTGCTATGACTACGTCTTGGGCTAGAATGACCATGAAGCCACACACGCGGTTATAATAACTATTCTGGTGGTTCTTTATCTTAGTGGAATTGTTGGGGGTCAACAAGAGCTAACACACGTTATGCAATGACTGAGGTGATGTATCGCAGGGTATACGGTGCACAAATGATGGCACCGAAGGCGAGTTGTGATGTCTGAGCTCGGCGTCACGACGTACGTTGAGGCGAGAATTGTGATAATCAAATTTTGGTTTCACGTCGAAGCCACGCCTTCTATTTCGTGAAGGAGGCAACCCTTCGGCATCCCATGCTTGGAAAATGAGAGAACAAGGTAATATGATGCTATCTATCCTACGTCTAGTGTCAGGACATTCCAGCATATGGCCTATCCAATACTGGCGTCTCGATCCTCAATGAACGCAAGGTGATGAATGTGCATTAGAGGTCGGCGGGTAAAGAGATTGATCGATTAACGAGTTCCTTGTGGCGGCTTCCGCCTGTGATACATAGCTCCCAGCAAGTAACACGGGGGATGCTGCGAAGCCGGAGGATTACTTAAAACACTCCAGCGTGTCCGGTGAGCCGCGTCATCATCAATCTATCTCAGATGCTGTTGCAAATTATTGGCCCGAACTTTCCCCGTGTAACGGAAAAGAGTGACGGGTTGAATGTCATACTAACTCGCTGGTGCTGCAGCTACGTCCTGCATGTTTCTCTTAATTCTCGACAGCACCCGAGCTCCATCAGGATAGTAACGCTTGTAGGCGCCTTGAGAGGGTTGGGTCTGGGCGGTGCGTCCTACACGAAGCGATACTGCTTTGAAGCCGTGTAAAAATGCCTTCACCGAGGACAATATCAGACCATTGCCCTATTGGCTCTAACGATCGGCGATTTTGAACCCACACTAACCGGATTTTTATGGTTAGTCTTTTTACCTTAGTTCTCTATCACATCCGAAGCCAGCCATACTATTCTTTGGGGAAGGATACGGCGCGTGAGTTCTACTCTCGAAAGAGGTTACCTTTGTTCCCTACCATAGACGGTTAATTTAGAGACCTTTGAATTGTTCATATTTTGTGACATGGAAACTCTACCCCGTATATGCTTATTCAGTATTCGACTCCACATTGGCTGGTCAGGATGCCAAGGTTCAACTGCCGGCTGGTAAAACCGGGTATCAGACAAATATAGCGACATGACCAAGAGACTCGAGAGACAAGAGTGCATACCCGTTCCTCCGTACTTCAATCTTAAATCGTGTCAAATGCCCCTAAAACTTTTTTTTTTTTTTTTCGATCAGCTCCGTTCGACAATCCCTACACTTCTCTGCAGTCAGCCCGAAACGGTGATGATTTCAGCTTTGATCCATCGAGGCGAGCCCAGACCTTGAGTCCGGGTATTGCCTTGCTTGCTGGCACTTGGGATTTGGAAGGAGATTCCGGAGGCTTGGCAGATGCTTGAGCTGATCTGATAAGGTGTGACTAGTAGCGTGAATATTTGGAACGGACCATTCGCCTAAATGGTGTGGGGGGAAGTCAAATCAATTGGATTGTTTCATCATTGAGCCAGTGGTGGATGCCTAGCTGACGACGACTAGGACTTATCCCGGATCGCGATGACGCTTATTGTGTGGTCGAGATGTCCTCCTTGGCAAATTCAAGTCGGGTGTGTCCAATATGACTATGTATTACCTAACATGTTCATTTATTGAAGCTTCAAAACAAACCATGGTGGATAGAAAAAGACCATCTCAATAAAAGAAAGAACACCAAGAGAAGATCATCCTTAATCAGCGGCATTGGGAATTCCAGAACAAACTTCATAAGGGAGGAGCCATCGAATCGAATTGAATTTGAATGACCCACAAAGCTATATTCTATGGTATGTGCCGGGTTGAAGGTCACTAAGCTCGGTACCGGCATTTGAAGTGATAGATGTTGAAGTTGAGACTTCGGGGTGGAGGAAGCATCCCCGCCTCCGGCACCCGTGCGTGATTTCCTTTCATTAGTATCTTCATTCAATCTACTTCTGACCTTCAACGTTGGATTTTCCCGCCGCTCGGCCTTTCCGGACCCCATACGCGCCTTCATCCCTCCAATAAATGTTGCAGTAACAAGTCCCGATCGTTTCTAGGTCCAAATAATCCGTTCCATGGCCGTATTGTCGGGTTCCTTTAAGACTCTGGTTACCTATTGGGCCAGCCAGATTGGTCCAGTGGTTACTTCATTATTGATCGTCGGGACTACGTACTCTTAGTTGCTGTTTACTTAGTGCCAAGCTTCTCTTCTCTTCTACAGTGCCGACTTCGCGCCACATGGTCTGACTCCTTGACTAAGATGACTTCAAATACACTGACGCTGCGCTATCCCGTACCCCTTTCCAGGGGTTCAAACAAAGGCTGTCTGAAGTTTGGGTCCGTTACACCAATTGGAATAAGTTGGTGGCTCGACAGACCACAATGTCGATCTGAGCAACGCTCACGTGGGTACCCAATGGGATTGGACGTTGATCATCTCGCGGTGGGTCTACTCTCCATAGACACAAAGATCTTCGTCTTAAATGCAAGCGCTTCGAGCTTAGGGTTAAATTTCAAGGCGTCTGGTTGAGTGCCCCTCAGTGCTTCCGCTATGATTAGAAATATCACGTCAGGAAGTTGAGAATGAGATGTCTATATCTGACAAGATGGTGTGCGATTTCATCATAGTCCAGACAGGCCCTTGTGTTCAGGGTGCGCGCAGGGTATACTCAGCGTATACTCAAACTGGTCCTTGCGAATGTATGCTTGTAATTTGCTTCAACATCGGCTTGAGTACCGGGACTTCGTACGCCAGGTGGCCCTTGCAGTCCAAGTTCACTTCTAGGGCTACAATCAATTTACCCGAAAGCACCTCCTAGGCCGTGGGGAAGAAGCCCCGTTTAGGGAATGATACACAAGACTCGACCTGATTCTGATGTGGTTCCACGATGTTCCACCTCTCAATATTAGGTTTGGCATACATGAAAGCGAACCCCTGCAGTCCGAGCTTGGGATCTACATCCAACTTTGATGAGGTGCTCGTGGCTAAGATGTACCATTTTTCGATCAACTCTGGTCAATCGGCATAATAGCCCCTGACCTTCGACCTCTATAAAACCCAGCTATCCACCCATGGATTTGATCTCTCCCCAGGACCAACCTCAATATCAATCTTTAAGTGAATCTGGCATTCCTTAGAAGCACTCCTTTCGAAAACTATCTTATACTCTAATTATATTCTTTAACTTTCAAACCGTCATTCAAATGAAGTTCTCCAACGCTGTTGCTCTGGGCCTTGTGGGCTGTGCCCTTGCTTTGCCCAAGCACATCCAGGGCGAAGGCCAGTCTCTCCCTAACCAACCATCCGGCTTTCCCATCCCATCTAGCCCCCCGTCTGAGGGCCAACAAGGCGGTGACGAGGGAGGCTTCCCGTTCCCTACTCCCAGCGGCGGATTCCCGTCCGGCTTTCCCACTCCTTCCGGCGGCGCTGGCTTCCCTGCTCCCTCCGATGACGCGGGATTCCCCGGGCCATGGTTCGACAAGCATCAGAAAGGTTTTCCGTTCCCTGTTCCTTCGGGCGTTCCTTCCGGCGTTCCTTCCGGCATTCCGTCCGGTCTCCCCTTTCCATCCGGATCGCCCTTCGGTGGCTTCCCGGCTCCTAGCGATGGGCCCGCCCCAACCGGCCTTCCCTCTCAGAAGCGTCAGGAACAGGAAGAAGGCAGTGACGAAGAAGAGGGCGACGACGGGTCCTTTCCCACTCCCTTAGGTGCTCCTGACTCCGCCCCCAGCGGAGAGCCTGACTTCCCTGCCCCCTCTGGCGGAGCGGAATGGCCCGCCCCCAGCAGACAGCCTGATGGACCCGCTCCTTCTGGCACGGGATTCCCTACTCCCAGCGGCAGTGGCTTCCCCGGCGGCCACCACCGGGGAGAGGGTCACCGCGGCGGCAAGGGCCATCATGGCGAGGGTTACCACGGAGAGGGCTCCGGCTCTAAGCCATCTGGAACTTCCTTCTCCAAGTCCACCGGTGGCTTCACCAACGGTCCTCGTCCGACTGCTTCCGGCTCTTTCCCCGCTCCGAGAGGATCGGTCTCTCGCTTCTTTACTTAATTGACCTGACGCTTCTCGGGGGTATTGCAGAGATGCGGATTGATATCGGCTATTGCTAACTGGGGAGAGTGTGATGATGAGGGATGGTGATTGTGGAATGGTGGTTATGCAGGAGAAAGGGGGTAGATGTATGTAGGAGAGTCAATAAACAGATGTGGGTGATAGATTGTGTGCTTTTCATAGTGTAAACTGTATGTCCAAAAGACGATTAGCTACACCTATTGTATTGAGCTATTCTTGGAGAAATAATAGACCAGTAATCACAGAAAAGTACACAGGTAGACCTCTACAAGAGGTATGATGAGTATGACAACCAGCAAGCTACGAAAAAGGCATGTTTAGACGATCAGAATCCAATATCCACGAGCAATCTTTCATTCAACTTCAGCTCATAACTCATAACCCACATTATGTATCAATTTTGACCTTCCAGTCTCTGAATAAAAAAAATTCAAATCGCAAATCAACAATTAACAACACAGACAAACTACGTAAAAACATCCGTCGCATATCTCTCCTCCGTCTTCAAAGTATTCAAATATTCCTCAGCAGCCACATCTTCATCCTCGTCGGGGACATCCTCCCGCCCCTCACGACGCCGTTCGCGCCGTCTCTCAATAAACATATCTTTGAAGGTCTGACAAATCCCCTGACCAACGCTCATCCCACCACAAGCATAAATCCGCGCTCCTCGATCGATAAGTTCAAGTAGCTCGTCCCGATCCTCAAACATGAGGTCCTGGACATGACGACCCGACGAACCATCACTTGGCCGACTATACGCCCACCGAACATCAACAGCCCCCTGGCATGCCCACTCGTTTAACTCCGCCGCGTGGATATCATCTTTGCCTTTTGTGCGGCAACCGATGTACAATGTCGCTTTCGCCAGTTTACCAATCTCGAGGTGGTCATCATCGGAAATGGGGTCCGCGCGCCGTCCGTGTATCTTCTCCGCACGGTCCATGATGAAGCCACGGAAGGGTGCAAGGCCGCTTCCGGCGCAGGCCATTATCATTGGCGTTTTGTCGTCCAAGGGGAGTTTGAAGCCTCGGTTGTTGGATGCGCGAACGCAGATTTGGGCGCGGTCTCCTGGTTGGAGTTTAGAGAGATATGTAGATGCCACGCCTATGAATCGTTTGTTTTCTGTTGCTAGGTGGGGTGAGTCTAGGACTGAAAATGTGATGGAACACTCGGAAGGGTGGGCTAATGGGGTTGATGATATTGAGTATTGGCGCACCCGCATTGGGGGCAGCATTGCGAGGAAGACGTTCAGAGCTATATCTATTGAGGGATAGCGGATAAGGATATCAAGTGGGCTTAGTCGATTGTTGAGGACTTCTTCAGTGAAGCGGCTCGGGCTGGAGGCGAGTGAGCGTAACTCTGTATGAGCGTCTGTATCCGTGGTGGCTGCCTCTGCAAGGGTGTTTAAATCGCGCTTGGATGCAGGCTGTGACAACTCCACGTACGTTGAGAAAAGCTCGAAGGCAGAGATGGGCGTTTCTAGGGGCATGTTCGTGATGTCGACTGATGCCTGTGATGGCTTCCAGACTGTAAGCATGGCATCCCATGATAGATTAAAGCGGCGGATTGCCTGGCGAACAACGTGAGCTGGGTTCACCGGTAGCACGGTGAGATAATCTCCACACTGGTAGGCCATATTTGAGGGTAGTCTGAACAGGATCATCCTCTTGGCTGGGACCTCAGGTGTTGTGAGTAACTTGTTTTCGATCACGTATCCTTCCTGTAGCTGAAGGCCTAACGTGGAAGCTCGCATGCTCGAACTGACGTCAACCTGTAAGGCAGGCTTGCATTTTTGCACATCTCCTTGTGATAACGTACGGTCGAACTTCAAATTGACTGCAGGCCAGAAAATAGTCTCGCTCCAGGTATCAAAGTCGGAGAACAAGTCTGAATTGGCTGCATCGGCCACACCAATGTCACATAAGCGGGTTCCACCATGTTTCTCTACGAGATCATTGGTAGCTTTAGGAATTCTATGGAACGTGGCTGACCAGTCATCTGATAATTCCGAATGATTAGCGAGACTACAGACAAACGAAGCCTTACTGGAGTCTCCAAGAGGAGGGCAGGTGTTTGTGACTCACGATGGCCACATCCAAACACAGCATAATTTACTCCATCAAGCTCGGTCCCTTTCAGCCCGCTGAGCCACTCGAAGAAATGGGCGGCGTTATCAGGAGGCTGTCCCTCATAGGAGGCAGTGATGAAAATGACAGGATTCCCTCTAGGGACATTCTCCATGGCTGAGTCCAAACATCCAACCTTGGCCGTAAAACCGTACCCAAAAGAATCCTTAGCTAGCCTCCGAGCGAGGGCCTCGCAGGTACCAGTATTGCTACCAAAGAAGATATGCAGGGGTTTAACGTGGGATTGCAAATTTGCGTTAGATTTATGTTCTCCGTTAGTTGTTTGCGGGGGTTCAGAGGAAGGGTCGTTACTACTGTTCAGGAAGCTCGCCAGCCTGACTGCATCTAGCCCTCTTCGAAGTGTTGCCTTCATGTGAAAGCCTTCAGGTTTGATTGAAAGTGTCTGTTTGATTCGAAGGTCGTAGTTGAGATCGTCTTTTTGGAAATCAAAACTTTGTAGTAACATGGCCACCACAAGCATCATCTCTTGCCAGGCAAAGGGCCGGCCAATACAACCCCGCATACCATTTCCAAATGGCTTCCATGCGTTCTGAGGAAGGTTCTCAAAATTTTTATCCAGCATTCTTTCTGGCTTGAATTCATCTGCGTCATCACCATAGACTTTCGGATCTCGATGGAGCTTTGCCATAATAACAATCACTGGCTCATCCTTGTTCAAAGCATACTTACCCTTCCCCAAGGTTACTGGATCTTCATTATTTTTGGTAGGATGAGAATGAAAGGCGATCAAAGGAACTGGAGACTGGAGCCTCAGTGTCTCTCTCAGTGAGGCCGCAATGTAGGGCATTTTTGACAAATCATCCACTGTAATCTTTCGTTGACCAATAACCATCTCCACTTCTTCCTGTGCTCTCTGGTATGCATGCGGGTTGTTAAGTAGGTAGTAGAAAAGGAACGACAGTGTAGCAGACGTCGTCTCATGGCCTGTTTCAAAAATTCAGCCCTAAAAGAAGCAATTTGTGTATATTTACCTACCCGCAATCAAGAATGTTATCATATTGTTGACAATGGAGTCGTCACTGAGATGTTGGTCAGTCTGGAGATCTCGACCAAGGATGAGGGCATTAAGCAAATCCTTTTTGTCTTGTGGGTTGTTTCTGCGTGCATCGACAAGTTGTTGAGACAACTTTCTGAGAAAGCCGATATCATTCCAGTACTTCTTATTCTCCCTTGTAGGCATATTGTTTAGTAATGTCGGCCGAAAGGTCCTATCAGAAGACCCCTGCAGCAACGTCATCACCGCTTTAACGAAAGGATGTAGTTCTTCACTATAGAAGGTATTGAACCGGGTGCCCATGGAACACAACGCAATTGTGTCCAGTGTCAGGCGCGTAAAATCCTCGTTGACCATTATAGTAGAATCAGAACCCTGACGTGCCCATTTTAGAGCAAGCTGGCTTGCAATATCGTACATGTCTAGCCTATATCAACGCTCCGAATACCGTGCGGTATCTGAGACAGGATCACAACGTACCGTCATACATGGCTCGGATCATCAACGGTCCAAAAGCGGGGATCAGGACGCGATGTGCGATCGCCCAGTTCTCCTCCCCAGGATAGTCAGCGGTGAACAGACCATCTTGGGCGCCGTTTCGAATCTCTCTCAAGCCGGCAGTCACAACCTTTGTGAACCTTTCCTCATTGCAAATCTCATCGACAAGTTCATGTGTGCTTATGAATACTCTGGTTGTTCCAGCGATATTCAGCCGAAAGATTGGGCCTTATAAGGCGCATAATTAGCGGTGCCATCGTAGATTGCTTAGTAGCAAAACAAAAGAAAAAGAAAAAGAAAAGAAAATATGGAAGAGATATGACAGCCAGGGCAGCGAGTATATGTGTGGGAGAGTATACCATAGTTCTCTGCAAGTCGTTGGAAGCTTCTCTCTGGTGCCTCTGAGTTGACATCAAGAATGTTTCCCAGCAGGGGGATGCCTCTGGGCTCTGGAATTGGAATAATCTTCGCGTCGTGCATGGTGTAGAGCATCCCCCGTTTTAGTATCGCAGAATAAAGGGCTAGAGGTGGCCGATGAGGCGTAGTTCCCGAAGGCTCATATGTGATGCTGCTCTTCTCAAGCCAGACTAACAAGAGACAGAATAAATATCTGGGATTAATTGAAAAAGACACTGGGACAAGATATGGGTAGTTCCGTCAAGCTCCAGAATAGGTATATCTCGGACCGCTTCATGAACCATTCATCGACTGTCGAGTGGCAACTCGCAAGATATGGACTTTGCCCCCTTCCGACCAATGACGAAACACTGTCCCTATCAGGTTGAGATATTTCTCTGTTTTGTGGTCTAAGCATGCTACCTAACACCAACCAGCAGCACCACAGAGGCATAGGAGGGCCCATCTAAGGGGCATTAACTTCACAGTCAGAGAGAGGGAGTCATTGTTGTACAAGCATCGAAGTATCACTCACTTCTCTTTCTACACCGGTTACCGGACATGTTTTGCGCCGGCTTTTAATAGGAGGGAGTTTGCTATCTTGAGTAAGTGCTCAGCTCAGCTACTTTTCACAGATGCACTTGACCGTGATCCATGAATGATAATGAGCCCATCGCATCTGTCGGCCTCGTTGAGGACAGGTCTGTTCCACCGTTCTACCATGCTTAATTTTCACAGCAGCAATAGACGGCTTGAGACATAACGAGCGGGATCAAGATACTCCGTCATTGTCCGTATTCAGTGTAGTCCTCGGCCCACCATAGCCCATCCGACGTGCGATAGTGGTCAGCTCGATCTTCAGAGGACACAATTGGAGAAGTTCGTCCTTTGCCGAATTGTACATATGGATTCACATTGATTTAGTACTATGTATATCCCTCGATATCCCTCCATATCCTTGGAGAGAGCTACACGAGACGAAGATCGTGACCAGAAAATAGTGAAGGTTGGCTTTCCATCATGGCGTGTATGCAGTTCTTTCTATTTTCTTGGTCATTTTTCCCTTTGTATTCTTTCTTTCTTTTTTTTTTTTTTTTTTTTTTTTGCGCAACTGGAATTCATGATCCGTATTCGGCGGTGGTAAGAGAAAACCCGAAGGGCAATAGTTAAATATATCCACCATAAAGTTCGGCCGTTTTCCAATGATGCCGAGCTGCGAATCATGATGGAAACTTGTGCCGTTCTTCCGCGGATTTTAAATCGTTCACACCGTCACGAAAAACATGTGACTTGAAGATACGACGGCTATTTCGAATTCCTTACGACCTGGTTTATTCTCTTTCATTCCAGCACTCTACCAACATCATGGCATCTAGCAACATCCTCGGTCGTGTGTCGCCCAAGAACTTGGGCGGGTCGCTCGTCGTTGACCGGACGGCCTTTTCCGCGAAAGACACAGTGGAGTACATATGGAAAGGCCTGGGTCTTCCCGAGGACTCCCTCCGATCTCTTCAGGTCAGTGGAAATGAACTAGGCCTTCCCTCATCCTTTAAGATAGCAGATCTTGCTCAAGCATCGATTAGTCTTTCCGCTTTGCTTGCCGCTCAGATTCATGCCCTCCGCAACGCCATCGCAACTCCGGTGGTGACGGTGCCTCGGCGGCATGCTGTGATTGAGTTCAAGTCGGAGAGACTTTATTCGATTTCTGGTCAGACTTTGCCTGACACATGGGGTCCTCTTAGTGGATTGTATAAATCCTTAGACGGACATGTGCGGGCCCACGATTCCTTTCCCAATCATCGCAACGGTGCAACGGCCCTTCTAGGATGCTCGCCCGATGCCGACCGCGCTGAAGTTGCATCCAAAATTGCAACCTGGCGCTCGGTAGACCTCGAATCCGCAGCGTTTGATGCCAATGTGGTGATCTCGGCTCTTCGCAGCTACTCGGAATGGGACGCCCTCCCGCAGGCACGTGCCGTCGCCGACTTCCCCATCCTCCTCCGTAAGATCGGAGATGCACCTACTGGTCTTCCACTGGAAATGCGTGCGGCAAATGCTGATAAATCCCTACGAGGCCTCCGGGTCCTGGAATTCTCTCGTGTGATTGCTGCCCCGTTGTCTGGGAGAACATTGGCAGCCCACGGCGCTGACGTTCTCTGGGTAACGAGCCCGAACCTCCCTGATTTGCCGGTCCTGGACCGTGACCTCGGCCGTGGTAAAAGGACAGTACAACTCGATTTACTGACAGAGGAGGGCAATGAGGATCTCACCCAGCTCCTTGAGGGTGCTCATGTCGTTATTCAAGGCTATAGACCTGGTAGTCTGGCTTCCCGCGGTCTCTCGCCTGACATTCTTGCTCAGCGGTTCTCTCACCGCGGTATCATTTGCGCTAACCTGTCTGCCTACGGGCCTGCTGGTCCTTGGTCTGACAAGCGTGGCTTTGACTCACTGGTGCAAACGTGCTCCGGCATGAATGTGTCAGAAGCAGAACATTATGGTGCTGGCGAACCTGCGCGGGCAATGCCATGCCAAGCTTTAGACCATGCAGCAGGTTATTTCCTTGCATCAGGTGTCGAAGCTGCTTTGTACAAGCAAGCTACAGAAGGTGGTTCATGGGAGGTCAATGTTTCCCTTGCTGGAGTGATGAAATACCTGCGATCCCTGGGGCAGTTCCCTGGCAAAGATGGCTTCCAGGCGCAGAACTATACGTGTACGGCGGATGTGCCCCGGGAGTATCTGGAAACAAGATCAACAGGCTTTGGTGAGATGACCGCTGTGCGCCATTCCGCCTCGATCCAAGGGGTTGAGGTTGGATGGGATATCATGCCAAAGCCTCTAGGTTCGGATGAGAAGAGGTGGCTCTAAGCCGCCGGGTTTATGTTCAAAAATTCAAGTCCGTCTGTTTACCTGTTTTGTCTCCGTATTTGATCCATTACCTAGGCCGCCCCCTTGTGGAGCTCCGACGAGACAGAGGATATCCTCAGTCATTGAGTCCAATGATCTGTTTAGGAATAACTGTTGTTCTTGGAAGTTTGCGGGGTAGTTTAGGGTAATGTTTCGGTGGAGTGTCATCCCTGCATTCTTTCAGACGCAACTCAAACAATGGGAGACCAAAAGCAAGGGGACAGGGAATGCGGTGAATTTAAAAGCCCAATCATGACTGCCATATACCATCTAAAGAGGGAAGAGAAGGAGAGAGACGCTGCCACAGGCTGCAGAATTGGATATACAATGTAGTTCAGTATATACAATCAAAGAAAGTCCGGTTGCAAAACAAACAAAACAATACAAAAAGGTTAGTAATGGTATATATATAGACATAAATTGGAAAAATAGGGAAAAGGATTGTGAGGCAAATCATGAGCCCAATACGCTCTACCGAAGCGACGCCAAAACCCCAAGAGATTAAAAACCAGCCCACGCAACTTTGGCCAGCAAAGCCGGCGCGAGATTATTTCGCTCGGTCTCTGCTGCAACGTGCATAAGGGTGCAGCAAGGCAACCCAGCCCCCCTTGCAGGTGGCGCGGCAGAAAATCCTCCCCCCAAAAAAAACATCTTTTGTTTCGTTTTCATCATCAACGTAGGGATTGTGTTGTCGTGTCCCTAGGTATCTCTGACGAAGCTTTGGCTAGTTCACTGGTTGATAGCCTCTGTGTCCCCATTCGCTTGCTTTCCAAGTGGTTTGAAGGTTGTTCATCTCGTTCCGTTCATTGTTCCACCTAGTGTCGTCGAGAGCATATTCGAGGCGACCCTTCTTGCGTTGCCTGATAACGTAAATGGCGCCTACAGCGATGAGAAGAACGCCGGCAGCTGCAGCACCGCAGTATACCCCGGTCTTAGCTGCAGTTGGCAGCGCAGCCCATTTCTCGCTCAGGGATTTCTCTGGCTCCTTGTTCAGCTGCTCCACGGTAGTGGAATTGCCCCTAATCTAACGTCAGTACTATGTGATTTATGCAATTATCGGGTCTTGAACCCTTCCACAGCAGGACTTACTGGACGACCTGAATACTTTCCCACGATCCCGAATGATCTGTGTAATTGTACTCTTTGCCAGTGTGGAAGTCATGCACGCGCACGTTCTTCACGACCATGGTGTAGGGACCAGCGTTGTAATCGACCTCGCCTCCAGCCCATTCAATCGTGCCATGGGCGTTTTTAGGGTCACCGGCGGGCCAGATACCAAAACGAACATTGCTAGGCGTTTGGGGGAAGTTCTTGCCATCTACGGCATCTTCGTACTTCAACGTCCGGACCAGATTGCCGTCAAGCCACCACTCGAGTTTCTCCTGGGTCCAGTAGGTGGTGTAGTTGTGGAATTCAGTATCAGCATTCTCCACATAGTGAAAGCCACCGCGGCCAAATGACGTGTCATTGCCTTTGCCAAAGTAGTTTGACTGGACCTCGGAAGTATTGTAGCCCACCCATTCCCAATCAATCTCGTCTCGATCGGCTGACTGAAGCACCACACTGCTGACGATACCATGGCCCTTCGCCATCTTGACATGGGACTCGACAATGCCGAAGAAGATAAAGAAGGTCGACTGCATTGTGGGAGAGTCTAATTTCTTCCTGATGGAGAATTCCGCTCCATCTTCAGTCCAGTCGATATTGCCGTTCGTAATCTTCCAAATTTTGTCATCCATGGTCTGATTGAAGACCCAAGTGTGATTGGTGCCCAGGGCGGGCGCTGCGGGACAGGTACTGTTGAGAGGGTCACAGTCGGTCCACGTCTGAGCGGTCACCGAAGCGACGAAAGCTGACAATACAGCCAATTTGTTAATTAGCAACATGTTGATTAGGCACGGTTCGACTCAGGATCCCCTCCTGTTCCTCAAAAGTGATTGTGGGCGGTCTATAAAATAGGGTGGAACAGGCAAAAGCTAAACCCCGGATTCAGGTTGACGATTCGTTTCGATTCAGATAAGGAGTGAAAGGGGGGCGCGATGCCGCAAACAATCGTTTATCTCTAACGGTTAAAATAGCCCAAAAAATGAGTGACGGTTTCCGTAGCAAGGAATGGATGTGCGATCAAGTCGCACGAGGAATTGATTGTCCACCCGGAAGAAGGGATGGGAAAAGACAGTGTGGGTTCTGGAGGAAGAGAAGACTGAAAGACAACCATGGCGGCGATTTCATTGCTTTAATTAAACCGGATAATTCTTATTAGCGGTTTTTTTTTTTGTTTTCACTGTGGCCAGCAGTCTGTATTTTTTCTTTTGTCTTTCCTTCTGCAGCACTACCGCTGCACTAGTTTCTGGGTCTCCAGTTGTTTAAGGGGTAAGTTTGAGAACTACAAAACCGGCAATCTATCGGTCTTGGATGTGCAAACTAATGCCGAGGGTGGCTAGGCTAACTGGCCCACTAGCCATATTTGGTAAGTAGCTTCAAGACTGTGTCCCTTGATCTAGCCGAGTTAGGATTAGCCCTGCGCCGGCCCTCAGAAGGTCAAACAGATCTGGAACCACTGCCGCCAATCACACAAATTCTGCAGAGGTCATGATAAGGTCCTTGGGATTTGATCTGGAAATAAACCCACGGAAACGCACTATGAGGTACTACTAGTAAAGGACGAACCCCCCTTTTTATCATGGGGATGTTCCTTATTTCGCTGTCATATATGTGATACGCGGGGGAACACTGGATGAACACATCTCGTTCGTAAAGCTCGGTCGATGACAAAAACAATGAACTCTGGAGTACCCTATAATGTACGGTAAATATTAATTAGTACACACACACTCTGACACAGTGCCCAGAATACCCATTCGAGTCAAACCCATCCCCCTGATTAACAGCAAATGAAAATGCAAGGTACGGGCTCCAGTAAGTGAAACTAGTCTCGGTGCTGCCAACAAAGGATCCATCTTGGCCGGGAAATTATGCCATATTATGATTTCTCTAGCGGTGAGTGGCCCCGATGACAATGCGCCAGCAAAGATTTTATTTCAGTCCTCGGGCGATTTTTTATAATTAGAAGGTGGTTTTGGAAAGGCAAAAATAATTAAGGACCTACACTTCATACATACAGGATACATACGATACATACATACATACATCTGAAACAATTTGAGATGACTTCCAACCATTCCAACGATGCGATTATATTCATATGTAAGGTTCGCATGAACATCCCTTACCTGTTTGCTCATCATCCAAACATTTATCCTTGTAGCATGTAACACCTGCACGACGTGGTTCGGAGTAAAACGTAGGGTTAATTTCTCCTAAAGCCCGGCGAATGGAGGTACTGCATTGAGATTGTACCTGCATGTTCCAGTGGTACTTCCATAGTATCCGGTATCATCCTGAGTCGTGACGTCGTATCGTTCGTTCAATACATTTCATCCGTAGCACCTGACAGCCAAGACAAACCAAGAAAGGGCAAAGCAAAAGCTTCAAGGCATCAACATTTCCCATCTTATATCCACATGCCCTCAGCTGAGGTAGACCTTCGCCGGTCTCCTCACACCCGGCTTCTCCACATACTCATAATACGTTGGACTACGTCGACGTCGATGTCGGTGTCGAGTCTCTGTTCCTCCTCCACTATAACGGCTATAGCCATAATCGGGTTCTCCGCCTCCCTGTGCGCCGGGTAGGGAGCACATTCTCCAGAGCCAGAGGAGAAGCAATGTGCCCGCGATCGAGCCAATGACTATGCCAGCAATACCCCCGCCCGAAATGCTATCAGGACAGTTATCAGATGACGTTTGACGGGCTTGAATCGTGTGGAAGATTGGAGCCTAGACAAAAGAGTTAACGTGGGCTGGGATGGCACTTTATTAACCACAGGGCGTGGATTATCCACGGTTCCCGATACGGGCCGATATGGAAGGTTCCACGGATGGGCTCCATGACAACTTACCATGGTGGACCGATGGGAGATTTCTCGAAATTGATTATAGAGAATGAAGGGCCCGATAACAGCAATATCATCCGAGAAAAGTCGTCCAAGTTATATGGATTCCCAGAGTATCTTCGACTTCGAAAACTTCGCACGCACTGACGTCAATTGTACGTCTTTCAAGTTTTTAGATCCCGGGACGATCTCTATTGTCTCAAGCAAGGCCATGAACTTCCTCTCCTTCCAATCAGAGCGCAATGGGGCCGTCTTAGCTCTTTTTTATCTTATTTTTCACATGCAGGAGAGATACCGTCTGGGCAATGGCGCTACCGCTCCCATGTGTTATTTGGCGCAGACGTACGATTAAACCCACATTCTGGATGGCACTCCAGAAAGGTCCGAAACGATCACCCCACGCTTTGATTATACTATTCCTCGGTATCTTCATATCTTTTGACAGCTCTGTGGACACAATGGACATTGAAACAATTGCGCGACGGGATGTTAAATGTGCGGAGGTGACGCAATCTCGGCAAACAAGGCTTTCTTACGAATCCTTGGACAACGATCGATCTCCGAAATCCGGCCACTGATTGATTGTGGAGTTAATTTAAGGTTATTTCTAATATTATGCGTCAACCAGATTATGCCAATATTTTTTGCCAATGGATAATAGGATATCCAACCTGTGCCCGTATGGTGTTCACTGAGACATATACTGGATAACACGCAAGTGGAGAGACGGGAATAGCCTATATAAAAGTCAGGTAAGGGCTGAGTGAACGGAAAAAAGGTATGTACTTAGAGCCGAGAAGGTGATTAGAAAATAGGCGATCCATCAATTTGAAGTTCATACGAGATTATGGGGATTAGTATACCCTCACTGTACTAACAGTAGTAGTTTCGCCTCATATATTATTTTCGCTGAGACGGGCTTTCTAGGACATTACCCAAGTGAGTACTATATTTCAATATAATACGCAAGCGGACTTGTATTTTATAGCGCCCTTTTACACCTTCAAGTGTCCTGGCGATGGAGGTACTCTGCCGGTCTCCCATGCTCTCATCTCAGGGCCAAGCTCAAACTCAAGGATGCCACCGTGTTCCATGAGGTCTTCGTGCTCGAACCAGTTCTTTTGCCAGGGTTGGCCGTTGAGCTTCACACTTTGCACATAATATCCCTGGTCCAATCCTGTTGCGGTTATTCGCAGCGTGTGATTCCCATTGATAGTCATGTTGAGGTCAGGGAACCAGGGAGACGAGATCAGATACACGGGCTGCGTGACAACGGGGTAAATCCCAAGCATCTGCCATAGGAGCCAAGTGTTCATTGCCCCAGCATCACTGTTTCCCGGTACACCATAGGCTGCATCTTTAAAACTATTACGCATAAACAAATCAGTATACAGCCTTTTCCAGATTGAAGCTTTGCCGGTCTTCTTACTATTGATATCCGAGACTGCGGGATCTCTGTACACTCTTTGCTTGCTTGTTGATATAGTTGTAGAGGTAGGGTGTAGCAAAGTCTGGTTCATTCCTTTACCGCGCACTCCCGTCAGGCTCAGATATGATAATTGGTGGTTGGTATTGCAAGATTAACATACCCGATGTTGATCAGTGTTGTGATACCGGCACCATTTGGACCTAGGTCCTGGACAGACATATTTGGTTTAAACTAACTCAAAAGTATAAGCGTCTGTCGACTACACCTTGGTGCTTCTTACCATCAGGTCGAGGCGAGACTCGAAAGTATCAGGGCCGCCCATGAGACCAATTAGTGTCTCCATGTCATGGGGGATAACAAAGGAATACTCTTCAGTAGCCCGAGCTTAGCAACCACGTATTAATGCTTGACGCTAAGGATGGTCACTCACCCCATGGTGTACCCTCATAGGTATATGAATGCCACTCGCACTCATCGCAATATAAAGGATTATAAGCAGTATGATTGAAGGTACCATTGGAGAACTTTGGCGCTAAAAACCCCGTAAAATTCAAACTCTGCACGTCTGGATCCCAGATCTTCTGCCACCCTGCAGACTGGTTGAGGTACTTCTCCCGATCGCTAGGCATTTCGCCTGCTGCGACTTGACTGAGAGCAAAATCATTGAGGCTATACTCAACTGTCCTGGAAATGCAGCGTGTGCTCCGGTCTTGAGAAACATATCCCAGCTCAATCCAATCTCCCAGGGCACCTCGTCCTTCCTTCGTACTTGCAGAGAAGTCTGTGGGATCATATGTATTGTACGGAATAACCTCGGCATTCGTCTTCATTGCTGCATAACCATCCGTCCAGTTGATTGCACCACGTAGGCCTTTCACGTATGCATCAGCTAACATGTTATCAGCATTTGAGCCTCCTTGGACTAGCCCGTTCCAATTTCCTGAGCGTCCGTCCGGCAAAAAGCCTTGGTGTCTATGTATATCTTTAATTCAATTTCGGTCCCACCGTGCGGTAGGTACTTACCTCCAAATGTCTATAAGACCCCGGGTCATCGACTCGTAGTAAGTAGGCTGAAAAATATGGTAGAAGCTAACCGTGCAACGGAAGATATCCCCTAGCCAAGAGTTAGCATGGAAAGAGAACTAAAGGAGCGGATATATCCACAAAGAGTGTAGAAGTCATCCCAAAGAGGCTCCTCCGAATGCCAAAGCGGGTTCTCTCCCGTTCGATCGGAAGGCATCAAGTGAATGAAGTACAGGGAGCTATACAACAACCGCACATTTGTCTGGTTTATGGTACTATCAAGGGGCACCCTGAGTTTACTAAAGACATCTCGATTCCATTCCTCTATTGCCGACTTCACCGTATCGTTAAGATCCCAGGATGGGATTTCGGATCGAATATAAGAACGAGCTTTTTCGGTAGATATAAAAGAAATGCCTACCCTTGAGCGGATCTGTGACTCTGGTCCACTCTTCCAGCTAAAGAGCGCACCTATCCGATCATTCATGGGCCCTGAGCTTGCCTTGTCTGACGTGTTCACGTATAGTGGATAACTCATGCCTCCGTTTGATAAGGTCTGATATTGTCTCATTGGATCGGTGTTTCTACCTGTAAATGTAGTAGCAGATTCCGGGTGTTCAGAGAATTCCCCGTAAAAGTAGACGGTGAAAGGAGCGCCTGTCGCTTACTTTGAGCCCAGGTTCGCGAGACATGCTTACTTGGACAACTCACCATTGTTCCAACCGCCAATGTATGTTCCATATCCACTATATGCTCCACCATTGCCATGGAGCTGAATCTCTCCACCAATATAAAATTGGCCATTCGGGTCACCCGGTGATCCGGGAAGGTACTATGAAGAAGTAATGTTACATTCTGGAGTTGAATACCTACAACAAAGGGGTGCTTACATGTGAGATATCGACTAAAACATGCTTTTCGCCCTTTGGAAAAGAGTACTGCATTATCCCGGCGTGACGGGATGCTGATATCTCTACTTGAACGCCATTCTGTAACTGGGTTTCGAAATAACCCACACTGGCGGTATCTTGACCAATCTATCTCTCAATAAGCCCATGAGCGGTAAACATAGGTGAGGCATAACCATACTCTGGGCTGACTATAGGTAAGATTATCAAGTACGTTCACCGGAAAAGCCACGTTGGTGAGAGGCATTTGCGGAATGATCCCATATTTTGGTGCGCCCCCAGTCCCGCTCTCATGCATCATGCCTGCATCGAAGTTCAGGCCTTTGCGAGCTAATTTGCAATTTTATGCTAGGGTCACATACTAATGGCGGTGACATTGCCATCAGGAGTCCAACCTCCGTTGAGCACCGCAATCGACCAATTTGCAGCCGTTGTATCAATCCCAACCTTTGTTACGCCAAACGGCCGAGCACCACCAACGAAGATGTCGCCCCCTCCATAGCCTTTCCCGGGAATTGGACCTTCGGAGCCCATTAAAGGATTGACAAACTGTGAGTAATCAATGTAATGCGCAGTGGCTGACCCCAAGAACAAGAGAACTGCTAATAGGACTTGCCGGCTAGGGCAAGGTAGTAGTAGTAGTGCAGACTGCATGGTTCTTGAAGTTCGCTTGGTGGCGTTTCCACTGTACGAAGAGATAAAACAGATTCCTCACTTGGAGGAATTTTTCAGAGATCCTCAGCGAGATATTTATAATTTGTCCAGCGGGGTTAATAATGCGGAGTAAGTCCTTCATACATGGTTGGATGTATACTTGGATCTACATACCAATCGGAGAAATATGCCGTTCCGGGCCTCTCCGACCCTCCGAATTGCCCGCACATCGACATTGAAGTTTGAACACAATCGAAAAATCCCACCAAAAAAGACGTCCCGCAGTCCGATTAGAACCACGCGCTTCGCTGTTGCCCGTTCCTTCAAGATCCACACTGAAATTCCCATCCGGGGCACGGTTTTTTTTTTGTCAAACGATCTTTTCCAAGGTATTCAAATATATATCGTCAAGATGGGCGTTGCTTTCGACAAGTGTGAGACCCGGCCGGCGAATATCGATGCCATCCTCAACGGCCTGGACAGATACAACCCCGAGACCACCACCGTTTTCCAGGATTATGTTGTACAACAGTGTGAAGACAGGACATTCGACTGCTATGCCAACCTGGCTCTGTTGAAGCTGTGAGTGAATGCGCTGGGTTGTTTTCGCAATTGCTCAAGAGCTCCGGCCTTACAAAGTGCTATATCCCACGGGCTGAGATGATGGAGAAATATTATATTATAATCACGTTTCCTATTAACTGACACCTCATATCGAGGGATGTCGAGGACTCAATTCTTCTGAGAAAGCCCTAAATCATCAATAATCACTGAATGAGCCTACCGAGCGTTCTCATCTTTGTTGCTAACTTACTCACCTGGGCAGCTACCAATTCAACCCCCACCTCCTCCAGGCTGAGACCGTCACCAACATCCTTGCTAAGGCGCTTACCGTGTTCCCGTCCCCCGCTTTCTCTCTCTGCCTCGCTCTGCTCCCCGCCCACACTCAGCCCTTCCCCTCCACCGACGCCGACGCATCTCAGACCTCCGACTTCGTTGAATCCGTCCAGAAACTTGCGCGTCTCTCTACACTCCTTGAGTCCGCCCAGTACGCTCAGTTCTGGTCCACTCTGAACTCTGACGACCTTTACGCCGACTTGACCGCCGATGTCGCCGGTTTTGAGGAGCTCGTTCGCATCCGCATCGCCGTTGAGGTTGGCAAGGCATTCCGTGAGATCAATGCCGAACTCCTCGAGCAATGGCTGGATCTGAGGAGCCGCGAGGCTCTCGAGAAGTTCGTCGTGGAAGTCTGCAGCTGGGAGGTTGAGAAGTCCGGCGCCAACACCATTGTCAAGGTCCCCACCAACAAGGAGAACGAGGCCCGCAGCGAAGTCAAGAGCGAGCGTGTCGACGTCGACATGTTCGGCCGCGTTATCAGACGGGGATTCGAACAGGCCGCTTGAGCGAAGACTCCTCGTATCGAAAATCCAACCGTGAACCGTGTCTCTTTCCTTTTCTTGCTAATATTATGCCTCGAAGATCCTAATGGATCTTCGCTTCGTGTCTTTTCGTTTTGGTAATCGGAAAGACTCGTAAAAGGATCATGTCCGCTTCAGACCCACGAAACGAGCTCGGAGCCCAAGAAGATGATGACGGGGATAGACCTGCATGAGAAGGGTTGGGAAGTCAGGACCGGCGCATTGGGCGTTACGTGTTTGCTTGACATCACTTATATTTACCATCATCATCATCATCATGATGTTGTCGATGTGGAAACCTACCTTTTATTTTTCTCTCTCCGTTATTTACTTCTTTTTATTCGAGAAGATATCCTATAGAACAAACAGGACTGAGAGTTGCTCAGCAAGTGGGGCCATTCGCGTATAAATACTTGTGTAGAACATTCCCATCAAACTGTAGTACTGGCCAAACCATATTCCCATTCATTAAGTAAAATGAATTAGTGCAATAGGTTAAAACTTTTGAACTAAGGTTTGATTGTGTCTACGGTCGTAAGCATTATAGAGCGTCAGTCATGAGCCTGTACGTTTATTTTGATTCCTCCCACTGCACCGCCGCCCACTCCTCGCGCCAACCCACTACCCCAACTTTCTCGGGGGCGCAGTCCTTGCTGCACACACCGAGAATGATGGTTCCCCATTCCATACCGCCATCATTAGGACCCAGTCCAACACCTTCCCGGCCGTCTTCCAGCACTGCAATGGCATAAGGCACAAGCTGCAGTTCAAACACTCGTCCGCTACCACAGTATTCGCAGCGAGGCATGCGGCTAGAGCCACCGGTAGTAGTCACCTTGGTGCTCAAAGACGGGGTTTGGGGGTCGAAAAGAAGCTTTCCAACGGGATCGGTGTGAGAATAGAGGAGGGGAGAGCCGCGGAAATCATATCGCAAGATCTGTTCAGGGTTATGTCCGAGGCGAGTGGAGAATTTCATGAAGGCTTTGTCCAGCTGGGATTCTAGGGCATCCTTCATCTCCACGGCCCCGCCACCATTGGCATCGTCTTCGATGTTATCGATGGTGACATTATCGGGAATTTTCGGGGTAGGCGGACGAGACAGCGTTTCATACTCCGCATCTAAATAGTAATGTTTGTATGGGGAAGGGAATTCGGACCGCGTTGGCCAAGGGGCAGCGGGTCCGGCAGCCTCGGGGGCTTTGATAGTCGGGGGAGGGGAGGAGACTCGAACTTTGTCAGCAAAACTCTCAGAGAGAGCATTTGCCGATGGGATCGATGAGGGGGCTGGCTTGGCCGGTTGGGGTGCGGCGAGAGGGGCGGCGAACGGGTTGCTAGATTGCGCGGAGGACGTAGTGGCAGTTGAGAAGGGATTCTGGTTCGCAGAGACGCTCCCCGTGAGAGATGTCGCTCCGAAAAGACTCGCCCCAAGGTCCGGCTTGGGGGTCTCAGTCTGTTTCTTTTCTTCCTGCTCTGATCCTTTCTTTTCCTCCTTAGGCGGCGCCGGCTGGCTCTTCAGCCTCCGTGTAGAGCGCAACGCTCGGATACTGCCTGGCTTGCGATTGCATGGTTTTCTGGGACAGGCGAAGATGTACAGTCGTCGCTCGTCATCAGAGAAGTGTTCGGGGAGGTCGCCGTGCAGTTCGAGGAGAAGGGCCATAGGGCTATTGCAAACTTTGCAGTTCGCGAATTCACCTGGAGGCGGGGTAGAATCATCCAGCCATGTCTACAGTACAGACGGTTAGTATTCGCGCACCAGTACCTATAGGAATGAGGGGAAAAGTCACATACTGGCCAACCTCCAATGTGACTGATTGTGTCATCTAGAATCTCCTCTGAGGGATATCCCAAAAGCACGCCAGTTTCAGTGAAGTCCTCATCTTCATAACCCGAGGAGTCGCTGTCATAAGGATCCATTGCGGTGATATTTACTTGAGGAGCGAGACAATTCAGGAGAAGGCTGAATATAGAGAATCAATATATTAATTCTATGGCTTGACAATAGACGTCCGTAGGGAGGTAAACATGAAAAGCATCGAAACCCCTCAATACTTAAAAAAGGAAGAAGGGGGAAAAAAAAAAGATTACGATAAGCGATACGGGGTCGAGGTTGCGCTAGACCTGTTGGGGCCTAGATCCGATACAGGGCCCGGATCACTCCATGATTCGTCACCTGCTCGGTGCTTGTCTTCCCAAGTTGTTGTCTCAACGTCTTGTCTTATCCATTCTCTCATCCTTCATAGTATCATTATATCATCAAGCTAACCCCCAGATTATCAAAGGGACAGCTTTGTGTGAGAATTGAGCATTGGATTGTGCAGTAGTGCACATTCATATCATAGATTAGATGCTTTGCTGCTAATCCTCAGCCCTCACTGGCTAGTGCCTCAGGTTTACTTTGGCCATGGCTTCCTTTGTTAGATCTTCCTTTTGGCTTTTGGCCATACACTATGCCTTATCAATATGCTATATACCGTTCAGCCATGCCAAGGAGGAACCCTTCAGTTCAACCTCTAACACCAAACGGGTGGCAATAATCGGTGAGTGCTAAAGAGCAGAATAACATTTTATGTATAACAGAAGCTAATGAAACTCACAGGAGCTGGCGCCGGAGGCTCATCTGCTGCATACCATCTGCGCAAGCATGCGGATGCATCGTCAATCCCAGTAGACATCACCACCTTCGAACGCGCCTCGTACGTGGGCGGTCGATCAACAACAGTCAATGTTCTAGATCATCCGGCGTATCCGGTTGAGCTGGGTGCTTCAATCTTTGTGAAGGTCAACCACCACCTTATGAACGCGTCCAGAGATCTAGGGCTGTCTATCAATAGCGCTGATGCAGCCCGACCCAGGGAAAACGATGATAGCATTGGTATCTGGGACGGGAAGCAGTTTGTGTTCGTCTTGCAGGAGAACAGTTGGTGGTCCATTCCTAAGCTGTTCTGGCGTTATGGCTTGGCACCTATTCGGGCACAAAACTTGATGAAGGGCACAGTCAACAAGTTCTTGAAACTTTACGAGGAACCCATGTTCCCGTTTAGATCCCTCACTAACGCCGCCGCTGCAGTCGGCTTGCTGGACTCGACTTCAACTCCCGGTAATGTTTTTCTCAGTGAGAACAATATATCCCCCGACTTCTCTCGCGAGATCATCCAAGCAAGTACTCGAGTCAACTACGGACAGAATCTAGGTCTCATACATGGCCTGGAGTCCATGGTGTGTATGGCTACTGATGGAGCGGTGTCTATCGAAGGCGGAAATTGGCAAATCTTCCATGGAATGCTCAAGTCCGCACGAGCCGACGTCCGCCTCAACCATACAGTGACCTCCATTCACCGTAATGCCGATAAAACATTAACGCTCACTTACAACGCCAATAACTCAAAGGAGCAGAAGCTCATTTTTGACGAAGTAGTGATTGCTGGTCCACTGCAGCATTCAGACCTCTCTATCTCTCCGCCGGTAGAAAAACAGCCGGACGAGATTCCTTTCGTAACACTCCATGTGACACTGTTTTCCTCACCACATAAGCTCTCCCCTAAGTTCTTTAAACTCGAGGGGGCCAATGCCCAGACTCCCGAAACTATCCTCACCACACTCCCCAGTGGTCTGGATCTAGGCTCTAACAAGGCAGGAGTTGGCCCAAGCGGCTTCTGGAGCATCAGTACCCTCCGAACGGTGGACCATCCAGTGGCCTCCCCAGACCAGAAGCCAGAGAAACACTACGTCTACAAGGTCTTCTCGCCTGAGCGACTCTCGGCCGGGTTTGTAAATAACATCTTGGGTCTGGAGAACACGGACGGTACTGTAAGCAATAGCAACTCTACCATTGGCGATCTTTCCAAGCGGGACGTCAGCTGGCACCACGAAAAGATCTGGTATCCTTACCCGTTCCTCTACCCCCGTGTCACGTTTGAAGAGACGCTCATATCCCCTAATATTTGGTACACTGGTGGAATTGAGAGTTTTATCTCTACTATGGAGACAAGCGCGCTGATGGGTAGTAATGTTGCCGCATTGCTGTTCCAGTCGTGGCAGGATCAGGTGGAGAGAACGGTAGGGGACGATCCGGTCGTGGAGTGGGAGGAGAGGATGGAGTTATAGGTGGAGGAAACCTAACGTCCGCCGGGCTTGATTGTATTTCCTATATGGTTTACGTGGATTCTTAAGGAGTATGGGAAGCGATGGGGCATGTGGCCAGATAGGATATGGACAATTCCCTCTCCTCCCGTACACGTTCATCGCTTACGTTACCATTCTAGAAGAGAACGTAGTGTGACTTCATAAAATCTCATTATTATGTATTGAAATCGCTCGTTGATGGCAAGTATATCCATTTGGAAGCTGGATTTCCCAGCCCAAAAATGAAGACATGAACTTTTGTCCTGTTGAAGAGGTGTTGAAAAAAGCCATCCGATGCTATTGTTCGTTCACGTACTCATATCCCATGACCCGCGTAAGGTTGAAAAAGCAGACCGATATAAACCCCTAGAAACGCACATCCAATCCCTTTTTTTGACACAATGATGTTGAACTCGCAAGACGAAACAAATGAAACACTAAAACACTTTGGTATCACATTTAAACGGGGAGAGGGAAGGTAGAGGCCCAGGCGGCAACCTCCTTGCGCAGCTCCAGGATCTCGGAAACGGTCTCGGAGGCAACCTTGGCCTTGAAGTCCTTGAGCTTGTTGGCCTCCTTGGGCAGCTCGCTCTGGACCTTCTTGCAGATGTTGATGGCCTGGTCGATGTAGTGAGCGATGCGCTTGAAGTCCTCCTCACCCATGCCACGGGTAGTCATGGCAGGGGCACCGATACGGATACCGCAAGGGGTGAGGGCGGACTTGTCGCCAGGGATGGAGTTCTTGTTGCAAGCAATGTTGATCTGTTCCAAGACAGCCTCAACACGAGCACCGTCCAAGCTCTTGGGACGGAGGTCCAACAGGACCATGTGGCTGTCGGTACCGTCGGAAACAAGTTTGTGGCCCATCTGCTTGAACTCACTCTCGAGAGCCTTGGCGTTGTTCAGGACCTGCTGCTGGTACAGCTTGAACTCAGGGGTATCAACCTGCTTGAGAGCAACAGCAAGAGCAGTGATGGTGTGGTTGTGAGGACCACCCTGGTGGCCAGGGAAAACGGAGAAGTTGATAGGACCCTCAAGGTCATACATGATGTCCTTGCCGGTCTTCGGGTCAGTGCTGCGCACACCCTTGCGGAAGAAGATCATGGCACCACGGGGACCACGAAGTGACTTGTGAGTGGTGGTAGTAACCACATCGGCGTACTCGAAGGGGGAGGGGATGACACCGGCAGCGATCAATCCGGAGATGTGGGCCATATCAACAATGAGGTAAGCGCCAACCTTGTCAGCGATCTTGCGCATACGCTGGTAGTCGATCAGGCGGCAGTAGGCAGAGGTACCGGCAACCAAGCACTTGGGACGGTAGAGCTCAGCATTGGCCTCCAGGGCATCGTAGTCAATGATGCCAGTCTCGAGGTTGACACGGTAGGGGAAGGTCTCGAAGTAAGTGGAGACAGCGGAGATCCTGTACGATCCCGAGTTAGTAACGAGGATGAGTCACGAGTCCGCTAAACGATAGGAAACTTACTTCTTCGCAGGGGTCTGATATCCGTGACTCAGATGGCCGCCGTGGGGAAGATCCAAACCCATCAGGCGGTCATGGGGACGCATCAGAGCCTGGTAGACCTGCAAGTTGGCAGGGCTTCCACTCAAGCACTGAACGTTGACACCCCACTTGGAGGGGTCGAGGTTGAAGGCCTTGAGGGCACGTGCCTGGCATGTGAGCTCGATGGCATCGATGTGCTGGTTACCACCGTAGTAACGGGCACCGGGGTAACCCTCGGAGTACTTGTTGGACATGGGAGAGCCAAGGGCATTGAAGACGGCGTGGGAAGTGAAGTTCTCCGAAGCGATTAGGACAATGGATTCACGCTGACGCTGAATCTCTTTTTCCTGCGAACGATTAGATCCATCTGATTATATTACATTGGGAATCGTTCAAACTTACCATGATCTGGGCAATCTCGGGATCACTCTCAACGAGAGACTTCTCCATTTGCTACATTGCCTCGTGAGTCAGTGACTGATACAGAAAAATTTCAAGCCCGGTAGTACTCACGTCCCGGTGGGCCTGCGACAGGGCGTAGGTGGCCATTGTGAAGGATGATTGTGGTATAGTAAAGAATACTATGTGAGGAGAAGAAAGAGATGGTTGGAGAGGGAAAGAAGAGGAGAGGAGGGAGAAGAAGGGAAGTTGGAGGGAGAAATACTGGGAGGGATTTGGCAGGGTGGGGTGAGTGCCTCAGGTGAAAAGTGTCCCGCCTTTTTAACATTTTCCAGCATCCAATTATTAGACACGTTACAGAGTCCTTTTTCGTACTTCTGTTGGGATCGGCGAACGACATCGGAGGCCAGCTTGCCCCTCACCAGGAAACTGATTCGCTCAGGGGCTGCGGGCTTAACCTTCCTGGGTCTAGTATCTTGGCCTGGACAAAAGCGAACCTCGAAAGCTATGAGTCACATGGTGATAAGGGCTGGTTTGAGAAGTTGTACTTTGTAAAGACCCATTAATTGTCACCTTATACGGAATATTTCACTTATAATAGTCGAGTTCAATGAACATGAACAGATGCCAAACGAACAAAAACTCATAATAATAATAATAATAATCATCATCATCATCATCATCATCATCATGTTCTGAATTAGTGTCAGCCGTAGAAAGATTCCCGACTTACACTCCCTCAGCATTGAAGGACGGACGAGGACCGTGGGAGCGACCGACGGGACACACAGCCTCCTCTCCGCGAGAGCGACACAGCACGTAATTACAATATATTATCTAGATGGTAGGAATCGTCACTTGTTGCTGTATTCCTTCCTTCTCCAAGGTCCTTCATTCGCTGCTCGACACAAGGATGAACTGCGGGCCCTTTCTCCTTGCCTTAATAGAGGCGTCATCAGGGACAGAAAGCCGCAACAAGGTCTTCTATGAGACAGCGCCATAAAGTTCATAGAAGACTGCATCCATTAGGGGTCTCCAAGGTATCGAGTATGTTTTATCGTCCATTGCTTAGCCAGATATTAGCAGGTCAATAATGTGTGTTTGTCCACATTCCGCGATGGTACTAGCAAGTCGTCATCGGAAGCCACAAGTTGTAGGTTTTCATCATAAACTCAACACACTCTCTCATTGTCTGCAATTTGATGGGAAAATCCACTTTTTCCAAATCCATTGGTGTCAAGGAATAGCCGCCGTATGACAGACATCCCTATCGTGGCCAAGCCCCTCTTCAGGCTGCCTCCATCTTGGTCTTCTCGATCTTTGTCAAGTCAGCTCTTCTTCCAAATTCTGAGATGATCGACTTCAGTCTCGAAATCCTCCCCTCGAGGTCATTGATCTCCTTTTCCTGTTCCGCAACAGAACGGTTCACATCGGGTAGGCTTTCCACCACGGCTTGTGCTTTCTGTATACGGATCTTGATTGAACTGGCCTCTGTAGGAAGGTCTTTGATGTCTAGCGGTGGAGGCGCGTTTGAACTCAACGCAGCTATCTCGGCCGCAGCGGAGGCACTACCCGGAGCGGCGGAAACAGTCGGCAATATGCCATGACTGTCATTATGTTGGTTCCCAGCGGTCGAGTGCTGTTGTTGCGGCTGAGATTGCGACTGGGCGGCGCCAGTTGATGTGGGAGCTGTAGCTACAGCGGGATCTTCGGTGGCTCTTGCGCCATTCGATACACCTTCAGGGTTCGCTTGTGGAGAGAGTAGCCGGAGAAGAAGGCCGTGCAATGGTGGGATAATGTCAAATGTTTGTGGAGGAGGGAATGGAACTGGCTGTGGCACTGTTGGTTCGGTTGATGCTGCGGCGGTCGTATCCCTCAGCACGGGAGTCTGGGGCGCAGACGATAATTTTGGCAGTGGAGTAGCCGCCATTGGGGATCGAGAAGCCATTGCGGGGGGGCAGGAATTGGCGTTGTAACGAACGACGATGAAGAAATTGTGATCTCCCTCAGCCGACTGGGGTAATTGTTTAGGGAAGAGTCGGAACGGGTAAGACGAACAACCGGTCGCAAAAAGCCCGTGACTCTGAGAGTCCCCAAGTGACGTCGCACCGCAAAACCAGTTGACTGACACTCTCCCTAAAAGCGTCACCGGCAGAACACCCCTCCCCCTCCATTTCAATCACCCGATACTCCGGTTAACCTATATCTATTTTCTTCTTCTTCTCCTTTCCTTCTCTCCTTTCTCTCCCACCACCTCTTGCTTCTACTCTAATTTCTACTTATTCTTCCTTCCTTCTAGTCAGTGATTTCTCCCCTTTCTCAGTCCCCTTCAAATTAGTTTAACTCGTTCAGCAATTGACCGTTTCGCAGCTGCACCATGGCTAAGGTTGACCACAAAGTTGCCCTCAGTAAGCCCTAGCGACTCAATGCGATCCAGACCTCTCAAGCAATTCGCTAACATATTTCAAACAGTCGTTATCGATGGTTGGGGTGTTGCCGGTCCCGACTCTCGCAAGGATGGCGACGCTATCCTCGCTGCAGAGACTCCCTTCATGTCCGGTTTTGCCGAGGCCAATTCGAAGACTGCCCAGGGCTACGCCAAGCTAGATGCCTCGTCACTTGCTGTCGGATTGCCGGAAGGTCTCATGGGCAACAGTGAAGTCGGCCATTTGAATATCGGCGCAGGACGTGTGGTCTGGCAGGACAGTGTCCGTATTGATCAGACTCTCAAGAAGGGCGAGTTGAACAAGGTGGACAATGTCGTTGCGTCTTTCAAGCGCGCTAAGGAGGGCAATGGGCGTCTTCACCTTCTTGGCCTGGTTTCCGATGGCGGTGTCCATTCCAACATTACCCACCTGGTTGGCTTGCTCAAGGTTGCCAAGGAGATGGAGATTCCCAAGGTCTTCATTCACTTCTTCGGCGATGGCCGTGACACCGAGCCTAAGAGCGCTACCAAGTACATGCAGCAGCTTCTTGATCAGACTAAGGAGATTGGCATTGGTGAGATCGCCACTGTCGTTGGACGCTACTGGGCTATGGACCGCGACAAGCGCTGGGACAGAGTGGAAATTGCCATGAAGGGTGTAGTATCGGGGGAGGGCGAAGAGAGCTCTGATCCCATTAAGACTATCAACGAGCGCTACGAGAAGGACGAGACCGATGAGTTCCTGAAGCCTATCATCGTTGGTGGTCAGGAGAGACGGATCCAGGGTATGATGGCCTCCTTATCGATTTGCAGTGTGTTGATGGCTGACGATCATTACTAGATGATGACACCCTTTTCTTCTTCAACTATCGCTCTGACCGTGTTCGTGAAATCACTCAGCTGCTTGGCGACTTCGACCGCTCCCCCAAGCCCGACTTCCCTTACCCTAAGAACATCCACATTACCACCATGACCCAATACAAGACCGACTACACATTCCCCGTCGCTTTCCCTCCCCAGCACATGGGTAACGTGCTCGCCGAATGGCTCGGCAAGAAGGATGTTCAGCAATGCCACATAGCTGAGACTGAGAAGTACGCTCACGTCACTTTCTTCTTCAACGGTGGTATTGAGAAGCAGTTCGCCGGCGAGGTCCGCGACATGATCCCATCCCCCCAGGTCGCGACCTACGATCAGGACCCCAAGATGAGCGCTGCAGCTGTCGGTCAGAAGATGGCCGACCGCATCGGCGAGGGCAAGTTTGAGTTCGTCATGAACAACTTCGCTCCTCCCGACATGGTTGGCCACACTGGTGTGTATGAAGCTGCCATTCAGGGTGTTGCGGCCACCGACAAGGCCATCGGTGTCATCTACGAGGCCTGCAAGAAGCACGGCTATGTGCTGTTCATCACTGCGGATCATGGGTAAGTGATCGCCATGCTTGTGGTCTATATGTAGGCAAAGTCCCCCGGCTAACCGCGTCTCTTCCAGAAACGCCGAGGAAATGCTCACCGAGAAGGGCACCCCCAAGACTTCTCACACCACCAACAAGGTTCCTTTCGTCCTGGCCAATGCCCCCGAGGGCTGGAGCCTCAAGGAGGACGGCGTGCTTGGCGACGTCGCACCGACCGTTCTCGCTGCCATGGGCATTGAGCAGCCTGAGGAGATGAGTGGACAGAGTCTCCTCGTCAAGGCCTAGAGATACCCTAATACATAGATCGTCTTGGTGCATCATTTAGAGACGATTTGGGCGGGTTATGAATACATGAAAGTTATGGAGTTCAAATGTCTGACAGTTTGATGTAGTATAAAATTAGACTTTAGAGGTTGCAGGAATGAATCTATCCTCCGGGAGAAGATAAGAGAGGATCACTTGTTCTTCTCGTTATGCAGCCTAAAGGCTTCTTAAGAACTACAGCGACTGTAAATTATGGCCCGAGCAGCCAAGCTGGACAGGTACTGAACGGCTCTTCAGCCCATGTCGCTATGTAGCAGACAATCCGATCGATATCATGTCATGTCATTTGCATCATCGCCAGCTCAGAAATGGCCACTAAAATTCTCGCAACACGTCCACCATGCGATCTGCCACAATAATCATATAACGAATCTGCGGAACCTTAATTCTCAGTCGGTAACCTTTGCTAAACCGATGCAGCATCATCCTGGTCGATGTCCACGGCCACGGGTATAGTGCGCAAGGTGACCTGTAACTCCGATATCTGCAAATAGGGCTCGCCCTTAAACATCCCAACTCCCCCTTCCAAATGTGTGAGCTTGGTTCTGCGCATTAGGCGAGAAGCACTGAAGGCTCCATGCTGTGAGATGGGTCAAGCATATGTTCAAGTTCAAGCGGAGGCGGATGCAGCAGCCGTTTGCTGCTGCATTTGGCTCTGGTATTGGAGCATCTGCAAAAAAGAATCAGAAGCTATACCTTGCAATCAATATCTCCGGAGAGCTCCCACCTCTGCTCGCATTTTCTCGCTCTTGTCCTGGTTCTCCTTAATTTGTCCCTCAATCCGTTTACTGTGTCGTCCATCAGTACAACTTTGAGTAATGATTTTCCCGGACTGGATCCCGAGATGGTCTGGTGTAACGTACATCTCCTTCTCGATGAACTCGAGACGTCCATTGACAGCCATAAGGGCCTCGTTCTTCTCTTGCTTCAACAGGACCGGCCCGATGAGCTTGTAGATATTCGCGTCGTCGTCCAATGAGTTGAACTCTTTTTGGACACCTTCATTTTCTTGTTGTTGCGATTCGAGCTTCTGACGAGCTTCGACCAAACCGTCCATATCTGGGGGTTATCTCATCACGTCAGTATTCGGTGATGCCGTAGTGGGGGGGGGGGGGTAAGAGGAGAGAGGGAGAGGGATGCGATAAGGGATCCCAGCATACCGGTCTGTAGCTTCTGGAACTCTTCTGAGAGAGCCTGCATCTGCTTCTGTACGTCCGCCATGGCTGATACTATGAGATATAAAATACAAGCTTGCGTAGTGGGATCTATCTAATTTAAATGGATCAGAGGGAATGAATGGCGGGGAGTTCAGGCAAAAATAGCGAGCGGAAGCGGCAGAAAATCCAAGACGGTAAACATTTAATGCAAGAAAGCCCGCCTGTTCCTATTACTCCCCTCCAATCATCACGCCAAGATCTCGCTCGATTGATACCTCCCTGTGTCGCTTTTGATACATTCCTTGGGATTCGAATGGGCCCGAATAAGTTCTAGTCCTGACCTATTCTCTTTCGCACCGAACCACTGCACCTCACCCGCATTCCAAGACATCCAGGCATCAGCTAAACCAACTCCCCGCCTCCGACTCCCTCTCCTCTCTCTCCACCTTACCAAGACAATTACCCCCCCGTACGGGCTAGATTAACAACCCCCCGGGTAGTCAACACCAAATATGAGTAACACGGACTTCTTAGGGCGGGCGATTGACGCCGTCAAGAAGGCCATTGAGCTCGACAATGAGGGCGAGTACGAGAAGGCTTATCAGGGCTACTATGCCGCCCTGGAGCTATTCATGCTCGCCCTGAAATGGGAGAAGAACCCCAAGTCCAAGGAAATGATTCGCGTCAAGACAGCCGAGTACATGGATCGCGCGGAGAAACTCAAGAACCACCTAGAAGCAACAGAGAATCGCAAGAAACCGAGCGCAGTAGGCGCCAACGGCAAAGTGGCGCAGGGCAGCGGGAAGGGCGAGTACGTGCCGAATTTGACTGCTGTGTTTTTACTTCTGTGGGGTTGCTAGATGCTGACAGATGCGGGGGTTCAGGAAGGCGGATGAGGATGGCGAAGACGCCGAGTCGAAGAAACTACGCAGCGCCCTTGCTGGGGCGATCTTGTCGGATAAGCCGAACGTGAAGTGGGAGGATGTTGCTGGCCTGGAGAGCGCAAAGGAGGCATTGAAAGAGGCGGTTATTCTACCTATTAAGTTCCCTCATCTGTTTACGGGGAAACGGCAGCCGTGGAAGGGTATCCTGCTCTACGGGCCTCCCGGTACCGGAAAGTCATATCTCGCCAAAGCCGTGGCGACGGAGGCGAACAGCACATTCTTCAGTGTCAGCAGCAGTGATCTAGTATCTAAGTGGATGGGTGAGAGTGAAAGGTATGGTATCTGGGTGGATTAGACGCACTTATCGAAGACACTTTCTGACATGAAACAGGCTCGTGAAACAGCTCTTCAATATGGCTCGAGAGAACAAGCCCGCGATTATCTTTATTGACGAAGTGGATGCTTTGTGTGGTCCTCGTGGCGAGGGAGAGTCAGAAGCATCTCGTCGTATTAAAACGGAGTTGCTGGTACAGATGGACGGTGTAGGAAAAGATTCAAAGGGGGTTTTAATTCTGGGAGCAACGAATATCCCATGGCAGCTAGATGCCGCCATTCGTCGCCGATTCCAACGGAGAGTCCATATCAGTCTTCCTGACATCAATGCACGAATAAAGATGTTCATGCTGGCTGTCGGTCAGACGCCATGTGAAATGACACAAGCTGATTACAGAACACTGGCGGAGATGAGCGAGGGCTATTCCGGCAGCGATATCAGTATTGCCGTCCAAGATGCCCTCATGCAACCGATCCGTAAAATTCAGACTGCCACCCATTATAAGAAGGTAATACCTCATCCACCCGACCTTTAAAGAGAGCACCATGATGGCTAACCCGCCTGCAGGTTTTGCTTGAAGACCAAGAGAAATTGACACCATGCTCTCCGGGAGACCCAGGTGCAATGGAAATGTCATGGATGAGCGTGGAAGCAGACCAGCTACTCGAGCCACCGCTCGTTCTGAAAGACTTTATCAAAGCTGTCCGCAACTCAAGGCCCACCGTTAGCCAAGAAGATCTCCAAAGAAACTCGGAGTGGACCAAGGAGTTCGGCAGCGAAGGAGCCTAGTCCAAAATCTTAGAACCTTGCCCGCTCACCTTGAAACCCTTATAACGTTGTGTTGGTTTCTTGCATACTACTCCCCTTCTTCGTCTCTCTTGGATTGAGCGAATGAGAGAACTCCCAGGTTTATACATCCTCATACCATCCTCCCTCTACCGGCTATACCCTCCCTATCTCTATACACCTCCCCCTAGTTTTCATTCCTCCCACAACCCCAGTGTTAGAAGCGTTACCGTTGTTCGGCAAGGCGAGACCAGGCGTTACCATTACATTTTGAACTAGCTTGGACTGAATTCGAGTTCATTCATGTCAAATTCATTGTGTCGATCTCACGAGTCATGTGTCTGAAGAACGAAGTTTAATGAACATTGCCTTTCTTTTTTTTTCCCCCATTTCTTTGGCGTTGAGGCCCATGTGGATTTATAGAAATCTACAACTCTTGGAATGTTGGTGACTATCTAGTCACCCCATTCTCGTCCCTAGACTTGATCAATAACCATTCAAGAGCATGGATCCCGTCAATATTTCGATACACGCCGGTTAATCAGATAATATGCAAAGACCAAACAGCAATGATGTTAGAGAGCTTGACATTTCTCATACAATAATCCTGATCATCAAAACAACACACGTACTGGCTATAGAATATATGCAAAAAGGTTAATAAAACAAAAAAAAACCGCAAGCCCTATCCATCCTTTCATCCAATAAAGTAAACGCCTTATGAAAAACGATAGAATTGGTGGGGACAATTGAAACATAGAGACCGGTACAAGAACAGATTGGGGAATCACTTGAAATAAGTCGTAAACCAAGGAATGAACTGGTTATATCGGAAAACACAAATCACAAGCAGTGCGGCAATTACACCGATGCCTTACTACTCGACGCCTCTCTTCTCTTCAGCATCTCGTTCTTGGCCCGTTTGAGGCCGTCGCCTATCTTCTTTGTCCTTTTCCACTCCTGGCTCATGCGCTGCATCCGTACGGTTGCTTTGACCATGAAGACGGCAGTCTTGAGCTTCTGTCGTGGGCTACGAAGCAGACCACGATCACGAGGCTTAACCCCCATCTCCGAGATCATTCGGAGATCAGCTTCGTTACTGCAAGGGGAAAACGCCAGTTAGTTGGTAGGCCAATGAAAGAACAAATGGATTTCACATACCAGGCAACTCGGACCCGCTCTCCGAGTTCCATCAGACCCTTACTCCAAGCCAGGTCACGCCGGAATTTCTCCTCTCGCTTCAACCGAGCGCGAAGCCAAATGATTTCCTTGCCTAAGCCCAAGATCTCCTTGTCGTGCCTGCTCTTGCTATCTGGTTTAGAGCCCGCCTTCTCCACAAGTTGGCTGTAACGCTCTTGGAGAGACTCCAGATCTTTGAGGGCCGACTCGGCCTTGCGTGCACAGAAGGCGCGCTCTTCTCTGATCCTGCGCACTTGGGCTCTCAATTCACTTAATCGTGCGTCACGCTCTGACACCTTCAGGGCCAAAGACTCGGCCTCGAGAGTAGACGATCTGAGCAACTCGTGCAGGTCTCGTTGGTCTTCCTCTCTCATTGCAGCTCGCTCGAGATCGCGATTCTTTGATTTCACTTCTCGCAGTGTTCGGTGCGCTTCAGATAGTTGCCGTCGCAAGCTACGCAACTCTTCATGGAGTTTATTAGAAGGCGAAGCGTGAGGAGACTGATCTTCAAACTTCCGCATCATGGTATCATGCAACTCTCTCTCTAGTTCGGCGATTCGCGTTTTGCAGCTTCGGACGGAGGCCTTTTGATCCGCTTCTCGTTGGAGTAGCATTTTCTCCCGTTTCCGTGCCTCATCTAGATTTTGGCGCAGCACCACAAGGTCTGCATTCGCGGTCGTGTGTTCGTGTTCGCCCAGAGGCTGTTGCTCTAAAAGAGCCTCCAGCTCTTGCACCCGCCTCTCAAGACGCTGTGATTTGCTCTTTGCCGAAGCCAATTCCCGATCTCTTCCACCAGAATTCGCTTGCAGCTTATTTTGGAGTTGATCAACCTCAACTGCTAAACGGTTTTCTTCTACTGTGGCTCTCTCAACTTCAACACTGAGCTGCTTCTCGAGCGCCTCCTTTGCCTCCAAAAGGGATGATTTCTCTTCTCTCAGTCTCTTGAGCTCGCCTTCGAGCCGTAAAGTAGATTTCCGAAGTTCAACCTTTTCTTTATCAAACTTCGTAGTGTCGTCAACCTGATGCTGAGCTTGGTCGAGTTGAGCCTGAAGCTCGTCACGCTCAGCCTCGAGGTCAACCATTGACGTCCGTAGATCATGTAATTCAACATGAGCGTTGGCTAACTGATCGCGAAGCTTTTGTTTTTCAGATATTAAGCTCTGCACCCGACCGTCATGATTGTTGGAGCCTTTCTGCATTCGCCCCTTGGCGTATTCTCGTTCTTCATCCAAGCTCGACTGCAGTACAACGACCTCATCCTCCAGAGCTTGTATTTTCTCATTCAATGCTGTTTCTGCTCGTTTGGAAAGGCGAATTTCTTCCCTAATCGAAAGAAGCTCACTTCGCTGGTCGTCAATAATTTGTCTCTTTGAAGAGAGCTCGTCATTCAACTCCTTCACTTGACGACTCAAAACTGCTTCTGAATTGAAGTGGCGCGCTTTTTCACTATCGATAACTTCTTGGAGCTTGCTTTCTTTGCCTGTAAGAGTATGCTCGACTTGTTCGAGTTTCTCAATCGTGCGCTTGAAGCCAGCCGCCTGATCTTCTGCTCTGTCCTTCTGGAGTTGCAAGGCTCGCTTACTGCTTTCCCACCTGTCTTGCTCCAAAGCAAATTGGCCTTCTTTGTCTTCGATCTCGTGATTAAGGGCCTCAATCTCTTCCTGCAGTCTTTCAATCTCTTCTCTGTATTGGTTGCGGATCGTATCAGCAGTTTCCAAAGCACGCGCTCTTTCGTCGTTGATGGTCTGCTGGAGTTCTCGAGCTTTGGACTGCGCCCTAGCTAACTCTTCTTGCAGACTGCCGGATTCATCCGTCAAAGCGTAATGTCGTGTTTGGAGGAGTTCCTTCTCTTCTTCCTTCCGTTGGATCTCATCAAGGGCCTCTTGCAATTGAGCGGATATTGCGTCGCGTTCTTGTTGAGCTACATCTCGTTCATGTTTTACCATTGCCGCGTCGTTTTGCAGCTTCTGCTCTTCATTGTCCATACTCTGTTGGGCTCGCCGATATTGCGCTTCAAGGTGGGCTTCATTCCGAGCCATCCTTTCAAGCTTCTCTTTCAGTGCGTTGTTCTGCTCTTGTAATGCCCTCAATTCTTCTTCCAACTTGCTTGACTTTTCCTCCATTTGGCGAGTCAGTCCCTTTGTGCTGATAGACTTGTTTGCCATCTCATCGTGCAGTTCTTGCAAGTTCTTTTCAGCCTGCTCCTTGTCGTTTCTTGCCCGGGTTTCTGATGCCTTTGCTTCTCTAGCTTCAGACTTTGCTTGGTCAAGAGATTCCTGTAGCTCTTCCATCTGCTCCTTCGCGCGTTGGAGTTCTGATTCTAGTTCAGAGAGTGCGTCATTCTCCTTGCTGTCTCTGTCCTTCAGCTCTTCAATCTCCTCATCGCGCTCGTCAATCGTACGCTCCTTCTCTCTGAGGGAGGCTTCTAAGTCCTCGATCTCATCACGGAGCTTTTCCATTTCCTGAGACTGTCTATCCTTGGTATCGCGGAGTTCTTCTCGGAGTTTTCTGATTTGGTGATCTTTCAACTCCATTTCTTCCCGAATCGAGTCCATCTCACGTTGCACCGTGTCATCCGACTGACCCCTCTGCGCTTTCTCTCGAAGTTCTTGAAATTGGACGCGGTAGGCTTCCAAATCGCGTTCCGCCTGTTGGAGGCTCTTCTTGTATCGGGAGATATCTCGTTGCATCGTGAGCTTTGACACTTTGAGCTCGGTGTTTTCTTTGAGTGCCGCTTGATTGTAAGACGGGCCCGCTTTCTCCAGCTGCTCTTGTAAATAGTGGATCTTCAATTTCAATCCAAAGTTATCCTTGTCTAGTTTATCGATGATCTAAGAAAGTCAGTCGCACCGTTACCCCCTTGTGAAATCGAGACAACGATCTCATGACTTACCTTTTCTTGCTCCTTTAGGGTCATGTTCTGCCCATCGTTCAATAGACCATTTCCGCCCCGACCCGACAATCCCGCGAGTGGTGTACTTTGCACGCTACTGCTCGCAACCTGCGGTAGCGGTGTGGGTTCGTCGTCGGTTGCAGCCTCCTCGTCGATATCGGTCATATCATAAACCGGTAGCCCAGGCGTTTGCATACTGCTGCGACCTTCCTTCATGTATCCTGGGGTTTTGTAACCGTTCCCCCTCGCCGTAGACGTGTTTCTCAGAAAATTGTTCTTTGTAGCACTCTTCATCAATGGAGTAAACTCTCCCTTCGGCGGCGCTGCGGTCGGCAGGTGTTGTCGACTGTTGAACGCGTTTCTTGTCGATTTGGGCCCCGTGCCAGCACGCGGCGTGCTTAGTTTGAATCCGCCGGAACTTCGCCGTCGGCCATCACCGAGTACCTTGAGTAGGTCTTCATCTTTGGAGGGTGTCTGGAAGGAATTCTCGACGGAATCTAGTGCCGATAAGTTGTGCCGTCCCACGCTGCGAAAGCCATTGGTCAGGTAAGTCGCGTTTCCGTCGACTTCGGTGCGTGGGGTGTCGATATACGGCACCACCATTGTTAACGCGGATCACGCGACGGTATTGCTGGGATTGAGGTGTTGAGTTAACTCAATGTTTATTCAGCGCGCGACCATCCCCAAGTCTTGGCGCGTGGTGTCAACTTGTACTGGAGAAGCAGTAGATAGAAAGTGTATCTGGTATACGGCATTACTTCGACGTGTTTTGGGCGGTGAGAATCCACTGCCGTTTTGCTTGTTGACATCTACCCGGGAACGGCTTAGCGCTGCGGTCACGAGTGCCGGGCCGGAATTTCGCCGCGTTCTCGTCTGGTATGAAGTCATGGCCGGTAATTTTCTCGAACTTCTTTTCTTGCGCATGGAGCTGAAGGCAACGGACTAGTGTTCTCGAAGCTGTTAAGATGCCACCCATGTCGGAGGAAGATTTAGAATGGTTCAAGTCCACTTTTCATCCCATCCCGAAACCTGAACTCCCCGACGATTCTGTGGAGTATTCGTTATATCATATCTCTTCCGACCCCACTCCCGCTATCATCGATGAAGTCGCAGAAACAAGGTCGCGCTTGGTAGAGGTACAACGTACTGCAGCGGAATTGACAAAGGATCTTCTCAAAGGCTATATCTGGCAGAGAGAGGGATTCCGCTTGGAGATCACGAAGGAAGATGGTACGCAAATGCCAATCCCTAAGCAAATCCCCAGGAATATACTAACTGAACTGGAACTAGGGACTATCCTTTTACGCGGATGCACCAACTTCGGAGATTCGATTGAAGATGAATGGGTGGTCGTGTACTTGTTGCGTGAGCTGACAAAGAAGCACAAGGATATCTGGGTGAAGGTCACGGATAGTGATGGGCAGTTCCTTCTCGTCGAGGCCGCCGGGGCACTCCCGTCATGGCTGGAACCCGAAATAGCGGACAATCGAGTAAGCCAACCATTATTTACATGCCTATTGCATAATACTAATTCCACATGCAGGTGTGGGTACACCGTGGCGAGCTCGTCATTATCAAGCCAAAGAACCAAAACCGCAAAGTGACAGAAAAGCTCTCTCTTTCAGACTCAAGAAGGATTATAGTAGAGGAGCCTGCGCGACTTATGCGCTCGGCAATGGTTCAGGAAGAGGCATTCTATCGATTGCGCAATTATCCCAAACAGATCAGCGAAAATCTTCACTCCGCACTGATTACGATCCCTCGCAAGATCGCTTACCTATTACACCAGAAACCTGCCTATATCTCAGCAGCGGTGGAAGCTTTCTATCTAAGGGACCCAATCGCGTTACGGCCCCTTCGTGCTAAGGAGCCCGACAACTTCATCTTTAAACCAGAAGATTTCGTCACAGTCGGCGTCCGCTTCACAAGGGTCGGCTATGCCCAGCTCAAAAGCCAAGACTTTCCGGCGCCAAAATCCTGGATTGGGGCACTACCTTCCAAGGATGACCGAAAAGCCTATGACCGAGCAGAGATAGGCATGAAGCTTGCCTGCGGGTTTGAAATGCTCCTCGCTGATCCGCAAAATCAAGACAAGGCCGTCGTGAGAGAGATAAATCTTATCTTGGAGGATATCGAAAGTGGAGATGAGAGCTTACCTACAGATGAGGAGATTTCTACGTGGGATAGAACAGAGGATGATGAAAAGTGGCTGGACATCAGTTTTGAAGACCTTGACAGAGAACTCAAGGGAAAGGGCAAGGGAAAAGATGACAGAAATGCCCCCGAGGGTAGTTTTGGCGATGCCAACGCCCAAGAGAACCTCCAGCGTATCGTTGCACGCTTTGAGGAATTTTTAAATAACGATTCAGCTGGCTTTGAAGGGGCTGACTTCTTCGATGACTATAATTCTGATTCCGACGTAGAGGATGACGAAGAGGAAATGAGTAGTAATGGAGAGGACAAGGAGGCCTCCTTTGATGAGGAGGAGTTCTCGAAAATGATGAAGGAGATGATGGGAATGCCATCCATGCCTGGTCTCCCCGACTCAGCTCGGCGATCGATGCCGCGTAATCGAGTGGAACAATTAGATGCTGAGTCTGATGATGACACTGAACAGATACAGCAACTATCAAGGCAGATGGAGGCTGAGCTAAGAGGCACGGGTGTACTGGAGTTGAATCGCCCTGGTAAGACAGCCACAGGCAAGCAAGCGTTATCTGAGGGCAAGGCAAGCGAGGGCCGCGACGAAGAGGGGGAAATGCCTGACCTCGAGGGTGACGATATAGATATCAATCTTGCGAAGAATTTATTGGAAAGCCTCCAAAGTCAGGCGGGTGGTGCAGGGCCCGCAGGAAACATGCTCTCCATGTTAAACCTGCCCATACCAAAAGATGATCGCGGCCGGTGATGTCGCCACATCCACTATTAACTTATCCCCTAAGGTATCTTTCGGCTCCCCTATCCGAAAGCAACGTAGTTGCTCTGGGCTACAGTTCGATTGAACAGCGTCTCAAGACATACTGTGAAAGAATCGGCCTGATCTACTACTTGGAAGTAGCCGGGTTCCAGAATCATACGGGATTCACTTCCAACATATCGCCTCTCGCCTGATTCAGAAGGCTTAGGCACACAAGTTGCCATTACCCAATCTTGGCTGTTATGGATGCTTTTGGGAGTATTTGCCTCCTGATTATGCGCATCGGTGTCTTTGCGGTGGCGGCAAAACTGCATAGGACGTGTCTACACAGTATGTATTTATATACAACTCGAAAGACAATGAAACATGGTAGCAGTACCGTTGGTAGATAGATGGACTAAACCATATACGCTCAAATCCATTTCCTTCCCGCTTTTCTCAAAAGCTATATGATCGTTGATCTCTTGCTTCGAATGTCGACACCAAGTACTTTGTACAAGGAACCCCTCAGGAGCCATTGACTCTCTTGATGCCCACCTGGCCTAGATGCGCCATTGCGGTATGGTGATCCAACATTGCGTAATGCCCAGATTTTTGGTGAGAAATCGTTAACGTTGGCCATTTGTTCATCCCTACTTCTTACTGAGTGCTGCAGGTCTACATTGCATTCTCGATAGATCTATATTTTCTCATTGGTTGGCTTCGATGGCCTTTTTCTCTGGGGTTTGCCTATCATATGATACCCTTCTGAAGCACCTTCACCATTCACGTTCTCCTGGGATGCCCGAATTGGTTGCCAGTATTTAATCGTTCGACAGAGCGATGATAACTGTTTAGAATACGAGATTGTCTCGCGTTACTAATGTGCGTCAGTTCCTTAAATGGCGCCTTATTGGAGTTCTTACGGAGCTTCGGGGTAATTTATATTATAATACGGGATAGGCTACCTTAGCACCACCATCGATCCATGTCTCACTACATTACAACCCCGGAAGCAACACCCATTACTCGATCAATGAGTCGAACTTGCGGAGTAGAAAATGGATACCCGTATCCCGAGTCGGTGTGGCCGAGTAATTGGAAGAGATTGGATTTCTTGGGCTCTTAAATTCTATACTGGGGACTTTGGCTTTTTGTTCTTACCTCTGAGTGATGTCTTCCTATTGGCTAGCCTATCTATAGAATAGCAGCAGAGGCATAATAGACCAACCGTTATTAATGCTTGTATTGTATCGTCAAGTCAGGTGAGGATAGCACAACACCTATCACGTGGGACTTGGGCTTATCTTATCGGCTGACATTGTGGACAGGAAGTACTTCTTCCCCCTCATCTGTCTTTCCCGTCTCCTCCAGCGGACCCGAACACAGACGGAACCAGGTAGTCTGCTTCGCTGGTGGAACTATCTACACCCTGGCTCAAACTGGCCCGCAACCGGTTTTAAGTAGTGCTGATTCCGCGTATTCTCGCACCGGATAAGCGGACCTGTCTACCCGAGTGGAGCGAAGCAAGACGCTGGTTGTATCAAAAGATCTGTCGCAGAACATCTAGCTTTGTTCAAGGAAAGGGACACTTAGCTTGCTTTACAGTAACTTTCATCCCACTTTGTCTGTGATCCTGGAGGTCCAGAGAACATGGCAACCCCCGCCCAATGCTATTACTGCTTCGAGTGCCTCGCTGCCTCGTACCAGGGCCTTGAGCACATTAGCCTCACAGACGTGGAGGAGCTATGGGAGAGACACGAGCAATTTAAGAAGATATCTGCCCTCCAGGACAACGAGGAGTCGGTTTCTCTGAGGGTGAGCGAGAGACTTGGCCAGCCGTCTGAAGATGACGAAGACATAGACGAGGGGGGTCCCACGGGCGTATCGTCCAAGTCCGAGAAGAGCGGCCCTGAGGCAATGAAGCTACCCAGTATCAGTCGCCTTCAAAGCCAAATCTCGTCGGATTCAAGCTCGGCCACCACGCCATCGAGTAATTCATCACACACGACCCTATCTAGTTCCACTCTTGCTACTACCATGACCACCCCAAGCTCACAGTCACTTCAATCTGATGCGAGCGGCTGGAGATGTCGGAGAGAGAAAGACCGGCAGTATCCGTTATTTGTAACTTGGAACACGGTGTCGAAGAGCGGCCGTAAGTCCCTTCGCGGTTGTATCGGTACGTTTGAGGCACAGGAGCTTGCGGTGGGCCTCAAGTCCTACGCTCTCACTTCGTATGTAATCCCAGTCGGGGAGCAGATGGGTGTCATCACCCCCCACCCAGACGCTTGTCGCTGACCCAGTATTAGTGCCTTTGAGGATAGCCGCTTTTCTCCCATTTCATCCGCCGCTATACCCTCCCTATCATGCTCCTTGACACTCCTTGGGTCCTTTGAACCCTGCACTAACGCCCTAGACTGGATCCTTGGGGTCCATGGCATCCGTATCTCTTTTATCCATCGTGGTCGACGCTACGGTGCAACCTACTTACCCGATGTCCCGGTAGAGCAAGGGTGGACCAAAGAGCAGACCTTGAAAAGCTTGATGGACAAAGCCGGCTGGGATGGCTCGTCCGAAGGTGTGACCAGGAGGTTCCTAAGAGGCAGCAGCAGCGGCAACCGCGCCTCCAACTCCAGCAAGCCATGGGAACAAGTCTCAGACTTCCGAGTAGTCAAATACCAAGGTTTGAAGGCCTCGGCTAGCTATGATGACTGGCAGGAATGGCGAGACTGGGTTCTCTCTTTGGGAGACGGGAGTGAGAAGCTGTTAGACCCGGCTATATGAACGAAACATGATGGTCTTGGTTCTTTTTATTTGATCTGGAAATGACGTTTTCTAGCCTTTGGCGTGAGCGCATTTTGAAGACAGCCTGTCCGTTTGGTTAATGATGTGATGATGGTGTCCTTGAAGAGGTAATGGCGTGTTCGGGTTAATCTTTTTCATCGTATCTTTTTAAATATTTAGGGATATACTGAGACTGAGGCATACAAGGTCTAAGTCACCTCTTCCCTTATTGATCTAGCCAGAGTAGCCCTAGTTGTTTTCTTTATATCCATAAATGAGCGCGCATAGCACAAGTATAGGCCATAGGCAATTCGAAGTAGGGCTTGCAGCTCTTGGGAGTACACCGTCACCCGTTCCCTCATCTTTCTCACTATTTATTTCAAGCATCGGGTGATCTGTAATTCTATGTGCTTGTCAGGATGTCCCTCAAAAGAACGTCCAACAATTTACATTGGTATACATACCGAAAATGCTTTATATACTAACTTAATCACGTATATTGACATATTAATCATCCGAGTCCAAGATATGGACGTATGCAAATGTATGGATACTTTCCAATCAAAAACAGAAAGACGGAAGCAAAGTCCGCCAAACTGGAGACAAAGCCCCTAAAAGACATACAAAGAAGCAGACAAAGAGAGTAAAGATGCGGTAAAAAATAGACAGTAGAAAGGGGGTTAGATATGTTGGTATCTCTATCATCGAATTCGTTTCTTTTTCATCATTTCTTCGCTGTTCGACTCCACAATCCAGCTACCATCTCTTTCACTCTCCGTTCTTGTGCGCGGATCTGTTCCTCTGTTTGGCCGCGGGCATCACCGCGGCTGTCGATGTCCATGCCGCTGTCGTGATGCGAATGCTCCTCCACAATTTCGCTTCCGTTGACCCGTTCCGGCTTTGGGTCCACGCTCATCACCCCGTCCATCATCAGGCCACCGCCTTCGCGGAGCTTGTTAATCGCACGGACCGTGTCGATCGCTTTGTGGAGGGTCCGACGCGCGTTGAAGTTCTTCTTGACGGTCGGGAGCAGGTCTTGACCGGACTGGTCGGCGGATGGGTCGTAGGGCGGGTTGACCCAAATGTGTTGGAGAGCTTCATGGGCGGTCATGCGCGCATCGGGGTCAACGGTCAGGCACCGTTTGATGAAATCTCGGGCGTGCTGCGAGACACCGCGCCAGTACTCAAGCGGGGTGAACGAATAGTCGGCTGCAAGGATGGCCTGCATCTCTTCCAGGTTGGAGTCGCGGTCAAAAGGGGTGTAGCCGCAGAGTAAGAAGTAAGTGATGACACCGATGGCCCAGATATCCCTGTCTCATTGTGTCAGGTGTATCGCTGAGGATGATGGGGGGTTCGGTCCAAGTAGCAAACGGGGAATAAGCACTCTCGCGGAGACATACACTGGTTTGGCGTGGCCACTCTTTTTGAAGATCTCAGGTGCCATGTATCCTGGTGTACCACATGTCGTCGTCAGAACGTGGAACTGTTCTTCGTCCATGATCCTGGACAAACCGAAGTCGGCAATCAAAAGATCCGCATTGTCCTCCGGGGTGCGAAAGAGTAAATTTTCCGGCTTCAAGTCGCGGTGCACAATACCGTGGTCATGCAGGTAGGCCACAGCCGACAGAATGGCGCGGATAAGATCCGCAGCATCAGATTCAAAATAACTACCTTTACGGCAGATTCGGTCGAATAGTTCACCACCCAGTGCGAGATCGGTAACCAAATATACTACATAACCAGGATGGTCAACTTGGGTCTCCAGTCGCAGTTCAGTATCCGGAGGTAAACGTACGGTTGTTCATAGTTTCAAAGTAATCGACCAAGGTCAAAATGTTCTGATGACCCATCGACACTTTCTTGAGCACAGCGATCTCATTCCGCACCTACAGTCACGTCAACCCACATTCTCAACGATCGCGCGCCTTGCTGGCCTTTCCCCCGAAAGGCGCCCATACCATGTGCTCACGCCCCGCCATCAACCGTTTATTGATCACCTTCGCAGCATAGTACCGACCAGTGTCGATGTGTACGCATTCCTTCACGACGGAGTAGGATCCAGCGCCCAAGGTCTTGCCCGTCTTGTACCGACAAGGCTGGACCTTAGGTCGCTGGCCTTGTGCTTGGGATGCCATTTAAGGAAAGAAACAAGGTATCCAGCCAGGGAACCCCTTTTCTTTTCTGAAATGGTCAACGCAGAGAAGAGTAAGTGACGCGCGTCGTAAGCCTGCACTATTGGCTATACAGTGAGTAAAAAAGTGTGCAATTGTCAGGCGATTCAAGCCTGCATAAGCATATCTATATGTAACCCACCGGTTTGAAGGCTCACCGCTCGCAAGAATGGTGGAGTGGCTTTGTCGCAGGTGCGGTGAATTTGTTCACGGATAGATGGCGGGGTTAATTAATTGCAGTCTCGATAACCGTCGCCGCTGATAAATTGGAAGGATGGAGTGGGGACGCAAACTGATATAGAAAACGATAGAACTCTGTAAATATATAAATGATCTACGTATTATAAAGAACAAAGGAAATCAATCGGAGGAGGAAGAAGGAGGAAGGCAAAAGACTTATATTCTAAGTATTTAAATAAACGGAGCTGACTTGCCGAACCTTAAATAAAAGGAGTGACAGCTGACATGAATTGATTGAATATTTTATATACGTATAAATACTCCCCCTCCCAGAAGAAATCTCCTTTCTCGCCATTCTCAAACGCCGTGTATTCTTCAAATGCAGACCTTCTTGCTCCTGTGTACATATATTGGAACCCGCCAGACTAACACATAGCATAGAGAAGGAGAAAAAAATAATAATAACCATAAAAAAGGAATATAGAGAGAATTAGAAATAGGACCTATCACATCTGCTCAAGAACTCCTTCCACCACACCCTCCAAAAGCTTCAGACCGTGGAATTTGGCTACACTGTTGAGGACTCGCAACTTCTTTTCCGCTTCGGCACGGTCCATAGTTTCTACCCACTTGCCGCTGCATGAGCAATGTTCCATGAAGTCGCTGACCTTGAGGCCACCACATTTGGAGCATTTGAGATCCTGGGTTTGCCATCCGACGATAAGTGCCTGGACCTGACCGATAAGGATCTCTTCCTGGGCTAATCGGTCATATTCAGTTTGGCAGAAGGGGCAACGCCAGGGCAATGTGGCGGCCTTGCTCGCGTCAGATCCAGGATCCGGGAGGACATCTTCATCACGGCACAAGTCCAAATCCCGAATCAAGCAGCAGGCGCTGCACGTAAGTTCGGGAAGTTTCAAGCTGGCAGCCGGGTTCTCAAACCGGCCTTCTTTGCTGAACTCTCGCACCTCGAACATCGCCAGGAGTTCGCGGCGCAGAAGTCGATTTTCCAAAGTCGTCGTCTTGGACAGGCTCAGCACCTGCATCAGCATCTTGACTAGCTCTAACACAGGGTTACGCTTTTCTTCATTAGGGTCGGATAAAACCCCCGGGAGCACAGGAAAGAGATAGTCAGATGCAAGCTCGGGGTGCAGCATTTCTTCGCGTTGACGGCGAATAAGCCCGGATATCTGCTTCTTCAGGGGCTTTGAGAATTTCTCCGCAAGAACAGCAGATACTTCTTCATCGTCCTCATCGTTCGGGCGCGTGAGAGGGATCTGTGTCATGCGAGGAGTAGACGGATCGTTTGATTCAGGGTGTTTGATGCCGTGCATTAATTCAATATACTCAACGACCCAATCATGGAAGATGGTCTGCATTGGGGTCGGGAGGAAACGGCTGAGCTGCCAGTGCATAACTGTTTCCAGCCCCTGTTCATCCGACGCGACCACTTCTCGGCAACCTTTTCCGCCGTAATTGTACTCATCATACCAAACCAGGTAGTCCCAGTATTCCTTGATCTCGAGATCGATGAAATGGAAAGACGGATTTGCACGGATCGATTTCAATACGTATTGGCTGTATGCGTAGGCGTTTCCTACCTCAGTCTTGGTTGTCTGAAGCAAAAGGCGTGTAGGGCTAGCGAAGACAACATTGGACCCAACGCGTCTAAACTCAGCCATGAGTCGCTGAAATGACTTCCTGGACAACATGCGCACATAGTTGTGTAGAGACCGATCGTACAGGCACGAGACCGGACTCTCTACCCAGCGAATCAGGTGCTGCACCATGATATCTGCCATATTGTTTCCTTCGCAGGCCTCGGTCCACCAGTGCTTCACCATCTCACGTAGTACAATCGCACCAGCTGAAGCGAATGCCTTCTCCGAGTAAAGCACGCCTGTCCCGTTGGATTCAGCCGAAGGCTCGGATGATGCTAGAAGTGTATCAGCACCTTCCATCTCGTTGATGATAGACGATGATAGAATCGTGTTGATTGCAAGATTACGAACTTCGAGCTCGATGCACACGGTAGTGTAAGTGCTCGGAACATTAACAGATGGCATGGACACATTCTCTAGAGGGCCTGTGATGTCGTCCTTTTCGTACCCTGCGTGATCAGGCCTAGGGCCCGAAGACCACCAAAGAACGACATTATGCTGCTGAAGCCGCCTGGCATAGGATATGTCAATAAGATATCGCGGGTCGTCACTCTCTAAGTTGCAGAGGGGGACGTCGCCGTATCTTGCTAACAGAGTCAGATGCTGAATCCAAGCTGAGAGATATAGGTAGTGTGTGACAAGCCGTCTTGCAATAAAGGACTGCCAGCCTAAGGGGGGAAGGTCCATATCGGATACTTCTGGCTTCACGGGCACAATCGGATACTCCCTCAGAATTGGAATATCATGACACAAGCGATTTCTTTGTTGCGATTGAATGACTAGAACAGTTGGCTGGGTTTCTTCGGTTCGGAATTTCTTGATCAAATCGCCGACCTCCAGATAGGCTTTTCTTCTAGTCGTGACTTGTGTTGTTTTGAAGTGGATTTTTTCTTGGTACTCGAATGCATTCTGAGACTCGTCCCCGGCCAAGTTTTGCTTTCTCCGCATGAGAAGTTCTGTGTAGATTTTGTCAACATTTGGAAGTCCCTGAACATCCCTCGTGCGGTTCAAGATAACAATATGCGCTTCATTCTTCATTGTCGAGAAAAGTGCGAAAATCTGCCGGTCACCAGAAACGACATGGTATAGATAATGATAGACTAGCGGCGAGTTCCTGAGATAAGGCTGCTCCGAAGTTGTGTGGCATAGATTCGACAGATCAAATCCACGGTCCAGTCCTTCTCCTAAAACGCCTCGCTGTTCCTCGTCAAATGTACATATACTACCAAGTTTCATGATAGCGCGTACATTCAAAGGAATGCTCTTCTCATAGACACCCTCGATGCTAGGATGTTGTAGAAGTGCATCCATTTTATTGGATTCGCGCAAATAGGTTTCCTCAGACAAGGTTAATTTGAACAAGTGCACAGAAGGATGTCCATTCGGCAAAGTGTGATTGACTTTCTCGACCTCACAGTCCGGGACATCAACGTCAGGGAGCGAGTCTCGTTTCAGATTGACGTAAATCTGGCGAGGGACCTTGACCGTGAGAGTATGAATCTTTTTATCAATCAAGACAAAAGCTCGGACGATACCTGGTCTCATCGTTTCAGACAGCTGCAAAACTTGCCAGGTACTGATATAGAGAAGTTCAGCTTGGTTTCTGAAGAGGTGACTCAAAGAGTCATTAGCAACATTTGTCCTCTCTCCGAAGAGCTGGCGGCGGCGAATTCGTGCTTGCTTCTGGATTTTCCATTTTTGCTTTTGATATTTCAAAAATCCAACATAATCATCCGCCATTGACGGCATTTTTGATGGAAGGCTAGCAAAAGGGTCAAGGGAGGTTTTCGTAGGACCTTCGGGAAGCTTTCTTTTCTGCGACGTTTTACTATTTGGCGAAGACTTCAACTTCTCGACTGAGCTTGCGATTACCTCGCCCATATCGCCCACATGCTGTACACGATGATCGAGGATGTTTGTCGAGATATCAGTAAGCGGGTTTTTCTCGCTCTTCGCGAACACGTCGGTCATTTTGATTTGCTTAAACTTGTCATCTTTTATGTTGATTCGTCGTTGCAGCCAGTCTGGATGGGCGACTCGAGGCACTGGATTGCGGACCTTCTGGAGGGCAGCAGGGATTGTGATCAGTTTCTGTACGACTGAACCCAATCGTTCTAGGTAGTAGTCCCAATCGATCACGGTTCGAGGGTCACAATCACCAGGGTCATCTTTCAGCCACTTCCGCAAGAAAAAACGTTTCACGTTATCTTCAGCTGAGAAAATCGCAACTGGAATAGCCCGCTCCGTGACAGGCGTATTTCTCGGCCTTGCAGATATAATGTACTTGCAGTTGAGACCCTTATCTTTGACCATTTGTTCTCCCAAAAATTCTGCTAGACGGCGCGCCGTAGTAATCGATGTAGATTTTTGGTTGCCATATTCTTCCAGAGTCTTCGTCATACTTCTATTTTCGGAAATGAGTTCGATCAATTCCTCGTCGGCCAGTGTAGTTCCATGTTCATAGAGCACGTCCAGCCATCTGTCAGCCACGCGGGCCACAGCAGCATATGTCTCCTCAAGCGACGACCCTTCCAAGAAAAATTTGAAGATTTGGGTTTGGAAAATCTTGATCAACTTCAGTTCACCTCTCCGCTTGACTTCGAATCCTTTCAATTCAGCCAGAGACCCGTCGTGATTGAAAACAGCATAGCGCTTCTTCAAGTTTTTGTCCTCTTCCTTCGAAGTCGGCAAGATCATAGCTTTATACGGCCCATCAACTTCGAAGAAAATGGAGTTGTCGCTATGCGTCTCGTATCTGAATGTCTTTGGATCGACAAGAGTTTGATACTGGTGGTTTGTATAACTTCCATGAACAAGGTGATTCAGCATAACACACGGATAAGAAATTCCAAGCTTCTTCCCATTCTTTAGGGTAAAAGAAAAGTTCTCGGGGAAAGTTCCAGGAAGCATACACCAAATACCATCTGTGTCAAGCTCTAGGGGGCGACCGATACGTTCAACCAACTCTCTTGCCATCTGAATGATTCGAGCGCCTGTCAGGCATGTCACGCCGGCCATCTCCAGGGAATACCATCGCGATCCCTTTCTCATGACGTAACCATAGAAACTGTTCAAAATGACTTTATGTGCAAGTTGTAGGGAGTCAAACAGAATAATCATTTTCTTGGCTTCTTCAATCTCCGCCGCCGAAGCACCTGCGGATTTGAGAGAATCAGTCTTGTTTTTCCAAACCTTTTGTTTGCCTTTGAAATCATATCGTCGATCTCGAAAGCTGCGAACTGTGTTCACGTAGAAGGGATTTTCTCGTTGACAGATGATAGCCTCTCGCACCATTGTCTTGCTGTCGTGGATTTTGTGGTAGATTTTCTTACTGTAGTCCTGGAGTCTCTTCTTGACTATAGCAGCCTGGTCTTCGGCACTCATTTCACTGAATAACCTCATTGGACCATTTTTCGTCTTTCCTGGGAATCTTTCGTTCGCAACCGCTTGCCGAACCATGTTATATTCGTCACGCTTAGCAGGAAGAAATTCGCCTCTCCATGCCCACGGCATTCGCCTGTCACAGGTTTTACCAGGTCGGTTAAAGTCGCAAGCAGCGCAGTTAGACTCATCAATCATGGAATCTGGCTGCAATCGGTTTGTGGTGATGATGTTTGGGTACATGGAGGCGACGTCCAAATGGTAGATGAACGGGTTCTCGTCCCTGTTGGGGTTTTCTTTCAAGGCAATCAAGAGCTTAGAAATTTGTCCTTTGACTTCCTCATAGTTAACAACATCATCCAATGACTTTTTCTCTTCCACTTCAATACTGAATTTCAGAGCCGCATCTAGGTCCCGAAGTAGTTCATCGATTGCAGTAGGATCAATCTTGAAAGTAACGGGGATATCACTCCGAAATACACCGGCCTCAATACTCTCCACGTGTCCACCCACATAAGTCTCCGACTCCAGTAGATGGCCTTCATAGAAAGCCTCCGGGGGGTCTTTGTGCTTGTTGGGTAGGATGATCTCGCCTTGATATGCTTGAACCATCAGCAGCATCTCGCAAAGAGTACCTGTTCCTTTCCGCAGCGTATCATCGGGGTTAAGAGGAACAATGGTACAAAGCGAGAAGATGAAAGGATGGACATATTTCATATATAAATAATATGTGGCGACAGCATCGGACACAGAGTATTCAGCCAAGGTTTGAGGTCTTTCACTTGCGTACGGGGTCATGAGTTCGGGGTCAAGTTCATCAGGATCGTATCCGAGCTTCGCGACAGTGACAGCTTTTAAACCACGACTTCCCTGGGGAAGGTAACTGTCACGGTTGACCCAAGCAAAACAGTCCATATGTACACAGTGATCGCTCTGATAGATATCCTCACTGTTTTTGCGAAAGCCAATCTCCGTGTACATGTCGATGCCAAGGACGCTTGCCCTCGCTTCAACGAACGGCCAATCGAAAAAGTCACCGTTATATGTCGCGATAACAGTCGGCTTAGCTTCTTTAATGTGTCCAAAGAACCGTTCTAGGACACTTCTTTCATCCGGCTCGTTGAAGATCATGAACGGACCATTGTACTCGGGCTTGGGCGTGTACTCGAAATCATTGATATCTTCGGATACTATTTCTCTGTTCGTAATTAAGAACCCTTGCCCATCAATCATGTACGATATCATCATTATTTGGTCGATGACAGAGTCGGGGAATTTCAGCGGTAGTTTTGTCGTTTCAATATCAAAAGCAAGAACAACTGGGTCAGGACGTTGGACTCGTTCCTCTATGCAAGTCAATGATACTACACCGTGTTTTGCCTGTACAGTGTACCATTTCCCTATACGGATGTCTTGTTTCATCAGTCAGGCGGCCCTCTTCATAGTTGAGTACCACATACCTTTGTCAATCGCCACTCTAACATGGTAAGGGACATCATATTCTCGAATATCAATAATAAAATCACTCGCTTCCATTGTTTTATTAGATCGTGACTCGTTAATTATTTCGTCATCAAAGAGATCAAAGCCAGCATTTGCGCTTTAGAACCCAGTTAGCTCTCAAACAGTATGTAGCGTCCACTTTGAGCTCAACAAACCTTGAAATCTCCACATAAGTATCCATGACATTCACATTTTTCTTGTTCTTTTCTGCCAACGGAAGAAGCACTTTCCGAACTTCTAGTAGATGGCTCACATTCGCAAAGTTCATCTGTAGGAATGTTCTCCGGTGCCCAAGCAGGTGGTTCGGTAATTTGAGATCTTCCCTCTCAACCCTTGTGACTTTCTTGATAAGCCCTTCAAACATTCTCCGACACCATTCCTCAACTTCGACCTCGTGTCCTTTCTTCACTGCGAGGAGGAAATATGGATCGTATTCCACAGTTGCCTTAAAACTCGAACCGTTATCGTCGAGAAAGTAGTAGTCCACACCGGCGCGTCCTCCGGGCACATTCGGATCCTCTACCGAAGTACTGTGCATATTTATAAGCCAGCCGACCCTCTTCTCGCCTGATTCAAAGCGCGGGAATCCCAGGGACTCATCGATGCTGTTCGCCAACCGGATTGCTTCAAATTTCTCATCTTGCGATGTAGCTTCTGTCGATCGAAGAGAAGAAAATTCGATGGTCCTTGTCCGTTTCGGTTTGAAGGATGCAGCATTCGACCGGAACTTGTTCCCATACTTGCTGGGTTTCCTTAGAGGCATTGCGACGACACGCCCGCAGGCTAGGCTGGATATCACTGTGAGATGCGTGAAAATCAGTGAAGCATAGAACGCAAACAATAAGTATTAGATATTAGTAGAACACAGAGTTGGGCATGTTTGGTTCCTGCCAAATCATATACTCAATTGGAGATATGATCAAAATTTGATGGCCTAGTGTACTCAATCTTGTTAACTTCTGTTCATGCTAACCTACCAAAATCGGCTGCCACTGCGGGTGCCGTGGACGCGGACGCGTTCCACTATACGCGTGCCTGCCCTTTAGCCAGGCTTCCGGTAAAACTATCCGTTAATGGATGGATTTGGATATCCTCGGATCATATCTTCTCCGACCAATCATTGTTCCTGCAAGAGTCTGATAGTGATCTAGGTGATAGTCTTTATTGACTGGGTTCAAGTAACCATTTGACTTATAAATCATACGCCATGGCAGATGATACGCTGGAGTCATCCACCACGAATCCCGGACAACAAGACGGTACCCAAGAAGCCCCCCAACACAGGAAGCCGAAGCACGAATTCCCCAAATCGCAGGTCGGAAAGCTATGGGATGCGTTTGGGAACCCCGAAGAGTCAGCGAATGTGCTAGCCACAGGGGCTGGCCCCTCCGGGAGAGTTCCGAAGAATGATGTTACGGTTACTGAAGCTATGAAGTCAATGTCCTTCAAGGATGCCACGTCATTCTACAAGAAACCTTGCGCACGAGACTCTCTACTGCTGGGTATTGGAGCTGGGTTCGGTATTGGCGGCATCAGAGGTGTATTAGGAGGTAAATAATATCATCTATTCTGTTTTGGTTGAAAGCGTTTAGTAACCTGAATCAATTCTTGTTTAGGCTTGCGCTCAATGTGGACGGCCTGCAATTGGGCTGTTGGCGCGTTCGCGCTCACTTCTCTTGCAGCTCACGAGTTCTGCCAGCGACGTCGGGTACAAGAGTTGGACGGTATGAAGCAAGCGGTGGAGTTGATGAAAGAATTGAAGATTAAGAAACAGCGAGAAAAGGAAGAGAAGGTGGCGGAGGCCGCACGGTTAGCGGAGGAAGAGAAGAAGCGGAAGAGCTGGACGAACCTATCGAACTATAAGTTCTGGTAGTCCTTTCGCGCATTACCCGGAGTCATGGAGTTCGCAGGGGTCTCATTGTAAATTTCGAATGATGTGTAAAGTACATATTTCTATCTCGTTAGGCTCCAGCCTGTTCAGGAAGAATAATCTCATGATCGCATATCAATGTCAAAGACAACGCCAGCTCATAAATTACCCTTACTCCAATGCATCCAAAGTTGCTGCAACCCAGAAGCTAAGAAAAATAGGAATGAAAATTATGAAAGAAAAAAAGGAATGAACACGGTGAATCAATTAAACGTCAAATTTGACTTTCTTCTGGATGGCGCCCGACTGAATAGTCCGTAACTTTTCGAATTCAATTCCGTCTCGTCGTTCTCTTCGTTTTTCTCGCGCTTCTCTTGCCTCACGATTCTTGCATTCTGCAAGCTGCTTCTGTCGTTTCTGTGACCGGGCCCAGGCCATTGCCGCAGTGGGCTTGAAGCCGATTCCATTTATACCGTATCCATCGTCGCTCGGGTCACTTGGGTCATGCCCAGTTATTTCGGAGTCGTGCCATGTAAGCGAGTCGTCAGCGGCACTGTTAGCGGGAGGCGGGGATTTCCTGCGCGCTCGCTGTGCCTTGTGAGGATTTCGTTTCTTGCGAGGGCTCTGCGCCGCCTGTTTCTTGGGGGAGGACGTTGGCGTAGCATTGTTCTCTAGGGACTGGTTGCCGAAAGTCGCTTCGAAAGGCCCACCCGCGACTTCTGTCGGCGGATTCGTCTCGGGCATATCATAGGAACTGCTATAGGAAGTAGGCCAGCATCCTGGTTGTGCAGAATGCGCAAGTGATGACTGGCTTATATTACTATTAAGAAATTGTGGTGCCGGAAGATAGTCCCCACGTATGGCCAGCTGTCCTAGGCGACCAGCAACTGCCGCTCGAGGACTATATCTCCCTAGCTCTTCTTCTTCACGTAGCCTCACTTCTGGTAGGCTAGGAGCTGATACGCTAGATGGAGATGATATAGAATGGTTATAAGAGTCAGATTCTTCTGAGGAGCTGCGCTTGTGTTTGGGCGAGTTCCAGAGCATTGTCGATAAACTCGTAGGCATCATCGCGGGGCTGAAACTGAAGACAGATGTGGGGGCATCACTTTGATAAGCCTCCATCGATAAAGTAGACTCACAAGAGCAAGGATTTCAGCAGATCATTATCTTGTATGGGTCATGTCCCAAGCTAGCGTCAGTGGCAGCCATCCTAACTCATACAAATGGAGGATTGCGGAGAATGCAAGGGCTCGGGCCATGGCTATTGACTGGGAAGCAATCGGGTTGGTTCATTGTTCGAGGGGGTTTGCCGCAATTTGTTCCAATTAAATTCATGGACGGCAGTACAGTTCCGCCATTCATCAAATGCCATTGATTGATATGAGTACAGATCTTACTGTTCCTTATACATCAACCTAACTTACATTTTGAAGACATATAGAACTCAAGTAAATCCGATTGACATTTTAGGAGACAAATTTTAGCACGACGAAGGCCTCAATCGAATAATTTACAAATACCCAGCCCAGCAACAGCAAGTCGTGAAGTAAAACAGAACATAGATAGGAAAATAAACTCAAAATCAACCCTACAACGCCGCGACAATGACGCCCTCGTGTCCCAGAAAATGGTGCATTTAGACCTTCTTCTTCTTCTTGGACGGCTCAGCATCGCTGTCGTGCTTCCGCTTCTTCTTCTCGGACTCGCCCTCGCCGACATCCGACTTCCTCTTCTTCTTTTTCTCCTCCTTCTCACCCTTCTCCTTCTTCTCCTTCTTTTCTTTCTTGTCCTTCTTCTCCTTTTTTTCCTTTTTCTCCTTCTTCTCCTCCTTTCCCTTCACATCTTCCATCTCCTCATCACTCTGATCCCCATCGATGTCCATATCAGCTAGGACAGCATCCATAGCATTTTTCTAGGGCAATGTTAGTATACCGCTTCAAGAGGGGTGGTATAGATGGAGACGCAAATAAAGACATACCATGGCGATTTCATTCTTAGTAGGTGCTGCTCCAGTAGCATAGAACTCTAAACGTTCCTCAACCTGCTTCTTCAGGACTTCACCAAACTTCGTCGTAGGCTCCTCGGAGAAGTTATCGATTCTAGAAGCGATAGAGCACTTGTTTGCAAGGAATCGAGAGATCCGGCCCTTGTTCTTGGGGCCTGCCTTGCCAATGAAGGAAGAGTGATACAGAAGTCCGTACTTAGGAGTGTTACCCTTGGTCTTCAAGGCTCTGAAGAGAGCCTTCTCAGCACCGAGGATCTGCACGGTGGAAGCAGGGTACTTGGAGAGGTTGGTCAAGCTTCCGGCGTGGGAAATGAGACGAGCACCCACGATCTCTCCAATCAAAGCAGCAAGGTTGGGGGCAACGACGCTCATCTTCGACACCAGGTAAGAGTGCAGGGACTTGCGGTACTTGGCCAGACTGACAACTCTTTGCGCGAAAGCGATGACGTTCTCCATGTCGGTCTCAGAGATCTCTTGACCCATACTGTGCTTCGCAGCATCGATGATGCTCTGAGCAACGCCTTCATCGTCTTCCACGAGCGCAGCAATGTCGTGCAGTTTGTCGTCAGTCAAAGTCGTCTTATCCTTCACAAACAGAGCGAGTTGCGCGTAGCGTTGGTTATCCGAAACGATCTTAATCAGTTCAGGGAAATGCCACGAGTACCACTCCCGAACTCTCATAGAGAATGTATTAATGGCCTTGTCGAGCTGGTCGAGAATAGCAATAGCCTGGATGATGTGGTTATCGTCACGCTGAACAGAGAACTTGACCTTGGCACGCGAGTAAGCGTGACCAAGACCAAGCTGAGCAGTATCCATATCACCCTCGCGAAGCTGCTTCAGCAACTTGGTAGCGTGCAGTCTGATACCACGTAGCATGTCTTGCACGACTTCACTGGTGTCGCCGGTTTCGCAGTCAACGAAAGAAAAGGCAGACTTGATACTTCCAGCCAAGGCCTTATCCAAAAGACCCAAGACGACCTTCTTCTTCTTATTGGGCTTTGGAAGGTTCAGTTCGAGGAAAGAAATGAGAGTATCAGAGGCAACACCTTCCGAGACGTCGTTGATTTCGCTCAGAGCCATCTTGTTGTTCCTGGGCCAAGTCAGTATTCGGTTGAAGAGCCGGGTCAGGTACTTAAACATACTCAAATGGGAGGAAACTGGCCAACTCGACCATCTTTCCAAACTTAGAGAGGTCGTTAACACCATCCTGAACCTCCTTCAAGCGATTGCCAACGCTGTCGCCCTGGTGCGTGACCTTGAAAAGTCCGTAACCCATAGGACCCTCGAAAAGTAGGAAGTCGGCCATGGTGAAATTGAGTTAATGGGCCAGAATAACCAGACAAAAAATTCCTTCTAGTGTTATCGATCGAGCCCCTAACCCAAAACCCGGGAGTCTGCGGTCGTAGACTTGCCGTGGAGCGCCGTGGAGTTGGTTAAAAAAGCCTGGAGGGCAGGATTGGAGAGTCGAGCCGTCGGAGCTCTTTTTTTTCGCGGCGGCGCTAGTGCGAATACTGAATGTGGGCTTTTTGCCAAAACCACGAGCTCACCGCATTGGACGGCAAACACCACCAGCTTTGTGCCAGTGCGGGCTATTCTTTGAGGCTGATAGCACCAGCAAGCCTATTTTTCTACGAGTTCATTCGCTGGGGATTGCTGATTGCCATTTACCCTCTCAGCGAAAATGTCTGCAACTCAGTTACTCAATCCCAAGGCCGAGTCGAGGGTATGTCACTGATCATTTACGCCCCTCAGAAGCAGCCCCTCAGTGACCACACGCAAACTAACATTGCACAGCGGAGGGCGGAAGCCTTGAAGGTCAATATTAGCGCTGGTGAGGGTCTCCAGGATGTTCTGAAATCTAACCTGGGTCCCTCCGGCACATTGAAGATGTACGTTCTCATACTTGAATAATCATAAATGGATGCGGTGCTGACAAAATTTAGGTTGGTAGACGGTGCCGGCGGAGTATGATATATAACCCCTAATTATCGCAAAATTAGATGGTGTCTAATGAGGGTGCAAAATAGATCAAATTGACTAAGGATGGCAACGTGCTCTTGCGGGAGATGGTAAGCTCAAGTCCAGTTTTCATGACACTTCAGGCACGGCTAATGTCTACCACAGCAAATTCAAAACCCTACTGCTGTAAGCTGCCTTCTCTCTCATTCGCGAAGATGTCCTTATATACTCATATGGTGAAGGTTATGATCGCCCGGGCTGCGACCGCACAGGATGATATCACCGGTGATGGAACAACTTCCGTGGTTTTGTTGGTGGGAGAGCTTCTGAAGCAAGCAGACCGTTACATTTCCGAAGGACTACACCCTAGAGTGATCACAGATGGATATGAAATTGCAAAGAACGAGGCTCTTAAGGTCTGTAACAAGAAACTGATGGTTATATGAGCGCCAAGTCTGACCTAAGTTCTTTCTGTATACAGTTCCTTGACCAGTTCAAGATTGAGCGTACAATTGACCGTGAGCTGTTGCTATCTGTCGCTCGGACTTCACTCAGTACGAAACTGAACAGTGCACTCGCCGAAAAGCTTACCCCCGATATTGTCGATGCCGTTCTCGCCATCCACCGTGCTCCCGAGAAGCCAGATCTGCACATGGTTGAAATTATGACCATGCAACATCGCACATCTTCTGATACTCAGCTTATTCGTGGTCTTGCCCTAGACCACGGTGCAAGACACCCTGATATGCCTAAGAGGGTAGAAAATGCTTTCATCCTCACCTTGAACGTCAGTCTGGAGTATGAGAAATCGGAGATCAACTCCGGTTTCTACTATTCATCTGCCGAGCAGAGAGATAAATTGGTGGAGAGCGAGCGTAAATTCGTCGACTCGAAACTGCAGAAGATTGTGGAGCTTAAGAAGGAGGTCTGCGGAACCGACCCGAAGAAGAGTTTTGTTGTCATCAATCAAAAGGGTATCGATCCTCTGAGCTTGGATGTCCTCTCCAAGAATGGTATCCTTGCCCTCCGGAGAGCCAAGCGGAGAAACATGGAACGCCTTCAATTGATTTGCGGTGGTGTCGCACAGAACAGCGTGGAGGACCTATCACCCGATGTCCTTGGATGGGCTGGTCTCGTTTATGAACACCAGCTCGGAGAAGAGAAGTACACTTTCGTCGAAGAAGTCAAGGACCCTAAGTCCGTTACCATCCTCATCAAGGGACCCAACCAACATACCATTGCCCAGGTTAAGGATGCGGTCCGTGACGGTCTGCGGTCCGTGTACAACTCCATCGTTGATGGCTGTGTTATCCCCGGCGCTGGTGCATTCCAAGTTGCCTGTGCCGCGCATCTGTCATCTGAGGACTTCCGCAAGACTGTGAAGGGTAAGGCCAAATGGGGTGTTGCTGCCTTTGCCGACGCCCTCTTGATTATTCCCAAGACTCTTGCGGCCAACTCAGGCCACGACATTCAAGACTCCTTGGCAGCTCTGCAAGATGAGCGTTCCGAGGGTAACATAGTTGGTCTGGATCTGATTACTGGCGAACCGATGGACCCTGTGCAGGAGGGTGTCTTCGATTCCTTCCGCGTCCTGCGCAACTGCATCGCGTCGAGCACTGGTATCGCTTCTAACTTGCTTCTGTGTGACGAGCTGCTGAAGGCCAGACAGATGGGTAAGTCAGGAGGACCAGGTGGTATGGATGAGTAATGCAGTCACAAACGTATAGATCAAGTTATGTAAAGGAAATCTGAGAGGATTTATATTCGGATTTCTGCTTTTAAAAAATTAGTTGATGCCCAAAATGTACTCCATAAATACAAAACGCCACGCTAAAGATCTTGGACAATATAATGTACCTTGGACAATACTTTGCGCCGGTCACGGTGAGATATCAAAACCGTACATATGTCTGGGCTGGAGCTGCTGCTTTGCGAAGCCAACAAAGGCAAGAAAAGGGCTGTAGAGAATTGTCAGCTCAAACTATTCTTGAATTATTGTTGGTCTGTAACATATATTATTTTAGCAAATATTGAAACTCAGATGGTATCTATTCCTAACGCATGCTCGTAGCTCTAGCTCTGTCCAACACAGAGCCCGTATAATACTATAATGATATAACGATACATAATGGTGCCAGATCTGGAGTCGCCGAAGTAGTCAATAATATACATCTATTCATCACTCTCGTCACTACCTGAATCGCTGATTTCATGCATATCGCGTGGTGCCCACCTTCCGAGGAAGCCCTCATCTCTAACGGGATCTCTCCAAGTAACATGATGAGCTTTTGTCCATTCAAGTACGTCCGATATCCGTATCATTACTGTTTCACCATCATTGACTTCACCAGTTTCTTGGTTCGACTTGCGTTTCTTCGACGGTGTTGTAGGTTCGACGATCCCCATGCCTTTGAGAGCAGTGATGACATCTTCTGTCAACATCCCGGTTGCCAATCCTATCTCCTGAACTGTCACGACTTCATGGGGTTGTCTCTTGCAAGAAGCCTTAGATGGCTCTTGCTTCTGTGGTGACGAGTACTCCGAATCCTCTGTGTCCGAAGTATGCAATAATAGATATCGGGCAATTCGCTCCTCCCAGAATCGACTATAACTCTTTCGCCCCATCTCACTCAACGGTTTCTCCGGGCCACCTATTAGCCCACTGTCCTTTTCCCAGTCGCTTATTTTATAGCTCACACCCATCAACAGCTTGCCCAACTGCTTGCGCTGATACGGAGGGAAGATCAAAATGCACGCAAGGTTATTCGCATCCCACGAGAGCTTCTCTTTCGAAAAGAACCCTAAGATATAATAGTTTTCCGGATCATGCGGGTCGGTGAAGGTGAGGAGATAGTAGAGGAAGGACGCGACGTCAAAAAAGACCGACTTGTGATCGAGAAATAGTTTCGCGAAAAGTGAAAGGTTTTGCGCGTATAGTTTATTCTTATCACCGTCCACTTCCCACACCGCATAGCCACCATGATCGTAGACCTTTGTCCCTGGAGGTGTGGTCCGATGCTGGCAAACCTGGGTGTGCTTGGCGAAGGCATCTGCGTCACACGAGTACCGGAAACACCATCGACAGATGTATAACCGATCCGTATCTTTGTTCACAAGTTCCTCTGGGTAAATGGACTGGTACCAGGTTTTGAAAAGGAGGTCCCCTAGCACGACGTGTTTCACGTTGCGGTGGGCGGGCGGTTTCGTGTGGGACGACGGATTGTTGGGGGGAGCCATTGAGGGTTTGCGGAGAATTCAAAGAGGGGGGCGGATTGCGCGAGAATGCGAAAAATTTTTAAAAAAAAAATCCGGCCGACAAGCTATGGTTATAAATTTGACCTTGGAGGTGTATGTCTGGAAGGTAGGCCATTGGCGGCAGTATACTCTGTTACCTCAAGTCGCGGTCAAAAAGAGCGGTACCACAATGGGGGTGTTCAGTCAATGAGATCGTTAGGACCGAGGAAGGGTGTTCTTGCATGAACATCCCAGACAAGAAACAAGAAGGATAATAATTAGAATGACAACCTATATACTCCCCCCATTCCCTCCAACAGGAGGCAAAAACACATGAAAGTTGAAATAACATCAAATAGCTGCGGGAGTACGTAAGATGGGTCACTTGATAGCCTCCAGACTCCAATCACTGCCCGTCATTTCAAGGCGGGGCCAAAAGCTGTACCTCTAAATTTACAGTCTATTGGATCAGCGACACAATCATCTTCTCCCCTTCTCCTTCTCCTCACCAACATCTTACTATTTGACTTGACTTGATTATACTATACGACAGAAGTACTTGGTTGCCTGACTCCTTTCGGAGGGGATATTATTACATCTCCGTGTCCCCGTCCGGATAAAGGATGAGCACCTTTTTTAATTGGTAGGAGTACATACATACACCTACCTGGTAATAATACTCTTGACCTGGTTTTTGCCATCGTCCATAGGCAACAACATAGCCTTTAGTCACGTTCGCCTCATCAGCAAGCTCCTATTCTATCGTTTTGTTATTTCAAGTCTCGATGCTGTCGTAAAACTATCTCTCCCATTCTATTTCGTTCGTTATCTTGAAACCCATCACTCGAACTAGCACCATCTTCTTTTTGTCTTCCTTTGTCTATCCGCTTTCATATACCCTCCCAGTTACCCCAGAGCGGGTCCCCTGGTTATCACCAAAATGTTGAAACCGTTCCAGATTAGAGATCTTCATCGATCTTCATCCCAAGATGATCTCTCTGGATCTCTTAATCTTAATCCTACGTCTGTAGAAGACCGTCTGACTCGGCCTCAGGGCATTGTCCGGCTGTCTGCTACAGAGTATGATGAATTAGCGATAAATCATCCAAGAGCCCGTCTTACATACATCGATAATGACGATGATGATGAGCTCATCACGGTATGTGCATTCTCATAAATTAACTCTCTTTACAATGCTAATAGTGAACGTCAGGTTGGGTCCTCTCTGGAGCTCTCCCAGCGTCTGGAAGAACCTGTTGACGCCTCGGTCCTTTCACAACCAACGCTGCAATCGATCACCCCTGAACCAATGCATATATTCGACATTCGGCGGTCTAATTCTGTGAAGAATCTGTGGAAGAAGTTTGAATATCAGCCCCAGTTAGAAGACCGTCAGAATAAGAATGAAATCGGCGCCGGATCTGCAACTACGGGCACTCCTCAGTCGAAGGATCAAGAGATATCTAGCTCCAGTCGCGAGAATCCTGGCCCTGCTACAACTGCTGATCCAGAGCCGCTCTTAGCCGCTTTCGAGGTTGAGATGGCCAAGATCTTGAGTGCTACTGAAACCGTGCGTGACGGTAACGATCAGCCTGAGCCTCCTGTTGAGACGCCAACAAGAAGGGGTTCGGATCGACGTCAGTGTCCAAGCGATGCCTTGTTACAGGCTCTACAAAACCTAGTGGACGGTGCCGAACTGATCAGTGCTGGTGTGAGGTCGAGGCTGCCTGAATTTGAGCGGCAGTTACAGAATGTTCAACGCACTCTTCCTGAACATGTTGGATCTTCAGTGCAGGTAGCCCTCGCAGCTCTGGATAGCCAGGCGAGGAGCCTGGTCCAAGCCCTCAATAATGCATCGGCTGTGGGGGGACAAAGAGCAGGTAACCTTTTCCAAAATGAACTTCCTACACCCGCTGCAACTATGGAGGGTCTGCGTAACATGGCATCTGAACTTGGCAACATGGGACACACGTTGTTTGAAGCCTTCGAATCCGAGTTTAGATGCAGTACCTCGAGAGACCAAGGTCAACATGCTCCTGGAGAAAACACCCGGGGGCCTGTCTCCGGATTGCCCCAGCCAACCGAGTCCGCCACTAGCGCCCCGGAAAATATTACGGCAACAAAATCTGAAGCTCAACGGTCCGCATACTGCGAAAACGCGAAAGAGCCACCCAGCACGGAGACACGGGATGCTCCATCGACACATATAGAATCACGGCAAGGCTCACTCGGTGAAGATAGTGTGCTACCGACGGATCGCGATACCAATCCTGCAGAGACACGCCAACAGCCTGGGTCATCGTCTCCCACTCTCTCTTCAACCCCAGATAACCAAGCACCGTTCTCTAGCTCCTGCAATAGACCCTACCCACTTCCTCACCGACCTCATCCATCCTCGCGCAATGTCCAGGCTCCTTTCATCACTCCAAGCACGCGTTATCCTCTCCCGCCATTCCCAGTACCACCACCTCTACCTCCCGTGTTCTGGCCCCATCATGGACCTCCTCCTCATCCTCCTCCCCCACCTCACGCTTCCCATCCCCATTCTCATCCTTTCCACCCGCATACTGCTCCTCATCATATTCGTCATCCCCAGCCTCATCCTCGTGGACCTTCTCATGCGTCGCACCGCTGGCCTTTCCATACCCCCACATCTGCCGTACCTCAACCACCGTGGCCACATTTCCCTCGTAGAGGATGGCCTGCGTCTCAACTTAGGCGGAATGACGACGGAGCACCGGCAAATGAGGCAGTAAGCCACCCTGGACATGAGTCGCCCTTTTCTTCCACACTTAGCGCTGCCGGAACGTCTTTATTCATTGGGAATGTGGGATTCGGCGTTCATGAAGCAATGATCCACGATGTTTTTGCTTCCAAGGGATTCTTAGTCGATGTATATTTGCCGCTAGATGCGGAGACGGGAAGACATGCAGGTTTCGGTTACCTGCATTTCCCTTCCACTCATGCAGCAAATGCGGCATTGGATGCTTTGCAAGGAGCTCATATCGATGGTCACTCAATTAATCTTGAGATCAGTGATCACTCCCCAATCACAACACTGCACACAGCGCAAGGCCAGGAAGAGGCTTCTAACCAGCCATCGGAGCTTCAGTCCTCTTCTATTACACCGGCTGAAGCGAGGCAGGTGTCTGAATCTCAAATAAGCGGAGCACAACGTGACTCAACGAGTGACCGTAGAGTGGCACCCCTGGCCGTAGCGGACCTCTGCTCGGCCGATAATCGTCATTTGATGACTGAGACGTCTTCTAGCGATAGCAGTTTGGTCAGCTCCTCGCTTTTAGACACGGAACGACTGAACACGCTATATCCTTCGCTCCTGCCAGAAGGTTCCCCTAGAGTGAGCAACGACTCATCTACGCAACTCCCTGATCCCAGCCGCGAGCTGGAGGGACGCCGGTTTCCACCGGTGTCACAACTAGATGCGCACTTTCTGGCCGAACAGCGTGGCGCGGCAGAATCATCGAATGACACGCCTACTCCTGGGCCCAGATCGACTCCCAGGGGATGTTTCGGTGGTGCGAGCCATGGCAGTTCGAGTGGGTCCGCACCACGCAGCCTTCCCGGCGCATTCCCGCAAGTCTCGCAAGATAGTCTCCAACCAAGCCCAGGGTCGTTACGAGACACGGATGATGCGGAACAGACAGAAAATCGCGATCGGATGCCCGCCTCTTGTCGTCGCCACAGGACTGTGAGGTCCTCCCATCCTTCTCGAAGACACTTGGGTCCGTGGGATTCGGTACAAACAGACAAGGCTCCTGATGCTTCCAGGCCATTAAGGCGAAGAGCTACCGAACGCCATTCCCTTCGGGATAGCCGACAAATAAGCTCAACAAGTACGTTCAATAGGCCATCACATCGCAACAATGCCACACCACGCCCAAGCACGTCTACTGCTGAGAGTGGCGCTGTACGGCAACGCAGTATTGATGACTGCGTGTCTGCGCTGGCCAGCTTAGGTTATGGAAGCGCCGAAGAGGGCGGACTCCAGAGAATTGCCGTGTATGCAGCAGCAGTGGATGGCAGGGTATCCGATGCCATTGAGATGATTGAAGAAGAGCGCAAGGCTTATGAACAAGGATCAAGGAGGTGATGATTACACTCTTTTTTGGATTATCGATGCGCAAGTAAAGCTGAGCCCACCGATAGCTTATTACCCGTTCTCATTTGTTACAAACCAGTTTGGCGAGGTTTTGGCCTTCTATTATGATTATTCTGTGTTCTACTCCTATTATCCTGTAGTTCGTCGAGAAGGGGTTTCGGTTCTTGGTGATCTCTACTCTGCTTAATGGCAATCTCAATCTGGAAATCTTCTTTTTGTCTTTCTCTACATCATGTTCACAGTAATCTCTGTAGACCCGCCAGTTATAAAGATTTGGCTTGTAGAGCTATATATGTAGGGATGTTATTGGGTCTGCGGGCGGAGATAAACAGGAAAGTTGCTATCTATCGGGCTCCGGGCCGATAGTCAGTTCGCGCGCCGTCCTACCATCGTTTGAGGCGCACGCGCATTCCCCCAGAATACAGAACCCCTACGCCATCACCACAACCAGTTCGGTGCCTTTTCTACGAGAAATGCGAACATGGCGGCGGACCTTCGCTACGTCTGTTGCCAGACTAAGCCACAAGCCTACAGGGCAGAGCGCCAGCCCCACACTTTTACGATGTGCGCAAGTCCTTGAGCAAAGCAAGAATGGGCCCTGCAGTTTAGAAGATCAGGAAATAAAACTGAACGGGTTTATTCGCTCCGTCCGAAAGCAGAAGCGCTTTGCTTTTGCTGAGATCTCAGATGGGTCGACCGTTGAGCCTTTGCAAGCTTTTTTGAAACCAGCCCAGGCTGCCGAGTACGTTCACCTAACTACTAGCCTCACCCACTTTCGATTAATTCCGAGGAAGTAGATCCTAATCATTTCAATTCTAGGCTGTCTACTGGAACGGCTGTGGAGATCTCTGGCGTCTGGAAGGCCTGTCCACCTGGAAAGGAGCAAACTCATGAGCTTCAGACGACAGACGTGAATATTGTCGGCAAAACAGACCCTGAGGTAGATAAGACACAATAGAGTTGTACAGAATGGAGAGGGCTAGACCGCTAACCCGTATTGATTGAACAGACATATCCTATCCAGAAAAAGTACCATAGTCCCGACTTCCTTCGTCAGATTCCCCACCTCCGCATTCGAACGCCGTTCAACTCCCTCCTCTCGCGATTCCGATCTGAATGCCTGTACCAGCTTGGCAATGTATTTCGTTTCGCCCCGAACGGGGGCTTCGTCCAAGTCCACCCACCGCTGATCACATCTTCAGATTGCGAAGGCGCCGGAGAGACATTCACAGTCCTCCCGCGGGAAGCCGTAGGGTCACAGGCCGGGGGCGAACATTTCTTCCGGGCCCCGAAATACCTGACGGTGTCGTCGCAGCTTCACCTTGAGACCTATGCCGCAGAGTTGGGAAATGTATGGACGATGTCGCCCATGTTCCGGGCGGAGAAGAGCGACACTCCGCGCCATCTCAGCGAGTTTTACATGCTGGAGGTCGAGATGAACTTCATGCATGATCTCGACTCGCTCACCGATTCCGTCGAGCACATTCTCCGAGACCTGGTTCGTCGGCTCTACGACACGCCGGTCGGGCAGGAGATCCTGTCCGCGAAACGATCGGGCGAGTCCGGCCAGGAGCAAACCGAAGGTTCCGGTTCCGATCTCCAACAGCGATGGAACGACATGATGGAGGGCCCCAAATGGGCCCGCATGACCTACACGCAGGCAATTGAGATGCTCCAGGATGCAGTCTCCAAGGGACACGCCTCGTTCGAACACGACCCCGAATGGACCGGCGGCCTCCAACTCGAGCACGAGAAGTATATCGTAGACGTGCTTCACAACGGCCGTCCGGTATTCGTGACCGACTACCCCAAAGCCGTCAAACCATTCTATATGGCGCCCTCCAACGGGGATAGCAACGCGCCCGGCGAAACAGTCGCCTGCTTCGACCTCCTCCTCCCGGAGGTTAGCGAAGTCGCGGGAGGCTCCCTCCGCGAACATCGCCTCCCAAATATCATCCAGAATATGCGCGAACACGGGCTGATTAAGGCCCGCGCGCCGGAGGCGGAAGCCAACGCAGCGACACAAGCCGACTCCGAGACGCCACTATATCCTCACCTCCTACCCGGGGAAGACCTAGGCCATCTCCAATGGTATGCGGATCTCCGGCGGTGGGGAACGGCGCCGCATGGAGGGTTCGGTCTTGGGTTTGACCGGTTCCTGGGCTATCTGGCGGGCGTCTCGAGTATTCGAGACGTGGTGTCTTTCCCTCGGTATTTCGGCAGGGCGGACTGCTGATTTATAGATAAGATATTGTATTCTGACTCTACTATAGCCATCCATGTACATTAGATAGATAGATTTTGACCTGTGATCAACATCCAGCCGCTGGTTTCTCGTAGAAGAGTAGTTGCGGACAGACCACAACAACTTACAACGAACATAATACTATTCCGATGGACATTCACTAGGTAAATGCAACACCTGACCAACCCTTACCCCAAATAAACATCCAAAAACTACTCAAAAAAAAAACCAAGGGCAAGCAAGCACAGAATCAGCATGGCCAACGGTGCGTAAGAGAGAAAAAAATTTAAAACAAAAATGTTGAGCGACGCAGGGATCGAACCTGCAATCTCTTGATCCGAAGTCAAGCGCCTTACCATTAGGCCAGCCGCCCTATTATGACGACATAAACTTATTTTACTATTCATGTAGGCAGAAAGCCTTCTAAAACAAAATAAATTTGATCTGTTTTACTAGTTTATAGAGCTATATATGTGGCATATCTCTTTATATTAATGGGATGAATGTCTTATGCCCGTAGGATTACATAGTAAGGGGGTGATGGTAAAAGATTGGTTGTGTATATACTGTAGATATATATCGTACCGCTTCTCAGAGAAAAGGAAAGTGCTTGTAAGAATATGAATACAAAGGAAAACACGGTGGGTGGGATATGACTAGCAGTTAAATAGCTCGAGCATCTAATAATAAATAAAAAGCAAACTAAAAAATAATTAAGAGAAAGAGAGAGGGAGGGAGGGAGAAAGTCAACTAGAAGGCCGAGTAGGAGCAAGGAAAGAAGTTGAACGAATGAACTCTGCTCACCACACTCTGTACAACACCATACATTAGCTAGAACATGGGAAGTGAGCAGTATTAGAGAATATCACCGATTTCTTATAGTCCCCGGCCAACCATTCCGTGATAGTTGTGATACCCATTGTTGGGCCGGTGCTTTAGTCAAGGCTCTATACACCAAGTTGCTGCAAGCCACTAGTAAGGTTATCTGTGAATAGAGCCTGTGCCATAGAAACGAAGATCGAGCTATACACACGGCGGATCTGCACTATATTAAGCAACTAGGAGTATAGCAATCTCAAAATTCGCGTGCCAATTGTTGGGTGAACATAAGCATGCTGGTGCCAATGGAATATCATGAAGGGAGGGCGTATTCTCTACAACCATGATTGGTGCCATACTAGATATACTCGAGCTCATGGCGTATATAATCTGATAACCAACCCACTTGCCGCTACTTGTGTCTAGATCAAACGTAGTGAAAAGCTTAGGCTCGACGGCACTGAGAACAGTTCCAATACCCATGAACATATCAGCAAGGCCTACTTGGGCAATAAATAGCCCACCTGCGAGAGCGATGATCGTACACGTTGTGACCCACGGGAGGGTACTCACTCTGGGCTGGATCGGACTGGCTCCTTTAACACCTTGAAACCATCTATAATCATATGGAATATTGTCAGCACCGGAAACTAGGCAGAACGGCTTCAGTAACAAGGGAGAGGATGGAGAAGCATACACTGGAAGATGATACTGAAGTACAAATATGGCACCGGCTGGCGCAGAAGGCGTAAAATGACACCGAGGCAACGGTGCGCTAAGTGAAGACACGGGCTGGAAGCATTGCCATTGCTTTGATACCAGCAATGAGGAGTAGGCCGAGGATGCCGAAGAGAACTAGCAGCACAACAATGCGAGCATTGCCCCATGAATATTCAACTCCCCCCACTGCAACGCCAGGAGAAGACAGATGACTGATGGCACCAAGGCAGCGAGACTGGCAAGATCGTGCGTATGCAGGAAGCCGGTCCATGACGTGAAAGTCTCTGTTCCACGACCCAGTGGACGTACACGTACAGTAAGCAGATAACGTGGCCAGAGTGAATGCACTGAGTGGAAGATTAGCATAGAAGTTCCAGCGCCACGACACACGTTCTGTGAATGCATCGCCGATGAGAGGACCAAAGGTTGTGGCCACTCCACGGGATGTCGAGATAAGACCGAGAGAAATAGGTCGTCTAGCAGGCGGAGCGAGGAAGGGAACAAGAAAGAAAGCACCAATCAATAGGCCCGATGATCCCAGTCCAGCAATGGCGCGACCAGCGTGGGAGTGTTGGACGCAGGACTGCAGACTGCTGAGCCAATGAGAAAAAGAAACATGGTGGCACTGTATATCCATTGGATTTGGTATCGCGTACATAACTTACTGAAGACCAGCTGAGACATATACAGATGGCCATAGGGTATATGGAGCAGTACCAGCCCACATCCTTGAGCAAATGGAAATCATCTGGTATCTTGGGCGTAGCTGGAGCGAGGATCGTACTATCCTGTAAGACGAGGGTTGAAATGCCAATCATGTGTCTCTAGTGACTGCCTTCTTAGACACACCAGGGTGACAAGGAATACTTCAAGGCAAAGGACAGTAACAGCAAGCCAAAACTTGAACCGTGAGGGATGGTTCTGCGATGGGGTCCTCTGCTCAAACGCCCATGATTCATTTTTATCCTCATGTGCTGCTTGATCCTTGCTAGGGCTACCTTCAGGATCAGCACTATGCATTTCGATGTCTTCGTTGCTCGTCATTTCCAGGTATAGAGATGCAAGCAAAGGAAACTTGAATGACCGATACAATCAAGGCATCTGGGAGAAAACTGAGAGGGTCATAAATAAGGGAAGGATCTTGGACGTTCAGACATAGGTATGTCTCTATGCATGAAAATCATCGCATAGCTGCCACACCAACAACCGCAACTAAAAACAAAGAGAAGTGACTTGATTGGGTTGACAATCCCTTCTAATTCATTCCATTTGGGAAGTACTAGAGATATTACCCTTAAATAGATATAGATGCTCGAAGGATTATATATTTCCTATTAACCATGCTGCAGTTAATGCTGTGCCTCAAGCTTGATCTACTTTCATATTAAGATTAGCCTATGATGCGCTGTAGGATAGATTATAGTCTGTATGTATACCTCAAAATGATGGAAAGATAGCAATTCTACTTGATATCTACGCTTTCATCAATCGCTCTCTGTGGCTAGAACCGACATGACGTCTAGATAGCTTAGGGCAGGGTCGGGCTCAAAGAATATTTCAAAAAGAAACTCGGCGGACAGAGGGATGGTAGTCTGAGCGATCCTCAGTATTAGCTATAATGAACAGTAGCAAATCCTACTCAACGAAGGTCAATCCATAGTCGTTAGAGCTTTAGGTCCTCTGTAAGCCCCCAAATCTATTGACGTATCAGCCTTTATCTACCCTGAGCGCCTTGAACGTCCTTACTAAAACACCAATAGGTAACTATTCTAGCCTTGCAAGATATGATGAACCCCCACAGTTACTTATCTATACTCTTTGGCTAGTAAAACGACCTGCCAATTTCTGAGTTACTACCTCTACTGGATGTGTCCATGTAGTAAAAAGTATAGCTTCAATAAATTGCGGGATTATACCCTTTCTGGAAATAGTCTACATAGATGTGTGTACGTAAGGCGCGTTCTGCCTCTTATGCATCGTAGGATAAAACCTCAGACCTACAACCAGCTTCTTATAGAATTGAAAACAATATCTGTTATCATGGGTCAAGTGATTTCAATGAGCCCTAGTAAGTACTGACCCGTAGCAGCTCTTCCTTAGCCCAATTACAATAATGGTTGGTGATTCACTGCTTATGTCAAACTAATGCTACGCCTTCTATACTCCTATATTACTACATCTTGGCTCCTCCATATCTGATTTTTCCCACGTGGTCGCCCAGAGGGATCCCTGGATATCAATTGTCAGGTGATAGGTGATAGTTTGGTTCGGATGAAATGACATCGAAGCCAAGACAGTCCCTCGTATACAAGTATGTATATGGTTAATGCTAGCGAGCCAAGACCACTGTTCCAAGCCTTTAACCACCCGCCTACTCTATGTTGTCATATTACCTAGACATCGCCGTATAGTCTCATTAACCTCTCCTCGAATGCCTGGGGAGAAAGATATATATCAGAACTGGTAAAAACTACTGGACAGGCGGTAGAGTCGTTGGTAGTAAGCTTTGGGATTCACAGTAGGAGAACATAAGCAGACTATTCGATAATAAATTCATCCAGTATCGATATGTCTATGCAACTGAGACTAAGTCTAATGCGTCATATACATGTTGGTCTGGTACTTGGGGCTTGTCCCTACATGCTTTATTAAAATGCAATGGGGCTTCAGCAACATAGGTATATTATTGTATACTGTAAAGAGGACTCGATGTACGAATAATTTCCAGTTACTTGGTTGATTATCTAAGAATGATATTTGTCCTTAACACTGTCCGTTCCGTAGGACTGCAACATTGTAGTTGGTTGGTCGAATGATTAAACAAGCTAGAGATCCATTAATAGCACGGTAAATATGTATAAAGAGAGTGGATAGGAGGAATAAGCAACACCTGGAGCATATCCTCAAGCAGAACATAGGGGGTTAGACATTCTAGTCCCTTGCCTATGCTATCCACCACGAAACCTAGGACATGTAACGGTTCGGCCTGAAAGCTAATAATATCATGACTGTACAGTAAACTCAACCCTTATTAACAATGCAACGTTGATATCATCTTTCTCTGGGCCGAGGGAGTCCGCGGACCCCTTATAAATCCGAAACGAGGTCGGGGCAGTTGCAAGATTTGGCATTGTTCCACTTGTACCGTTTGAACAATAACCCCTTTCGATAACATATAGTGCTAGTAGCCCTATAAATTAACCATATACAGAGTGTTGCCCGGGGACGTGCTCGCTCGTATAGGGCATGAATAGTAGAGCCGGGGTTGGCTACTTTAATTAGAGTCGGCTATAGCGAGAGAATGTTATAGTTCATAATATATACATATTATGTTATTCGTATTCTGCCCTTTAGCGCCGAGAATTGTGGATTTCTTGGACAAAAGCACAAAGTGGAGAGAAGAAACGTAATGGGATCCCACTCTATGTCTCTCCTGATATAGATTTTACTTTATTAAGAATAATACCTCGGGCAGATATGGACGGAAGTTCCTCCGTGTGATACTGTAGTCTAGTGTTTTAAGATGTATAGTGATGTCAACTGGCGGGAGAGCTTCAAACCCTATTCCTACTTTCTTAAGGGTCAAGCCGATCGCTCAGGTTGCCCCTTGCGGCAGAAAGCGACGTATCCAAAAAGACCTCCAGCTCCGAAAACAGCGCCTAAGGGGGGAGTGGATGTGGTTCCTAAAAAAAAAGGGAAAAAAAACTCTCGCCCCATTATCCCTGGACTAGAATGTAACTCTACTCGGCAGAGCACACACATGAATGAACCCACCCCCGTCGGTGGTTACGGAACCGAGTCCGATACAATTCTGGAGAGAGTAGTCTCTTGGGGAGACGTCGAGAAACGAATGAACAGGTTTCCTTTACTGAGTGGATCGGATCGGAGTATACGGAAGACGTTTCTGAAGCCATTCTCTCGTCTTTCTGGAACTGGCACTCTCGGCTATTGCGGGAAGCGACCCTATGGGTGTTAAAGTAAATTACCTAGAAAAACGCCGAATTACTGAAGCAGGAACACAAACCGCTGACTGGTTCCTTCGGATACTTTAATCCCTCCAAGCTGCGGTCTGGGCGGAGCCTCGTTACGAAACATCGATCCAATTGGACCATCTGCTTTGAGTCGGTCGGACAAGAAGTCACGTCCGACCTTTTTTTTTTTTTTTTTTTTTAATAATATTTTTTTTTTAGTATTTTTTAATTTTAGTTTTAATTTCTATTTTATATTTTCTATTTTTTTCAGTCTTGTCTTACTCCATTTTCTTTAATGGGGTTCCTTGTCCCGGTTGGAGAGAATTGGATCATCCTTTTTGTACCTCATGTGCCTTTTTATATGTATTTTCATTATTCATTTGGTTACAATTCCTGCACCAGTCCATAAGCCCTGACAAAACAACGATCACACCCTTTTCTCCTTTAATCACCTGTGTAAACATTCCGACTCCTTGATTCGGATATTCCGTCCAGCTTATAGGGAACGCTGTGGAGGATCGCACGCGGGGAAACTGCCAAGTTGCCAACCTTACTGGTGTTAAGCATATCATGTCGGTCTTTTTCCGGCGTCCGTTGGCGATGACAACTGCCTAGAATTGCCGGTGGATCGTATTTCTCCTCGTATCAGGCTAATCCTCGGCATGCTGAGTAATGGCCTCTTTTCCTCTCCATTTTGAGGCCACTTGTACAGTTTTGAAACGAAGTCTCTATGGAGATTCTCTTAAGTTTAGATAATTCTTATCTCATGAGACGTAATTTCTGCCTGCCCGATCGCTGCGAATTACCTAATCGGTCCGTCCGATCCGTGGGATAACCCTATCAAGAACATACCTGCCTCCATTTTTCCGACCTTCTCTAATTATCATCAGATCATGTCGAGTGGTAATACGAAATTCAATAGTTAGAATTACCTAGAATATACAAAAAGAGAAAAGATCAGAAAAAAAAAAGGAGAAGCCCCGGGTACTATCGGCATTTTCAATTCATACCTATCTATTTATCTATTTATCCCTGGATGTCTGTAACTAGATTGTATCATGCACATGATGACCATGTACATATACACCCGGGACAACATATGTACACTCACAATTTTCAATCGAGATAATATACATGCATACATGCATGGATACGACGGCGGATCCCCTCGGAAATACAAAAAGGCAAGACAACGGAGGCAAACTAGTTCGATTAGTCCTTCAGCCACACTAGGCTAAGCCTTGGCTATCTGAATGTTGGGGATCCAGTCAGAACCTCCCGTGTCACTTTTGTTCCCATTTTTTTCCAACTTTTTTTATTTTAGTTTGAATTTTATTTAATTTCAATTTATCTATTCATTTTTGATTACTTTTTTTTGGGTTTCTTTCTATCCTTCTCTCTTTTTTCTGCCTAGGCTGGCGGAGGGGGGTAGGGCTTGGCTCTGCAGCGCTTTGACGCTTGGGTAGGGCAAGGATAGGGATCCTCGGCGTTTGGTTTGATTTTAATCGTATGGATGGGAGGCCCTGTAGACTTTTACGTAGTGGACGGAGTAAATGAGTTGTTTTAGTAGACTGTTGGTCGGAGGGCAGATTTAGTGACTGACTCTTATGGACTTAGAGGGTGGCTAACTAAACGGTGGATGCCGAGAGCTGGGGGCCGACATCCTAGTTTACGTCGAGTACCAGGTAAGTAACGTAAAGTACTCCGTACACACGACAAAGAGAGAAGGAAAATAGAAAGAAATGAGAAAAAGAATTAAGAATAAACGAACGAAATTATTGAACGAAATTCGAGCCCGGTGGGAAATAGAAAGGTAACTATCTTCTTCCGTACCTTAACCTAATTCAACTGACTATCTATGATCGATCATTATGCAAACGGGATGGGGGGAGGATGATCCTCTCGAAGTTCTCTTGGTTGGGTAGTTGATCTACAACCTTCAAAAAAGCAACCACTGAGCTTTCACGAGAAGAGGAAATTCATGCATTCCTGATTTCAGGTTTATTGGAGGTCGAGGTTACCACCACTTCCTCCCTCCCTCTCACTCCCCGGGACATTGTGGAAATCCCCCAATAATAGAGCTGATTAAGGGATTGCACGATGAATGAATGAAAAGACCGATCATCCCCCGCCCCATGGACTATTTGACCTTACCTTAAACCGATTATGCTAGTGGAGATAAACCCGTGCGACGTTTCACAGAGACCTGCTTGGCAACCTTGATTCCCATCAAGGGTTGCATTGCAGCGGGCATGCATTAAATCCTATCTTGGGGACAGGTCTCAGATGGGTGTGACTAACAATCCTCGTGCGACTGACTGGTAAAGCAAGGGGATCCTCAAGGGGAGGGAGATACGTAGAACCAGGGAAGAATGTGACCGGACGAAAGTATCTCGATTCATTGGGAGGACAACTTGAGTGCTTTGTACTCCGTACGATGACCTGGGTATGGTGGATTGAAGCTAAATTTCGTGGATATACCTAGTTCTCCCTAGGGAATGGAGGTATCACCACTTAGGTCATGAATAGTGTCGGGGTGTCGGCACTTGAGTCATGTGTCAGGTCCGATTGGTCCGAGTGGAAGGTACCATCAATTTAGTACTCTATCCTATACCTGTGACCCTATCCGTCCAGTTTGTCCGTGGGAAGTAATAACTCCTATATTAATATTAATCAAGACACCGTAGCTTAGTGTAGAGCTAAGTTACATTCGAGGGGACAAAGCTTGGTTGTCTTTGTTGGCTGATTCGGTGGGACAAAAACCTGCAAGGAATAGTAGTCAGTACTCAGGCTAAATCTACGGAGTGGACGGTGTCGTATAGTGTGCCTACGGGCTCCTTAATACTTTTACTACCTACTAGATTTACTATTCTTGTCGTATTACCGAGCATCTAGTCTTTGTGCCTTGTACCACCCGCAGTCGACGAGTAGTATGAGATCAGTCCGTGTCGGTACCGGATGTACCTTGCTTTTGACATCGAAGCCCTATAACTCTGGAATGCGATATGTGTTGTCAGCATTCGGCCTCGACAGGCATTCCGCAGATGATATATGTACAGTCCGCCGCCATATCCGCTAGATGAACTGGTAATAAGGGTGTTGGTGGGATTGCAAAAGCTACCGTGCAACGCTGCTGTGCGCCGCTGTGCCACTTTTCATATCCTTGATTAGGCTACACGATCTGCTGCAATTCCAATGTCTGCCTGCAATGATCAGCATAATCAGCATACCTGTGATGAGGTACCCCTCATTCAAACCTAGTTGTATTACAAATTTTATGCTTGAATTAACTACTTGAGCTCTCATGCTTGCTCGCTTTCCCGGTTTTTGCGGTCTTTTTCTTTCTCTTCCCTCCTTTTTCCATTTCTATTTTTCTTTGGTCACTTCCAAGCCATGTGAGACATCAGCTGCAAACCGTCCAGTTCTCCTGACTCCAACCGCCCTCCCCGACGTGCTTGGCCTCAAGTAATCTCCTCATCTCTAAGTGGACCAGCCAAGGAGCCAAGAGAAGTGGCTAGGATTCAACCGACGTTGTTGGCGATACGCTTATCGTGAGCACTAGTGTCCTTGTAACTTGCATCCAACTGATTAGGCAATGCTATTCTTTGTCTTGTTCTTCTCTCCTTTCTGCTTTGTTTTAGATTGTTCGTTTTTCTTTTCTTTCTTTTAATAACGAATTCCTGTTAGTAGTGCTTGGTCCTCGGCACAATACCTTCATCCGATGATACCCTTCCTAAGCGGGACTGCCGGATGTTCAATCTTGATTGGGGCCACCAACCAATATCAGATCAATCAATCATATGCGTCACAGAGTACTAGTAAATAGTAGTAGGCTGAGTCAAGGAAAATAAGATGGATTCCTAGACGAACGACTCGTATCATTGACTCCAAAAAAAAAGAAAACAATTAATAATAGAAAACACCCAGTCAGATACATCACCGTCCCTCCAATTCAAAATATGACTACCTTACATACACGAACTATGTATAGTAATAAGTAGGGCCAAAGCTCGATCCTTCGACTGCGCCCACCAACTTTATCTGCGACCTCCGACTAACGTGACTGGACAATAACTTCCCGGACTATAGCCATCATTGAAAAGAATTTTAGATTCACCACAATCTCTCCCAGAAAGAGATAAGCAAGTAAATATCAATATTGATCAAAGTCTTCTGGAAAAGACCTGAGTGCTTTGACGGTCGAATAGAGTATATACTGGGATAATATTAGTGAGCAATGCCGGATTTTCCGGTCTTGTGCCTTACGTGGCATTGGGCATGGGGTTTGCATATGACTGCTCACCTTACCTTGATCAGAAAAAAGAAGTAGTAAGTCAAGGTGTCTTCAATGCGGGCTTTTTTTTCTTTTCTTTTTTTAAGCTTACACCCCCCTCCTCATCGGAGTTTGGATAAGATTCGTCAAGCTTCTGATAGTTTGATTACGATTAGGTGGTGGACTATATGTATGTATGTATGTACATTACTACATACATCATGGTACAGTACCAGCGAGATCCTCGGAGAAGAAGAGAGGAAAGTTGGAGGGGCATGCATTAAATTGAGATAATCAGTCAAACCAAATGATCTACTCTAGTAGACAGACACTCTAGGGAAGTTGCCGAATAAGGCCATACGGGCGGACATTTTTAATATTAGGTTGAAGTGCCAATTTCTTGCGTACCAGACTCCCTGTTACATGGCTAGTTTCAGGTGGACAAATTATAGGTGTTGGAGTTGAAGTCCGAACACCTTCCAGTTCCATCATAGTTTAGTGAATTTTTTTTTTTTAAATTTTTTTTGAGTTGTAGATTACCTATTGTATAGTCGGCTGCTTTATTTTTCTTATTAAACCCTATGGTCGTTCATCCTACAGGATTTGTGGGAGTGGGGTTATTATCCTTCTGACTTTCTTTTTTTTTTATCTTGCCCACTCTAGACTATTACTCTTCCTGGATAGGTGAATGGGAACCCCATCTTGCTACAAGAAGTATACTATACCATTTACAAACTCTGTATATATCCTTGTGGCTTGGGCGATTACGAATACGAATCCAATTGCCACGGTGGCTGTTGTCATCTGCCGGGTTCCGGGCCGAGAAAAGAGAGAACCAGCGACGTCGATTTAACCAGATAGGGACGTAGAGATTAAGTCCAGAAGAGAGACGGAGATGAGTCAGAGGGAGGCGATTATTATTATGATGATGATTTTAGTATTTTATCTAACATCTAATATTTAGTAATATTTCTTTCCTTTTTTCGTTCCAAATTAGAGTCCGTGGACGGCAAAACGGCAAAGCCAATGTCGTCACCCTTGGCCATTGAAGGGTCACTTTCGGGCTGAACCGCTGCACAACCCCGGGGAGAGTTTAACCCTATTCTGCATAACTGCATAGCTGGAGTGATTGCCGGACGGTGATTGGCCCCGCCTCGGTGATACATAAGAGTAGCATAATCAAAACCAAGGAGAAAGTAGATTAAAAATTGGAACCCAACGACCACGGTCATTTGGAACAAGTGGAACCCCAAGAGCGCCTCTTCTCTAAGCGAGCTTAAGGTTCCTCGTGTTGGATTAAGCTTAAGCTTCAGAAAGTCGCGCACTAATCACTTTTCGGATGAGATCAAGCGATCAGAGCGCCACTGGTATCTTCCTAGTGTAATACCGTCTTATGATGCGTTATGGGGGATTTCCTCCCCCCTTCTTTTTCCTATTTGGTTTTCAGGGAGTTGTTGAATGTTACTGTTGCTTTTACCTATTGGTGTCTGGTTATCTATTTGGGAAGGTGATTTGTTTTTAAATTTTTTTTTTTTTCTTTTTTAGTTCGTCTGGGTTTATTCGGCGTTGAAATTAATATTTCATTTTACTTTTACTTTCTTTTCCCTCCTTTCCCCTCTTCTTTCTCCGATCGCATTCAAAAGGTATCTCCTTTCTGGCGTTTCAACGCAAAAGCCGAAACTGGAGCCAAGAAATACAAAGACTTTGCCAAGCTCTTGTCCTTCTTGTCTTTAATCAGAGGCCAGATCAAAGGAGAATATTGATCCCGTGCAGCATTCCTGGACCCGGAATGAACATCTGGTATGTGAGATCTCACAGGTTACTTCTTTTGGGTTGTAGTAAGCACTATTTTACCGAGCGCAAATAAAAGAAGGAAGTTATATTTATATATATCACCACTATATAAAATAAAAAGAATTGAAATGACGGCATAATAAAAAATTGAAAAATTACAAAATTTTATGAAGAAAAAAATTCAAGTGTAACGGTAATAAAGCCGTCCAATTATTAGATCCAGTATTACACCATCATACCCATGTTCCAAATCTCCAAAAGTATTACATTATTATCAAGCTTAGTTTAAAATGACTCCACAATCCAACTTACTTTCTTTTTTTGGTCGTGATCACCCTTCAACATGGTCCTGGGATGATCCTCTCTCGACTACTGCTGCCGGGGAGAAATAGAGTCAAAAGTATGATGGAATAAGTTCCTATAAGAAGGGTGAGAAAAAGGGAAAGCAGGAAAACTCTGGACATCGTAGTCACGATGATCAATTAGGAAAAAAAATACGATAATGATTCAAGAGGTCATTTTTTTTCCCACTCCACGAACCATGGATGCGCAACTATGGAAAACATAAAGGTTAAAAACAAGGTTCCATTTTATTCAGACGCCCTCTACCATGTTCAGACTATCTAAAAGGCATCAGATGCAGTGATTTGCCGCGGCCCTTTGTGCTTTACCCACACTTTGTCGTCTCGGCATGACCAATGCCTAGAGGTCCAAGCCAACCCCATCAGTCATTCAAATGGCTTTGCTTGGTCCTGGGGTTCTGAGGTGACAGATGACAAGAAGAAAAAGGAACGCTGAAAGGATCGAAAATCTAGATTGAAATGGGAGAAGTGAGAGCATACCTAGATCTGAGATAGAATACATCAATAATACATACTCTCTTTCTGATGGGGAAATAGACTAAAATAAATGTCCCTCAAAAATCAAATTAAAAAAATCCTTTTTTTCCCACTTAAAAAATCAAATGAAATAAATAAGTAATAAAAAAATATTAAAACAACCCTGTGGGGTCCAGAGTTGCAAAGGCTCCACTCTATCTCTGATACTCATGCTTTAATGCCTCCCTTTGTTCTTCGTTTCTTTTTCTTTTACATACTCTTTACTACCTCACTGCTTCCATCGAAACTCACCATCTCCTCCTTGACTCCTGTCCTTCTCAAACCAACTGCCATCCTCTCATTGTACAGCGTTTTTTCCCCTTTTTTTACCGGACCCGTGTCTTCTGTCAGGTATCTCTAACATTCCAAGTGAGTGAGTAACTTTCTTCCATTTCTCCTCCCCTTCCCTTTCCTTCCCGTCCCTGTCATGTTTAAAACGTACCCTTGTCTTATAATCTTAATGACTCGGTCCGCTTGCCTGCATTCTTCCTTTATTCTCCTATCAGCCCTCCCCCACTCCCCTACTTCCCCTTCCTTGCTGCCTTGACTTTTCTACATTCCAATCCCCTTCCCCTCCTTCCTCGTCCCCTTCTCATCTTTACTACACTCCCTCGAAAAACACTCGCGAGTGCTTCCGGATTTCCCGCAGTCATCGATGCAAATACTAATAGCAGCCCTTCCCAAGATCCTCTCAGAAGATCCGCCTCCCGCTTGGTGGGCTTGCTCGCAGGACCGGACGTGACTTTCCTTCCCGTGAGCCGGCCTCGAATTTCCATTTTAGGGAGCCATCCTCGTGGATCGCCCTCTGATAGGAGACACTCTACAACTAAATAAAGAAACAAGACGGGCTCCAAGGAGGTACTGCTCCAAGTAGCCATTCGATCAATTCCATCAACATTCCGTACCTCAGTAAACCCCCTATTCTGGCGCTTAAGCCTACGACCATCACGGGGTCCTACACAGATCACCGAAGGTGGATGGAGACGTATCACGGTCACGTCCGCACGCCGGCGGACGCTATCATCCTCTTCGAAGCATGTCGCATTGGCCTTCTGCCCCGTGTGCAAAGACGCCTGTCCGAAAAAGAGCGCCAATTAATTCGATCCGGGTCGGTTTTCGTGTGGGATGAGCGAGAAGCGGGGATGAGGAGATGGACGGATGGGAAATCGTGGAGCGCCAGTCGCGTGTCGGGCAGCTTTTTAACATACCGTGAGATGGAGGGCAAGCGTGGAGGAACAGGCGTGGCTCAATCGACCATGTCGAGAGCGGGCAAGACCCCCGAGAGCCGAGGCAGTGATGATGACCGGGCGGACGGCCCTGATGAAGGCCCGGACGGGTACAGGTACAAGCCCGACGGCCTGATGAAGCAGTCTTTTAGTATCACTACCTCAACGGGCCAACATCTTCACCTCATTAGCTATTACTCTAGGTCACACCCCTCCGCAGCCAACCTGCAACAACCCTCCACGGATCCGGCCCTGCGCCATGTTCGCCCGCAGAAAGGTCTATACCCGGAGTCGACTGTCAATGACCAACAGAACCTTCCTGTGGTAACGCGCGGGCCAATGGCTGGAGCGGGGTACTCGGTACCTCCTCATCCCATGGGTGCATATGCCCGCTCCGGAGCCACTCATCCACAGTCATACACTCCGTCGTACGCATGGCCGCCGACCCCGTTAGCAACCCCACCAACCGTCCCGGTCCACTATCAATATCTCCCACCCGTATCTGGATCGAACGGCCAAGTAGCCTACGCTCACCATCAACCACACGCTCTGCCTCCACCGCCACCACAACCGCTGGCGACTCCTTATGAGCGGCCGGTGCATCCCGTAGAGGCATTGGCCCCGACAATACAGGCTTCTGCCGTGCAGCACCCATCTTTGCCGGTCATTGCAAACGGCCGGTCGCCGCGGCTGGTTCCGGATGTCCATGAGCTTCATCAGCGCAGCCCGCCAGACTACGGGCCGACGGATCTTCGGAGAGCGTCTCCACGCACACAACCACCGTCCATTCCCCCGGCTGCTGGGTTGGTTGCGCGAAGCCCACGCCTGTTGAATCCGGCTCCGTCGAGTGCCGTCCACATCTCTCCTCCGGCCACTACAATCAAACCACCGGAGCCCAGCAGCTCGGGCACAACGGTTCCTAGTATCGGGGCGTTGATGAACGGGACGCCAGCCAATGGCTCCTTGCCGTCCATCTCCGCGCCGTCCACGGCACGAGCGGAGGGGCCGCGCGATATCCCCAGTGACAAGATTGGGTTTGGCGGGGAGGACATGCGAGCCCTCCGACAATTAGACCGCGTCTTCACTGCGTGAACTTGACCGGATCTTGTTCCCAGTTCCCAACCCTAAAATTGATCTCCAGCACTTCACACCCAGCGCACTGCACATCAACTCCTTACCACCCGCTTTGTATGAGATGTACCCGTTTGCCATTATCCAAATGTGATATGGAACGGTCATGACGATCTTGTTTGCTGTTTATTTTTGATTTTTGGGCAGGTCCGGCGTTGTTTAAGAGGGTGCATCATAAAGCATGGGTGGGGTCTTTGTCTTTTTTTTGTCTTCCATTATAGCTGTTTTCTATCTGTATTCTCCCCAAGCAATTGTATTGATGATCTTTGTTGATATAAGGATTGGGACTGGCTTAAGGCCCTGGCTAGGATGACTCGATATACCAATTGACTATGTTGATTGATTATACTGGCTGAGCTTACTGTATCTAGGGTGTAGAAGTCTTCCTTGTTCCTATGCACATACATACATGCAGAAAACTTTGACCCCTGATCATATCTGCAAACAAACCCCACACTATGCCCAACAGTATATGTCCCTAACAGATTGCTTCTGATCTGAATGTAACAGACAAGACAGACGGAGTGGTATTATAACCATGTCTAAAAATAACCCAAAGTTCTACTCCAACCGTACTCCTTTGAATACGTAATTATACCAACAAACCCCATCCCCCTATACCAAGGTCAACCTTCCTATAACACACCTAATCATACTTGATACAAGACACACAAATCCCCCTCTCCCTCTACACCCGCTCATCCCGATCTCCAGACGAACCCCTCTCCGGCGCCACAACACAGTCGACATGATCCAACCCACCACCAACACTCGTCGCATCACTCCTCTGTCGCGTCATAGTAACCTGAGGATCCCCCTTGTCCTTATCCTCCCCAGTCTGCCCCCGCGGTTTAATAATCCCCATCTCCACAAACCGCGCCATATCCTCCCCATCCTCGTCCCCCGGGGCCACCAACCTCCGCCCCGTAATCTCCCTCGCAAATGCCCGCAACCGCCGCTTCTTCCACCACGCCGAGCTCTTCCCGCCCGCCCCAACCCCCTCCTCACTCGCCAGCGCCGTCTCCAGCTCCTCGCGCCGCGCAATAAGCGCCTTGTCCTCGTTCAACTCGCAGAACCCACTGATATTCAGGATAAGGATTATCAGGAGTGTAGGCGTATAGCCTAGACCATAGAGCCAGCCGGACTGGACGTCGTATCGCAGCGGCGAAACGGTGAAGTCAAAGGCTGAGGCGATGGCGTACCCGATCTTGACGCCCAGGACGGCGATGCAGACTAGGAACTGGGAGGGCGCGGCGTTGAGGTAGAAGAGGAGCTGGCCGAGGGTGCTTCCGGGACGGGGCACGTAGCGGTAGATGCTGTGCTCGAGGCTGTAGCAGATGACCAGGGTGTCTGCGAGGGCGAGGAAGCCTGCGACGCGGAAGCGGGTGTCAGTCGCTGTGGGGCGGGCGACTAGGGCCTGCTGTTCTGGGCTGCGTTGGAGCTCGATTGACGACCAGGACCGGGGCACGGTGAGGAAGAAGGTGAAGAGGGCGAGGGCGTAGAAGAGGATTGGGAGGAGGGTTTCCTGCGCTCTGCGGGTGGAGGTTTTGCTGAAGGCGTAAGGGTCGCGGTCGTGGATGAGGCGCGCTTGCCAGGTTGCCCAGTGGCGGACGGATTCCCAGACTGCCGCCATGAGGGTCGGTGTTAGGAGGGTGTAGAAGACGCTTTGGAGGATTAGGGGCGCGCTTTGGATGTAGTTCCGGTCGACGTCGATGGTCATGAAGCAGCTGATTGCGCCGCTGGTGGCGACGAAGATGAGCCAGCACCATTTTAGGCGGCGGCTTATGATGGTCCAGGGGCGGTTGTTGGGGAGGTAGCTGCGGCCGTGCTTGCGGAGGTTGATGAGGCTGAAGAAGATGGTGAGGACGAACATGAGGGCGTAGGCTAGGCCGAGGGAGGCGTGGGTGCCGATGTTGTTGATGGGCGCGTAGCATGATGTTCCGTTGATGAAGGTACCGCTCTCGGCGAACATGTGAGGTTTGAATTGCTGGAAGGCTAGGTAACATTTCGTGCCGTTGGATAGAGTCCCGTTGGTGTAGAGTCTGTAGTTGTAGGTGTCTAGTGCTGTTCGATTGAAGTGCACTTCGTTGATGACCACGTCGGTGCCATTGTCGCCTGGCTGGTAAGGGGCCAGTTCCCTTATGTATAAGCGGGTCATGTCGAATGGGAGTGTCCCTTGTATAATACGACAGTATTCAAGCAATTTCCTGACTGCAAGATAGCTCAATGCCGCGCTCCCATCGCGGACATGGCTGACGGATGGTGGCAGCAATTGAGCATTGACAAGGGTTAGGAGAATTTTCCGGTCAAATGCTTCTGCCAGCTGCAAGCTACCGCAGAGGCATTCGCGGAACGCCCGGAGTCTGATAGAAGCATGACGAGCGGTGAAGTTGCATCCAGGGCACGTCTATGATGCGCAGAGTAGCTCTGCGACCCAACGGGAGAAGTAATTCGGATCCGCGGTTCGGGAGAGCACAAAATCTTTGACTCAATGTACCGTACCACAGGTCAGCCTCGAGGAACCAGGACAATTAAGCTCAGTGTATGATCCATGTAATATGTATAGACTCTTTCCACTTGAAAACTTTGTAAAATATTTTCGGAGCGTAGTGCATGTGATGTGATGAACAAAATGTCTTATCGATAAGATCGAAGATAAGCGCATCATCTTTATCGACACCTGACAAAACACGGGGTAAGGCCACTAACCCGATACCCGATCCGGCACCGTCAACAAACCCCCAGGTCACAAGGAATCGCATTCCTTTCTCATGCACCATCCGGAGAAACTATAGAATGCAACAGAATCACCCACAGAGCATTTCTCATCCCTGTCGAAATGATATCAGATGATAGGCAGGCGCCAGTTGAGACATCACACGGGCCCCGAGCACATACCCCCTTCTCCACACCGCGCGAGGGAGCTGCACTTTTACGGTCCCAGCATGCATATCATTGCGACGTGTGGGAAGCGGACAAGCTGAGGATCATCGACGTGCAGAAGCACAGCCGGCTTGAAAATGAGGCATTTCCTGACATGTGGATGGTGGTGTGCCAATTGCCGAGTCTAGGGTCAGCCACCGTTTTATTTTTCTTGCCAGACATGCAAGAGGTCCATATCCCAGACCAATGTTCATGGTGAGCATGATTCGGCCGTTTCACAATCCACTGCCGAATACGAACCTTAACTCAATTCGACTGGTGAATGTTATGGCACAAGAATGCATAGGCTGTTGTTTTTGCCCCCCTTCCGTCTTTAGTCCCTTTGTCGTCGTCGCACGGTTAAAACCTGTATGAATGTAAGCTTGCATTGTCACCGCTTGCAAATGGCAAGGGTCCTCCTTTGATCTTCGGGGCAATGACCCTGATAGTATGTCTAACACGCACAGACGGGGATCGCTCTTTCATTGAAGGAAGGACTTGCCCAATCTCCATTCAATAGTGAAACTTGTAGCACCTCGAAATTCCCCCTAGAGCGACACTGCTTCGTATAGGAGATTAAGACGTGACAGCTCCGTCGCTTGCATTCACGTACTCTATCAAATCATGTAGACAATCATTCGAACGCTTCGAGATAGGTTGTACGTGTATAGTGAAGGCGACTGTAAGGAGGTTTGAGCGCTTTTCTACAGACTTGGCATCACCGTGTATGAAGCAGTGTCAACTGTCGGCATTCACAAAATGCTCTGGTGGGCATCAAAGCCCTAAGTTTGACGTTAGCCTGATATGCCTCCTGAAATAGCAGTTTGAGTGTTGAAGTAAACTTGGTCAAGGGCTCCTCTGCCCTTCGTTCCCGTTCTAGTGGAAGGCGGAATCCTTTCATCTACCGCCTTGGCGTTGAATCCATCAGATCTGGTCTTCAAGGCATACGCTAGTCGATGCTTCGTCCTTCGTCTTGATCATTGCAGAAAAGTGAAGCAAATAGAATGAATCAGATTGGTAGAGCATTGTGAAGCAAGCCAACACTGAAGCATTGCTTTTCTCCTTGCGACAGTATTCTGTCATCGAAAAAAAAAAAAGCAAAAAAGAATAAATATATATATATATATATATTATCAGACAAGTACTATGATCGACTGTAACCTAGGCATTTGGTCCATCCCCTAGATGAGCGCATGCCAATATACTTGATCTGGACAGTAGGAGTTAAAGTCCTGATCCCAGTCCAACCAATCAATTGATACAGGTCCATCTCCACGATCTGATCTATCCAGTCAGAAGCAGGACTTTACCAAGGACTTACTTCACTCCAATGCGCGGCATTTACGGTTCAAGGCAGGTGTGTGGTCGGGTTGAAGCCAGTATCCAGCCGGGCAGTATCTGATATGGCATGACATGATTCCCACGGAAACCAACATCCACGAATCGCCAAGCTTGCTTTCAGCTTCTCTCGATTGTTTACGGGGTAGGAAGGGGTTTTCTCTTTTTCAGGAGGGAGGAAGGGATCTAGCTAACTCGTCTGCAAGGTTCTAGAGTTGAAGAAACGAAAAATAAAAATAAAAATAAAGATAAACACAACGTAAAAGAGTCACTGGTGGAACCTCCATCCCAATCCACCATCCACATAGTTACACTCTCGGACTGAATAGCAGCTCATGCAGCAGCATCTCCACGCTAATAAGCTCTATCGTGTCAAAAACCCCTGGCATACATACTACCACCCTCTCATCTCATTCCCGGTTTATTTTCTCCAAAAGAAAAAGCCTCGCTCATTACCTTATGATGTCATTTATATTGGCCCAGATACAATTTAGTCATCGAAACCTGCCATTTTCCTTTTCCTTCCCCCCCCCAAAGATGGCCTTAATGTGGATCTCTCCGACGGCAAGAGATCTCCGACGTATGGACTCCCACGGAGAGACACCAATACGACCAGCCCCCATTCGTGGACGTGATATGAGACCAGTAGATCGAAATATAGAAACGATAATTGTTGCCTTAGCACGGAGCTTACTATTATAGAGAGCTCGCCACTTTTCTCGTGTTTAGTAGACCTGGTTATAGCCTGGACAAAAGCACCTCGAAGTTGAACTTGTGAACACGGGGGACGAAATAAATAGTATGTATGTACTTTTGCTTTCTCAAAACCCATTTGGTGCCCAACACAACCAGTTAGTTAGTCGTAGGCCCCATTACTCGGGAAAAATCTTCTTTTATTATCTTTATCTTTATTTTTATTATTTATTATTTATTTATTTATCTTTTTTTTTCAGATTGATGCTTTTTTAGGCACCTTTTAGGTTTCTATACAGGAGTAGTCTGGTGGTCCAGACCCCTTGGGGGAGTGGAAATTCTATGAGTCATGTATGTGCGACTGGAAAACTTGAAGGGAAATGGGGGTTTTGAGGCAGTACGGATTTAAGGCACTGTGAGGTCGGAGTATTTTTCCTGGCCGATCAGGGAAGTAAATCCACTCCTTCCATTGGTCAATGTATGTGAGGGCGGGTCTGGAATATGAGCATTTGTGAAAGTTGTACGACCATGAGCCGGATATTTGCAGTACAGAGTACAGTTGAGTTGAGGTTGAAGATTCTTGCATGGAAGTTTAAATCTATATCTCGTGTAATGTGAGTCTTGGGGATATACTGTGGGGGTTAGTCCCACGATGTTGGATATTACCGAGTTGCTATAACGAGGAGAGAGAGAGAAGGGCCGCCGGGGGGGAAGAGAAAGGGGGAGAAAAAAAGAGAGGTATATCTATAATATTATAACTAGGTAATTAATAAACTCAACATACTTAGTTCCAGATATGCTTTGCATAAGGAATGTCGGCTGTGTCCGGAGCTATCCTTTTAGATTTATTAAAATACTGTATTCAATTCCATTCCCAATGGACGTGCAACCGCCCACGACTCAAGGATCTCCACATCAACACCAACCGCATCCGCCGACCTGCTTACCCAACCGGGATAGTTCCAAGCCTCAAACTGCACACGCACTACTAACTAGCCCGGAAGTGGTGAGGTGTGTGCACAGAAACCAACCGAAAGTATTGGAAAATTCCTGCTTCGATTGGGTGACGAGTAAATGTCAAGTTCACTTCTCATCTTTTGTAATTCGATTTTATTCCCGTGATTAAAGTTGTATCGCGCCATCGGGCCTTGCTAGGTCCCGCTTCGGCTTACTTACCCTAAGGATTCTGACGGACACGAGGTCATGTGGTCTGTTCTGCATTCGTTCGGTACGAGTCAGTACACTGTATGTACAGTATATGTTACCGCAGGTACTGCATACAGGCGTAGACTATTAGCAGCAAGGAAAGTGAATACAAGCAATGAAGGAAAATGGTCAACACAGTAGAAAAGAACAAATAATATGCCGCCCGAAAGCCAACAGAGATGGGCGACCAGTAATCAATCCCCGTAACAACTGGTCCAAACCAGTTCACGCATAGTAGGAGATACATATTATTCGTGATATAGCATTGCAGGCCGATCACCGGATAGCCTCATCCTGAATCTTCCGTTCAGAATACGGGGTAAGTGAAAGCAAAGCAAGCCCCTGTCAACTCCGCATTACGCAAGGGAGCAGTGAATGACGACGGCCGGCAGGAATGAAGCGGATGCTAAAAGCTTGAGAGGGGGGATACATTCTCATATGCAGTCGTCTCTTGAGAAACCTCAAGACAATATATAAGAATAAAAATCAAAATCAAAACCAAAAAAAGAGAAGTCTATTGCCCAGCCACAGTGCCCTCCGCGGGATGTAAACGAGGGTCGGTTGCCTTGCCTGCGTACTGAATATGATAAACGTGGATTGACTCCATGGTTCCCATCTTTTTGTCCCTTGAGGATCAAAACGGGAATACCCTTCCCGTTGGCTCCACTGTCTTGTTTGTTCCCCTTCAAGTCGAAGGCCTGGCATGACTCGGTCATACGGGGACTAGGAGTTGTATAGAAACCGGAGTCATGGATTGCAGACGTAGGTTAGTAGTAGAGATCTTAATAGCGCAACTAAGGTTTAGTTCGTTGCCTCTTACTATGGATTGGACGTCGAGTGTACTGCATACAGTAGTTGGACATGGAGTGCAGCGAAGAGACACATTCTTGAGTGGGGCTTTCGTTTCACCTTACATTCTTTGGATTATGATGCTTATTACATTCATATCCGTGTCAGATTAAATATGTGCCGGTGAACCGTTAAATCACATCGTCCTTGAGACGATACGGAGTATTCCGTACCTATCTATAGTGATCATTGAAGAGCTGGATCCCTGTCCTATATCAAAGTCCCGGTCATGCCAGCTGCCGGCTGTCCGCGATAGGAAATCCGCACTCACTGATGCGACCCAAGGTTACCGAATACGGTTATTACCGTACTATACATTTATATGTAGTTTTAACCTTCTACCCGCTTATCCCAGACACCGATCGTCAAGCTTAAAGCTACTGAGATTCAAATAAATAATAGAATATCTCAATAGGGTAGATGGAAGGAGCCAAGCATAAGCTAAATGGGAGGGGAATGAATCCTCCCCCAAAAAGGAGCACGAAACTTACGAGAGTAGTAGCCCTGAGCTCCGCCGTGCACGTCCTCGCTTCCTAGTTTGTCGTCTGGCAGATGGAGTGGATTGCCCATTCCAGCCAGTTTCGAATCAGCGAAATGAGGTCCAAGCACTCGGAAATCCGACCACCCAATGACGATGAGCAGAGGACAGTGCAATGGCAGGAGGGGAAAGGAGGTCGAGTGGTGCTTCGCTGCGCCAATTGATGACGACCACCGTGGAGGAGGCAGCTCCAAACTCCATCACCTTTTGAGCGTCTGCATTCTGGTTACAATTGGATTAGTCTGCCTAGGCAACAAATATTAAGGCAGGGTGTTCCTCGAGGATTACCTGATAGGGCTCCTTCAGTATTGGCAGGAGAAAGAAACCCAAGATGGAATAAAAAGTGAAAAGAAAAAAATAAAGAAAAAATTGACGAATTTTCTCTGCAGTGACCGGATGTCCGTGCCTTGTGCACAGAAGATCTGGCCCACTTCCCCAGATTGTCCTCAGGATGAGATTTTTCTTTCTTCTTAGATTCCATTTCTCTTTTCTTTTTTTTTCTTTTTCTTCCCTCCTTTGTCGCTTCACTCCGGTCAGGGTTTAAGTTGAACGAAACCATGTAAAACAACGGAATAATAACCCACCATCCTTATTACTAGGTAAAAGTATCTAGCCAGGACGCGACTGGTCACAATCAACCTAAATGCAGGGAGGTTCATTCCACAAGAGGAAAATGAGCTGTGGTGTCAGTCACAGCCCAGCCATCGGGCTATCTCCGCGCTTGTTCTAACGCCGAGTGATGAGACAAGGAGAGGTCAGTAGCGTGGGGTGTGGCGTCCAGCTGAACCGGAGAAGTGTCCATCCTGGTATGCAAGTAATGCATACACAAGACCGGACGGGGCAATCATCATCGTAAGTTGGGCTTAGTCTAGGTTAGTGGCATTTATAGTAGCAGTGGAAGAGCTTTTTAGTTTGAAATTAGCGACAGCAGTACGGAGTAGTAGTAGCTCGGTAAATAACGACGGGAGTAAAGTAAGTAAGTCTCGTAACGATACAGACGGATGTCTCGGAAAACCCTATATCGATCAACGACTATGTGACTAGGTTTCAATGTCTGGATGCGTTCGATTGTCTTCAGATGTGTAGCACAGAGCTCTGATTGAATTAAATCAGCTCACACACCCGGAGTATTGATGTCTGTGATCAATGCTCCATAGATGAAGAGACCATCTTTGACCCTTTTTCCTCTCATGGTCTCAACTACAGAGGAGTATGTACCTAATCATCTACCATCGATTTGAAAACCAGTCAACTCCACCATGATCTCAATCCGAACCGTTCCAATATGTACGAGCCTCAACTTGTAACTATTCTAGCAGCGCTTCCAAGCCTGATCATGCGCCTCAGAGGCAAGCCCCTGGAGTTCATCTATGTCAATTCGGACTGGTCTGGATTATCCGTCCACCGAGTCAGAACGACTCGCTGCCCAATCGAGTAATGAGGATCATCTGCCATCGTCACCAATGCGATTATTTAGGTTGGGAAATTTTTAGAAGTTGGTTCATGGGCATGCTTGCTTTTTCTCTTTCTCTTTTTTTTTTTTTTTTTTTTTTTTTTTTTTTTTTTTTTTTTTTTTTTTTTTTTTTTTTTTTTTTTTTTTTTTTTTTTTTTTCTGTATCCAACAAGAAGGACACTGATTTGTCCCGATGATTTTTTTTTTTTTTTTGACTTTTGGGGATTTTCGATACCATTATGATTCTTTTTTAGGCTTTCTTTGCCTCGCTTGGACCAACAAATCAGCAGTGGAAATCCAGCAAG